TGCTATTTGTCCATAACTCATACTCAACTCTGTCATCAGGATGTGGAAGAGCCTCTCTCCAATCGAGATTCATGTTAACCATCTCCCCATCAGAGAGAGCCTTCTTGATGCTATCCCCCAACGATTTGCTGATAAGAGCAGAAGGAATACTAATATTTTCCACATAATCATCATTTGTACCTTGCACTTCTTCAGGAGTGTCCATAGTGATCAATGTTTCTGCCTTGTCATCAGCTACAAGAATAGCTGCTGCTCCACCATTCTGTGCATTCCATGCCTTCAAAGTGAAGTAGCAATCTACCAAAATGACCAGAGAAAAAAATTTACGAGTTGAACCATTTTTGTGTGGCTGTGTTCCTAACAAGCTATGCCCGGATATCAGCATGGTGCCATACACTCTAGAAATAAAATAAGCATCAAACCAGGACAATGTCCCTTTTTTCTGTTGCTGTTATTATGGTCCTACGACAGTGGTGTACTTTATCGCTACTCCCGTCATCACTCCCAAGACAAAATAAAGAGTTTAAATCTTAGGGTCTGTTTGGTTTCCTTCTTATTTTTCAGTTTTAGAATTGGTTTCCTAAAAATTGTTCCATACTATTTAGCAATCAATTTCTCATCCAAAAACTAAAAACAGGTTTTTAATTAAGAATAGAAATCAGACACACTCCTAAACAGAAATTAAATTCTGCATTATTTATTGACTTGAGCATTGAATGCAACATATATAACATCTTTTGCAGCAACTCCCAGTAAACAACAAGGTGGTCTTACTTGAAAACCGGCTATTCATTATTCAATTAATTGAGAATAACTAACCCAACTTTCCATCTCATGCCATAAATAACAAAAAATAAACAAAGCAATTCCAATCTACAACATATTCAAAGTTACCACAATCATATGCCATTTTCCTTTTCGGTTCCTTTATGCGATATTCACAAAGCGTTTAATTATTTAAAAGGACTGATTAGAATTTCACCTCCACGATCCACAAGAAGAAAAGTGGGAAACAATCCTGGTTTGGACTGAAAATTGACATCAGTGAAGTTTAAGCAAGCCTTCTGATTCACCTTTGGATACACCACAGAGCCAACCAATGTTCCTCCATACTTGGGGACCCCAAAATTCCCAATTGCACATTCATATGTCCCCTTCAACGATTCGGGAGCAGTCACTCTCAAACTGTTCTTCTCCACCACAAACCTACCGACAGAACACCACAAAAGCAAAATCCAAACACACAACAAAAGACTCAGTTTTGTGCCCATCTTCTTCTTCTTCTTCTTCTCGCACAAGAAAAGGAAGAAGATCAAAACGAACAGAAAAGACTGAAATTCAAAGTGCAATTAATGTAGAGCGTGATCAAACCCAGATGAGAAAGATGAGTAGTAAGGCACAAAAAAGAAGCTTTAGAGTTTGATGGAGGTTTATGGCGTTCTGGGTCAGCAGACTGATGCGTGAGAAGGCAAAAGCTTCGAAATCTTAAAGCGTTCAAAATAATGGGAAGACGTGTCAGTTAAGTTCAACTGTAATAGAAATCATCGCCCTGGAGATAAAAACAAAACAACCAACAAACAAATATTGTAGACACGTTCATTTATTTAACTATTATTGTTACTGTTTTCGATGATGCCGTATAAGTACATATTTTTAAGGTCTTTTTTACTTCTTATTGTATTTTAAATTCTTCATTTATTACTAATTAACATTACAACAGATGAAATGTGTATATGTTTGATAAACTATCAAAACTATATTTAAAATTCATAACAAATCAATATTTTATTGGGTATTGTGATAAACATATTATAATTTACTGAAAAAATAAAAAAGAGAAATATATAAAAATAATTTTAAAATATCTTTGACCAATAAATATTTCCAAACAAATTTATGGTTTGAAAGATAATTCTTAAAATTAATTAGAAAATTGTATAATTTTAGTATTTCAATAATTGTTCTTTGAATGCCGCATTTTTTTTATATTACAATTAGTGTATTGAATGTTAAATTCAGTGACTGGTGTGACAATATATTATTAAAAAAATAAAAATACAAGAAAATGTATATTGATAATATATCAAATATAATTGAATAATATCCAAATACTTAAATATTAAATGCCTTCCGCATGGACCACATTTTATATTAAAAAATAAATAAAAACATTTTATTGTAATGTTTATGATTTCTTTCAATTTGATAAAAAATATTTACTTTTTTTCTGACTAATTTTCATTAAAGAATATGACTAATAGTTTTTAAAAGGTTCTCTAATTATTTTGACCTGATTTATTTTTTCTTATTTAAATTTATTTGTCATAAACTAAACATATTTTTATGGATCACCTGCTGCAAATTTAATTAATTATAAGTCACTTTACTCTTTCTCTCACTTTTAAGACGGAGCATGTGCACTCATTTAAGAGGCATTTAGTTGGAAGATAAGCTATTATATATATGACTATATAATATAAATTTTTTTTTACTATAATTAAAGTTTAGTACTACAAAAGATACAATTATTTTATTTTATTATATATCTATTATATTATGTTATTTAATAAGAGAAGAGGTAAATAATTTAAAATGAAATATTTGACTTCTCTATAATAAAGTATAATAATAGTTGTTGTTTAGATTATGATAAAAAAAATGTATTACTTTTATTTTATATTATTAATTTTTAATTTTCTATCGAGATATTTTAATCCAAAATATCCTAGGAATAAAAAAAATAGTTTTTACTTTTTATATAAAAAATACTATTGAATAAGAGTGAGAAATTAATTCATATATTTTGTCATAATTATTATATTATTTAATATTTTATAATTTATTTAAAAAATATTATAATTTTTTTTTTAATTTTACCGTAGAAAATATCGAGTTCTATTATCCAGTTAGTTACATAAACCATATAAAATTGTACGAAGACAAATTTATAAAATCACTAACCAGTATTTCCACTCTCTTCCGAAAACATGCTTGTGTTTGGTCCTCTAAGAGAAAAAAGAAAAAAAAAATACATCTTTTAAATACTCACCTAGCAAAAGTTAAATTAAAAAAAAATATCAATTATTACATTCTAAAACATGCAGCACTGTTGCAAGTGGAAAAACATTCTTTAAAATCACATATTATTCTGTTTCTATGTTTCACAGTGGAATGTTCAAGATATTTTGTTTTTGTCTTGGTGGAGATCCTTGATGCTCTATTGGGCCTTCTCTAGAATCCAAAAAGGCCCACTGAAACAAGAACAATCATTCACTTGAAATGGACGTGTCTAAAATTAAATTATGTACCAAACAATTCTAAAGTTGGGAATCATTATAACTATTGTTACAGGAATATAACAAGAAGGCACGAAAGATAGATTAAACTAAAATAAAATATTTAATAGGAATAAGAATAATTCAGTAAGTTAGACGGTACATTAATCCACCAAAATATAAACCATGTAAACACGCCACTTATAAAACAGATGCTAAATAATTAAATAAAAAAATTATAATTAAGTAAAATAAGACAATTTATTTTGTTGGGTTCAAAGTTAAGAGGAATTGTCTCCAATTAAACATGTGAAAGAGATGTTATTTTATGCATATCCCACATCAAGAACAAAGAAAGAATGGAAAAGACAAGTTAAGCACTCCACAATAGATTAGGTTTTAGGCATAAGTATCTATTTCTAACTTTTTAAGATGTGCTGATTCATGTTGAAAAAATCACAATATTAATGTTACATAGTGTTTGAAAAACTATGATGGGACATGATGATTTTTTAGTGTCTATCCAAACATAGTAGGAGTTTGGTGATGATGACCCAATCTTCAAATTGTTCATTTTCACCTCTTTCATCAAATCAAAATCAATTGTAGTAATTTCTTTTATAAAGGTCAAAATTCAATTTTTATTTATTTTGATGGGAAGTGTTTTCCCATATTCGCTTTATACAAAGATTCAACATTTTTATTTGAAAATTAACTATTTTGTTTCACCTGTTTTCAGTGAAGGGAAAACAGAATAACATGGTGCGCAATTAACTTTTTTTAATGACACATTCAGAGAACAAAAATTGTCAGTTTTCCAAACATGCCCTAGGACCATTAATACAATATATAATATGCATTCCACGTAAACTATGAAGCAATTTGTTTTGTCCCATCTCAAAACCATTAGTGTACTTACCAATGGACTTTTCAATAATCTATGTAAAGTCTTGTGTTAAGTATGAGAATATATAAGTTTAATCTGAAATCTCCAAATATTAAAAAATAGTGAGAAAATTATGTGACCACTCCAAAGGAGATTTTTTTTTTTTCATTCCCAAACATCCTTTCTTAAAGATAGTCTTTCTTTCAACATGTTAAAATATTTATCATATATATAACATATTCTTATTGAAATATATCATCAATGGTACGAATCAATATATTGTTATACAGTAACTAATTTTTATTTTTTTTATGGAATAATCAAAGAGTAAAACTAAAATATAAAATTAAATGCCGGAATATTTATAATGGTTTCTAAGTATATATACTGTACGACAAATCTTTATTTGGCATCTGTTTTTAGAAAACTTTTATTAGATAGTCAAACATATTAATATAATAATATTAATATATTTAGTCATTGTTGGGTGATATGGGTTTCATGGGAATGTCAACCAATCAACATTCATACTTTAATTATGCCTTTTAACATATGCTGAATATTTAATTTAGGTCATAATTCTTTGGTTAGAATTTTGAAGGTGGCATATTAGGTATTCAGGCACACACACATATATATATATATGAAGGAGTTACGTATGACTCAAACCCCACATCAAGTTTGGTGTCCATTATATGATTTCCACTTGCAGAGAGAGGAGTCGTAGCATGCACTAACAACAATTTAAAACAATACAATATTTCATGCATCATTTGTTTTCTTATTCATCTTTCTATGCCATTCTCATTATAAAAACACATCTCATCTCATCTCATCTCATGTGCCATTCATTTTTCATCAAATCAAAACAGGGAAAGATGGGAGTGGCTCTTTATTTGGACACCATATTCATCCCTTTGAGTCTCTTCATCACAGTGAGTTACCATGCCTATCTTTGCCACACCATCAAAAACAACCCTTCACGTACAACTTATGGCATCGACAAGCTCCAAAGAACAACTTGGGGTCTTAATTTAAATCAGGTAATTGCATACGTTTAATAAGCTCAATGAATTGGATGATTGGAGATTCAATGTTTCTAAGAATTGAGTGGCGTATCTGCAGGGTGATGCCAGCAAAGCTATGTTGACAGTGCAGAGCTTGAGGAACACTCTTATGTCCACAATTCTGACAGCTTCCATAACCATTCTCATCAACTTGGGTTTGGCAGCTTTGAGCAACAACACCTACAATGCTAGCCATCTCTTTAGCAGTGGGTTTTTTGGCTCAAAGTCAGATAAAATCTTTGTTTTGAAGTATGGATCAGCTTCAATTTGTTTGGTGATGAGCTTCGTGTTCAGCTCCATGGCCATAGGGTATCTGATTGATGCCAATTTTCTGATGAATGCATATGGGGAGTTCTTGTCAGGGGGTTACACACAAAACATCTTAGAAAGAGGCTTCACCTTGGCTCTGGTGGGAAATAGGGTGCTTTGTGTTGCTGTTCCTTTGATGCTATGGATGCTGGGTCCTGTTCCAGTACTTTTGGCTTCCTTGGTGTTGGTTTTTGTCCTGCATGAGTTGGACTTTGTCTGCAAATCCCCTCACAACCATAAGCAATGTATCATTGCATAATAGCCTAGCGACCTACACAAATATCTATACATAGATAGACAAAAAGTCATGTTAAAAATATCTTTTTGAAATGTATCATCATCAACTTCATCCTCCAATAACTTACCTATATGTAACTTGGAATTTTTTGTTGGAAATAAAATATTTATACACTAAAAATATGATTCACATGATAAATAATGACAAAAAAAAAGGAAAATCAAAATAAAAAAATATTAATTGAATATTTAAAAAATTGCATCCAAAATCATTTCTCTTGTTTATAACAATCCACAAGAATAGGGATTGAAAATATAAAATTATATTTTCCATCTTTTTTTTAAATACCTTTCATGATATTATGGTTTTATTAAATTATATATCATCCGATTTTATTATACATTTTTTTATATCTCCATTCTTTATTATGCTGTATAATTAGCATTGTATGGAAAATGATTGCTTGTGGAGTTTCTGTTTTTATTTGGGTTGGGGCAAAACGGGCTTTTAGTTTGAGTCGTGTTTGGGCCTGTGTAGACTTTTGGCTGATTTAATATGATGAAGTGTATGGTTCTTATCTAAAACATAAACTATTGAGGGATATTATTATTAGTGTGTTCGCTCTTTTTCTATTTCTCGGTGAAGTAAATAAATAAATTGTCCAGCCTAAATCAACTTCATAATTTTGATATAATAATAAATAAAATAAAAATTTATTTGAAAATGAAATTACAATATTAAGATTTTTTTTCATAAATTAAAGTTAATCTATATATAAATTAATTTATGGAAATATTGTTATATTATTTTTCAAATTTTGATTATTTAATTAACGTATAAACCAAATTTTATTTATATATTTTTTATTTTTTTTTCTAAAATTATTTAGGAAGAAATATACCCAAGCAAATATTCCATAAAAGAAATCTAAAATTTAATTTAAGTAGTGTTTATTGATTTGAAAATAAATAAAAAATGAAATCCACAAGTTGTACCAATTAAGCCATAGTTCACTATAAATAAATGTAATAAAATAAACCTTTTATATATAAAAAAATGTTATAAGATTAAGAATAAACCTTTATTATTTAATGTAAGATTAATAAAATAAACCTTTTAAGTATTTTTTAGTTTTCGTAATTTCATGTGAAATTGGAAATAGTCCATCTTCCAAAGTTCACATAAAAATGATTCATATATTTTTGAAATGATTAGAATATGTCTCTATTTTAAATGACGTTAAATATATGGTGAGTTGTCTAACAAAGATAATATGACACATTCATTATTTGACACGTATAATTATATATATATATATATATATATATATATATATATATATATATATATATAAAAGCAAAGTTCTTCTTAACAAAAAATAGAAATTATTCAACGGAGATTATTAATTAAAAAAAAAACAAAATAAAAAAGTAGAATTTTTTCTTTTCTCCTCATGCACCAAAACTCTTCAATTCTCGTCACAACCACTTTTCATTTTCTCTTCTTTTCTCGTCACAACTACTTTTCGTTCTCTCTTCTTTTTTCGTCACACACTAAAGGTCTTTTCTTTCTTCCCCTTTCTCTGTAAAGGTTGTATGAAGTCAAAGTGACTTTGAAGTTCGAGGGTTCCATCAGTTCGTTGTGATTTGACTGGTAGTGTGACGGTGGTGCACAACTGGCAGTGTGTGACGGTGGTATACCATAGCTAGGGTTTTCATTTCCGAAAATTAAGGTAGAGAAGTTTAAATGGCTTATAAATGGAAGAGAAGCTTAAATTTCTTTTTAAATGACTTTTAAATGTTATAAATGCGATTTAAATTACTTTTAAAAACTTGATACCTTTTAATATTTTTTTTAATAATTACACGTGTTAAATAATGAATGAGTCATATCATTTTTGTTAGACAAGTCAACATATACTTAATGTCGTTTAAAATAGGGGCTTATTTCAATCATTTCAAAAGTATAAAAATCATTTTTATGTGAACTATGATAGAAGAATTATTTTTAATTTCACATGAAAATATAGGGACTAAAAACATACTTAACCCTTTATTTTTTTAATGTCTCGTAATAAAACAAACCTTGCATTAAATACTAAAGTGAAATATTTTAATATTTAGTTAAATTTTCCTTATATTTTTATTTAATTAGCTTAATAAGATTAAAATACCATTATTCTTAAAATCGGTCATCAAAATCGATCACCATATCAATTTAGGGTTCAAAGGTTCAATAGAAAATTAAATTGAAACCGAAGTTTGATAAAATAATATATTTTAATAAATATTATTTGAAAAAGTATTATATAATAATAAGAATGACTTGTAAAATAAATAAAGAAAAATAACATAAATAAATATATTATCAAACACTGCAAATACAAAGCAATTAGAGAAAAAAGTTATTGTTGCACCTATCTTGATAATAATTAGGAAAAAAAATTACAACTAAAAAATAATTAGAAAAAAAACTACATCTAATTTTAAGGAAAAAAAAATTAAACCATATCTTGTATTATATCTAACTTCAAAATTTTATATGTTCTATTATATTTTAAAATATAATTGTGGAACCCAATGATAACTCATTGCATTTAACTCATTGTCCGTTCATCAATATCAATTTTACTCCTAGTATATTCAGTTTTAGAAACCATCATAATTTTAGAAAACCCCAATTTAAAAAAAATCCTAATTTTAGAAAATCTCAAATTTAGTTTCATGAAATATGCATTGAAAATCCCTCAAAAAATATTATTCATTTACCGTGTGACATCTCTAAAATTGTTTTATCAAATCAATTTTTGGAATGAAGAGATTGTGATTCTTACATTTTTGTTGTATTTCTATGAATGATTATAGTAATGATCATAGAAGACTACAACAATGAGTAAGAAGTGACGCTGAAGTAAAAACCGATGGCGGATCTTGACCATTAATCTTAGGGGGGCCAAATAATATATATTATTAACAAATAATAAATAAATATAAAATGAAGAAAGAATATGAAAGGTTGAAAAGATAAAATTGTAGATATATACTTAAAAATATTAAATGATCATTAAGTTTGATAGAAACAAATATGAGAGTTACAAACCGAGGAGGGACTGAGAGGATAAAATTGTAAATATACAAGTAAATATATTAAATGTTCATTATGTTTGGGGGGGTCAAAATCATAAATTACATGGGAGTTACAAAACTTTGGGGGGGCCACGACCCCCCTCAGCTCCCAAGAAGATCCGCCACTGGTAAAAACAATCAAAGATAGTGGGTGATAGTGACCGATGACAATTGTAAAAACGAAGACTGTAGTGAAAGAAGAATAATACTACCAATACACAAAAATAACTTTCTTTTTTCACGTTTGTATCTTTGTGTTAAACTAAAGAAAGAACAAAAAAATATAGGACAAAACAACATCATTTAGCCTTTAAAAAAAAAATTGGGTAACCCCTTTACCCGTTTGGTTTTACTGGTTTATCCGCTTTTTCACTGATTTATCTAATTCATTATTTGTCCGATTTTTAGGGAGCTTCAGACCGGTTATCGAACTAGTTCCCGGTCCAACCGATGTTAGAATCAGAATAACTGTATAAGAACTTACAACTAAAATAAAAGATGAGAAGAAAAAAAAACAAAACCGACAATAGGTAGAATTTTACTACTGGAAAAAATTACAATACCCTTTTTAAATTTAGGAGAAAACAATAATAATATCATCTTTAAGAAATAAGATAACCCAACTACTATACACTGCACTAGTAGAAAGGAGAAGGAAGAGATTTGGGGTGATTTACAAGATAAGCAATGTGCTTCTTTTATAATAAGAAAAGTAAGCACCAACATGTAAATTTTCCTAATGTGAAATTTTTCTTCTCACATTTTCACAATCTTTGACTTGAAGATTTTGATTAAATTAATCAAATCTTTACAATACATTATTATTGTCTTTTATGTTGTTATTGTAATAAACCTTTAATAGAATCATCTTTATATAAACTTGTTTTGTCCTGAAATACAAGACAGATTCCTTATAATGTATAAGACACTATGACTGCACAATACACAACAATATGTTGTTGTTGTACCGAGTTCATTTATTATTTTCTTAATTTAAATAGTTTTCTTACATACCTGAGTAACTTTCATGTATTCAACTTCTGTAATTAACAGAGCTACGACATCATATACTTATACTAAAGTAAACAAATTAAATTAAATACAATAATAAAAAAGTTGTATGAAGTAAAGTGAGCATATTATGTTCTATGTGAGTGAAAAAGAGAAAGAAAAAAGGTATTATGCATGTGAGTGAAGAAAACATATATACATGTGTACCCATGGAGGTTGAGTGCATGGAAAAAAAACAAAAACAAAGAAGAAAGAGATAAAGATATGGAAAAGATAAGATGGGAGGTTTAGAATGCATGTGTTGCGTGCAAGGTTGATTGAGAAAGGATTTGTGGTCATATATTTGCATGATCTTGGGAAATAAGGCAATCGCAAAAAGGGCCATGATTAAGAATAAGAGGATAAAAACAATTACCAAATGTGTGCTATGTTTTCTTTTAGTTATATTATTAAGAATTCATTCGATTTCTTGATATTTCTGTGAATTAAAAAAATACCACATATTAAAGATATTTAGACAAAAGAAACAAATAAGTTTAAGAGATCACGCTTGCATGTGTCCCACAAGATTAAGCATGTCTAAAACACAAAATAGAAGATATGTTTGCCACCTGTCCATTGAAAGATAATTGTGATTCATGCATTAACTTCATTTTGTTTCCACCTTTTGTTTTTTTTTTTCTAAGAATATATTTCTCATCAAATTCACACTTTTCTTTTTTCAATAACTGTATAATTTGCATCTATAATTTTTCAGCACAATCTTGAGGCAAATCTCAATAACTTTTGGTCGTTTTTTGATCAATTATGATATAAATTATTAGCCTGAAACTTAGTATTACTCGATTTTTCTTATTTTACTTCCTTTAAAGATATATTATGTATAAATCGAATTCAGCTTTTCTCCTACAAACTTTCATTCCCACATTTTTTTCAATAACTTATTTATGTTATTTTAAAAAGTATTTCAGTATTTTTAAAATAAATAAATAAATATATTTTTAACATGTAAATTATATTTTAAATCCTTAATAAATCAATTAAGTTGTGGTATCAGACTATCCTTAAATCAAGAATATGTTTAGTTAAAAATAAAATTTTTTTATTTGAACATTTGATATGATTAAAAAATATATGTGTTACCACTTATACCAATTATTAATCTAATATACTAATTAAAGGTTAATGAAATTGTTTTATTGTATTACTTTTTATTTGTATTTTTTATCTTTATTTTATATCATTAACTGTAATACACATAAAAATATATTAATTTGCACACACTGATGTTATTAAAATATTTTTAAAATCAAATTCCTTCTATAAAAAATTCAAGCATTTGTAAAATTAAATTCCTATCGACAACAAATAGAACTTCCAATTCAGTTCTAAATTTATCTTTAATATTACAGTATTTTTAAAAAAAGTGTTATATGGTTTAACATTTTTAATATATTTAATTTTTAAAAAATTATTGTTTTCTTAATATGTTTATCCACATTATATTATAATAAATTTGATAAATATAATATTTTAAAAGCTTTTAACGTATTCAATTTCAAAAATATTCTCTTTTCAAAAATAGTCTCTTAAATATACATTTAATCTATATCTATCTATCTATCTATCTATCTATATCTATATCTATATCTATATATATATATATATATATATATATATATATATATATATATATATATATATATATATATATATATATATATATATATATATATATATATATTATAAACACATTGTATTATAGAGAAACGTTTGATTTAAAAGAATCGAATACATTAAATTTATCATTTAAATAAGTTATATATATAGTCTTCTATACTCTGTAAGTTCAAACCATGTTCCTTAAAAAAATGAAAAAAAAAAGCTATGCTTTTAGTTTATATATATATATATATATATATATATATATATATATATAATCTTTATGTTTAAAATTGATATATAACTTCAATCTCTATTTTTGAGAATATATGATATTAAATATTTTTATATTTAATTTACTATTTTATTAATTTTTTATTTCATAAAGTTTATAAATACGTATAACATGTATTTTTAATTTTTAAGAGCTAAATTTAATATTTAATATTTAATAATGATTTTTTATTCATTGTAAAACAAAAATTATGTATTTTTTAAAGTTTTTAAAGCTAGATTTAAAATGCGTGAATCAAAACTAGGTTTGACTAAAAAAAAAATAGAGAAAAATATTATATTTAACCTAAAAATTTGAAAGCATTTATAGAAATTTCATGATAGTAATATCTCTGGCATTACTACAGTCCACGCCTATGATACATACACGTAACGTTTAGTCAATCCATGTTTTCGCATCATCACTTTTCATTTTCCTTTTCTTTCCAATTTTAACTTTTTCCAGAACCCCACGCCACAACATCACATGCCATGCATATCCAAAACCAAGTAGGCCAAAGATAAAGACACTGTCTGTAACTTTCCTTTAAGCTTTTATATGCACAAGAGGATTCAATGTTAGTGCCAAAATCACCATTAATAGCATAAAATAGTAATTGTAAAAGGTGATATTTATTTGTCTCTAATGGATTCATAATTTGGGTTTTAGCATTTTCACCATTAATACTAACCCCCTCAATTACACTTTCTTTGCCATTAATACATTCTACAAAAAGTGATTAAAGAATAGAAGCTTGAAAAAAGTATACAATTTACACTTCACACCAAAACAACTAGCATACCAATGTGTTTTGAAGAAAAGAAACATAGAAGAAAAAGTATGTGAATGATGGAAAAACATGACCATGTCTTTGAATTCAAAGAATTGGACCAACTTTTTCTTGTTCTCAGTGTGAACACTCCAATTTTCGCTCAAAAGTAATACCAAAATTTGCTGGAAAAAGCGTGTACAACTATTAACCCTACGTCGCCTCTAAGAGATTTATTTATCCCTACTTATGCAAAACGTTGGCGGCGATATTTCATTGTTGTTATAGAAAAAAAGAAAAAAAAAAAGAGAGAAGAAAATGTTTGTGCAAAATGTGGACATAACACACGAGGGATGGAAAGAGAAAAGATTAGGTATTTTGGACATTTGATTCCCAGTGTGAACACATTGTAAAAGATCCACGTCCCTGTTCACTGATTACCACTATTTTCCAACCAACCTAAAAGTCGAGGATGAAAGTTTAGTCTTATTATGCATTTAAAATAAATAGTTATAATTAGATTTAATTAAAATGTTTTTTTATGATAAAGTAATTCTTTTAATCACCTCTCATTTTCTTATGAAATTTCTCTCGAGATATAATAATCATACCTCAGTTTGACTCTACTTCTCTTAATCTTGTTGTCTTTATTAAGTTCTGTTTTATGATGTCGGGGTAGATATTCAAAGTCTATCAGAAGGTCGATCATGGCTTCTGCATAATAAGTATGAACTCATGTCTTATGTTCACATATACAACATGCAGACCGCAGTGTATTTGTTTGTGCTAAGAAAAAGTGAGTTATAAAACATAGAAATAAACAAAATTAAAATTTAAACAACTGTTTTATTTTAAGATATATATATTGTCAATGAATTATACGTCATCCATGATTGACATATACTAATAAATAGATTGAATTAAATTTTTATTAAATGAATCAGATTAAATTAAAATTTTAAATAAAATTTTAATCCATCAACATGAACAAAATATTTTTTTTATCCCACCGAAATAAAATTTATTCTCCTTAAACATTTTTAAAATATTATTATATTTTTAAGAAACAATATATATAGTATCTTTCTCGGATTTGAGAGATAATTATTATTACATTTACTCAACATCATCGATGTCATTAATAATAAGCAATTATTAATCAAATTTATCAAAGAAAATTAGAAAATTTTAATAACATATGTTTTTTACATATGGGTAAAATTTATTGAAAATAGTAAAAACTGAGGGTTATATATATTTTTTGAAAACTTGTAGTTAAGATAGAATAGTCTGTGAGTAATACTAACAACTACCTAAAATTTGAATGTTAGTGGTGTATGACATGGAAATTGATGAATTTTTTTATCATTATTTTTATTTTGGTTTAATGAATATGTAACTATGGAATATGATTTCAGTTTTCAGCCACAGATTTAAAGAATCTCCTTTAAATTAAGATAATTCAAAATTATTTTATTTTTATCAAGAGTCTCCTTGAATATGCGTGGACAAGTGAGAGTTGTAGTAATAACGACAATACACAACACTGTATTCATCAGACAACTCCACAGTTCTTGGCTTCTTAGGCTCCCTTCCATTCCATGCATTGAACCTACCCTTCACCTTTCAAAGGTGACCCCAACCATCTAGTCATTGCACAACTTTTTTGCATGTTGCTTTTAACTCACTTAGGCATATATACTTTTCCATTGAAGCACGTAAATTACTCGAAAACCATTCTTTTCTTACACAAACTGAAAGTGTAAATGAGTTGAGTTGCACAAGTTTATGAAAATCAAGTCCTAGACTTACAAAATGCTTGTTATTTATTTATTAACAGATTTTTACATGTAACAAACTAAGTTCTTACGAGATATTAGTTCATTTCCACTGATTTGAGTTAACTTCTGTTGGCTGATGAAGAAACCATTCAAAACATTATTGTTGTTTCTCATTCACTGGACATTCTAATAATGACAATAAAAGCACGGATATTACATTTTTTTTCTGAGAAAGGTACTACATATATTTTTTACACAGTTTGCTCTGCACTACCTTCACCAAAATAAAACTTAAAAAGGAAAAGGTTGACAACCAAAACATGGTGTCTTATCTAAGTTGGAAAAGGGGTTCAGAGAGATCATCCATCCCATAGAAGACATCTGAAAGGTCCACACTATTGTACTCTGAGTCTGGTGTTGATGATGATAGAGTGACCTGCCTTGGTGAGCTATCAAAGGTGAGGTCAGAAGAGATGAGGTAATCATTTGAGGAAGTTGAGGGAGGAACCTCCTCCTTGCACTTCCTTTCCACTGATGAAGGGAAAGAAGACGAGAGAAAGGGGCACTCTTGTTTGGATGGGGTAGGGAAGGAGTTGTTAAAGCTCAGGAACTTTGAAGTAGATGAAGGAGACATAGGGTCAAGTATGATCTGAGGATTTGCCAAGCTCTTGCAAGTGTGTTCACCATAGTAGATGGTCTTGTACAGGATTGGATCCTCTTGAACTCTTTGCACCTGCTTTGTTGCTTGGCAACCCTGGTCAAATCTGTGAGTGCACCTATAGTAGTGCCTGAAAAATTGAAAACACCACACATATATCAGTTAGGTCCCTAAATTTTTCAATGAACTCCTATGGAAAGAAAATATATAAAGTATGAACTGAACTTTTTCTCTTCAATATTTATGCAGAAGATTATTCAAATACTAAGATACATAAACATTCTTATATGATCATATATCTAATACCTTGGGAATTGGGCATTCAGGATATCCTTTTGCCCATACTTTCTCCATTGGTGGCCATCATCAATTGGAGCTTCAGACTCCTTCTCCCTTGTTCGTTCAGTTCTTCTGCAAACATGAATTGCAAATTCAGATAAACTTTCTAATTGGCTCCCATAAACCAAAACCAATCACAGGGTGTGCAATCATTTTTACAGTGCCAGACAGACATGACCATAGGTAAAGACAAGCAAATAAACACTGTTGGACAGGTCTACCTAACATCAACATAGTGAGTACTTTACCACATGTATTTATATCTGGACAATAATTCATGGGGTCCAATATTACGCACATGTAAATGACGAAGTCACGTTTGCAAGTTAAAGAGACACTCAATTAGAAAATCTAATTCACTATTTAGCATTTAACATGATCCCATTGGGTGAAGTGAAAATTAGGCAAGGAATGATAGCCAAAGGGTACCTAAATTGAATCTATACAAAGTTAAATTACCTTCTCTTGTGACACCCTCTTCGTTCTTTAACAGTGGAACTCTTGCAATTGCTCTCTAGAGAGTCCTCAGATTTTGGAGAGTCCCAAACTTGAACATTGGAGACACCATGGGATCCAGAAGTAGAATTGTTGTTCAAGAGCAAGAGGGAGTTGGTGAAGGACATGAGCACCTCCTTCACGAGTTTCTTAGCAAATGGGGTTGCTGATGACCCTTTTTCACAACTCCCAGTGATGACACTGCTAAGTTGTTCAGCACAATCTCGACCTCTAAGAAGCTCCTCAATTGCTCTCTTCCGACTAGAATCGCCAAGGTTGTCCATGTTCTTTCCAATCTTGGAAAGTTTCGATTGATACCCTCACAAATTGGAGCTTGTTTCTTGGTTATGGCCACAAGGTTTTGTTTTGTTTTATCACTCACACACACACTCAACTGAACTATATATACATGGGGTAGGCGTTATGTATTACCAAGGAAAAAAAAAAAGCCACCAAGTTGTAGCAATGTGCACATGCTGCGAAATTCAAAGGAACCTAGGCACGAAAATTCCAACACCTTTCAACACGAAAACGAGCACCCACGCGCGAGGCTTACTCGTGTCACTCACAGCGACCAGAATTTCGCCACGCGTAATTGAGCTAGAGCGGGGTTTGAGGAAGGAAGGTGAAAAGAGGGATAGCGCGTGGGTATATCTTAGGAGGTGACGTCATTGCACTTGCGTCGCCAATATGTCATGCGACAGGTGGCGTTATTTGATTGGCTTTCACGAAATTAAAAGACGGATATACCCTTATATTGCTGTGAGAATAAATAGATTAGGTCAAGGGAGTATGTGTGGACAGTGTAACATTGGATAAGGATAACAGATAGTGTGCATCTCACGTGACATCTACTAAGATAAATTGTATATGATAATAGTTTAAAATATTTTTAATAGTAAAATAAAATTAAAATTAAGACTTCATTATGCGTTTAAAAGGAGAAATTTATCATCCTTTAATTTTATCTCAGTTAAAATCATTTTAAAAATAATTGTTTTTTTAAGTTAAGTAATATTAATGGAGAAAATACTTTTAAGTATTAGTATGTAGGTTAATGGTAGGATCTATAAAATTCAATTAAGCACTAATAATTCCCTAGTGAATTTTAGTGTAGATGCTTACATTTATGTAGCATTCTAAGTTTCATAAAATTAAAATAATCAATTCATTAATAATCATAAATTGTGAATGCTCTAAGAAGAATTATCTCCTAAAAGATATTTATGGACGGTATAATAAATAAATAAATAATCCATTTAATCTTAGAAATTATATATTATTTTTATATCAATATCCGAATAAAGAAGAACAAAATAGTATATACTATAGTATTAAAATAGAGAGTAGATTGGTTATTAAATATTATATAGTATGGAATATTTGTTTAGAGATATTTATGTTCTGTAATAATCTTAAATAACTCGATTTTCAAATCCTTGTATACATAATCTTAATGATTCTTATATTTTGAGAATTAATATTTGATTTTCTCTCCCCAAATTTTTAGATTCTTGAAAAAATAAAAGTGACATCATCATAATAAAGTAAAAATATTTTATTATAAATCGTAAGGTGCAACAAATACAAATATTTTATAAATTTAACAGCTAATATTGTCTCAGTTAGTTGATAATCAAATGATACATTAGACCAAAATAATTAATAAAATAATTTGTTAAAATTTTCTAACAAAAACGCATGTGCTTAATTCATTAAGGTAAAAATATATGTATTTTCTAAATAATTATGTTGGAATTGATTTTCTTAAATTTAATATTTTAAAAATTGTTTGTAGAAGTAAAGTTATAAAAAAATTAGAAGTAAATAAAAAAATAATTTATAGATTTTTTTTTCTTTTTAATGATCTAAAAAAATATTTATTTATTTTATTATTAATACCCTTCATTTTAAAAAGCAGTGTATATAAAAATTATGAATTTATTTACTTTTCATTACATGAGATATTTTATGACTTACTAAAATATATCTGACAATGTTTTAAACATGAAAATAATAAAAATTAGGACATATTTATTATTATAAATAATTTATAGTTTTTTATTTCTAATTTTTGTTATCTTTTTATTATATAATTTGTTGCTTTTAATATCAAATATTTTTATATATATTAAATGTGTAAATTTTTTAATTAATTTTTATGTTAAAAATCTATATTTAATTAATATTTATTTTTAATAATTAAATTATAAACTATGAAAAATAAAATAAAAATATATAATCTTTATTAAAATTACTATAAAACAAAATTAGTAAAAAATTAATGTAAATTAATTAAAAATATATATATATGATACATCTCGTTTTTATTTAAAATAAAAATGTATTCGCTATAAATTCCTTTCATATTCTAATTTTATTCTCCGATTAGATTCAGTCCCTCGTTAATGGCGTCGCACGTGACCACGTAATCACGTGCCCTCTCACATCCAGTTTTCTTTTAAATTTATAAACAATTTTCTTTTTATCGAAACACAATTATGTGTTATAGAAAAAAATTAATATTAAAAATTCGAAACCATTAATCAAATTAAACCAATTAATAATAATTAGTTCCAATTCATAACACAATATTTTATAATAAATGCATATCAAAATATTAGTAGGAATTATCTTAATTAACATCAATTATTAATATTATCATCTTAAAGTACTAATCCGTCACAATCTAAAAAAAATATATACAAATTATAATTAACGTTTAATGATATAAAACTCATAAATATATTCAAAGACAAAGATGATATGCACGCATAATTCTCCGTTAAATTTTGACGGAGAAAAAAATTTGTGTAATTTAATAATTTCTGATGAAAAAATTAGATGTAAAGATGAATTAACGAAGAAGGTGATACTAAAAAAAATAGAAGGTTGGTAATGGTTATGAATTGAAGAAAAGAAAAGTGTGAACAAATTATTTTTTAAGGCTTCTTTGAAGATTCAATATTATCATTCAATTAAGGGTAAAGGGTAAATTATTTTGTACATTGGATACGAAAAAAAAAATAAAAATAAATCCATGATGTCACTCTTTTAAATAGTTTAACCTAATTAAAAATTAATGCACAGAATGAGACACGTGCTAAACATTATTTTAATCCAATAAAAATCATCTTGTTAGATTCAATTGACATCATTCTTATCTCTTGTATCACGTTTTACGAAGCTAATTAATTAAAGACATTTGTCTTCACCATGAGATGACTAGTTGTGGAGTGAATTGTCGGGGCATGGTCACATTCATCAAAAAATTAAATTTCAATCATTTTTTTAAATTAAAGTACAAAGGAAGATAAAATGAAAAATTATTATGCTATTTTTCTTTTCTGATTTCTTGCTAATTATGTGTAAATGCATGTTGTGACATGGGGTAAGTGGTAGAAAAATCATTACACCATAGTGTTATGTTACTGAAATTAATTTAAAAAAAAAAAATCTTAGGACACAATTCTTTAAAATCATTTATAAGAAAAAAAAATCTAAAATAACTTTTCTACAAATTAAAATTACTTTATACAAGCTATGTTTTTAAAAAATAAACTTTAATGTATATTTTTTCGAAAAATGTATTCTTAACTTTTACATCAAATGATTTTAACTTATAAAATAATTAATTTCATTTTTTCCATATTTTTTCTTCTAAAAATATTTTAGAAAATTTTGTCCAAATTAAATCAACAAACCTAGCCACTTATGTTATGTTTGATATGTACTGAAATTAGCTTTCGATTTATTTTTTTTGTTAACTAAAAAATTGGAGTATTTGATAAATATTGTTAAAGTTCCAACATAAAATTAATTAGTAATATCTAAAATAATCTAACGTATATTTAAATGATATCATATCATAATGATATCAAATGATATGAGGTAAACTATACCACATAACATGAAGAAGTAGACAATGTGATACTTTCAATCAATATATAATTCTTAATATTTTTTGGGTTACCTTAAGTACTGTATAACAAAAAGCCAAAATTTAGTTTTTACATTTATTTTCTTCTTGTCTTATTTACATTCAATTTCTCTTTACTTATTTTTTTTTCCATTATATAAGATATTGATAAAATTAGATAATAGTTATTTTTCTTTTACCTTGCTATTGATTTTTATATTACATATTTTACTTAACCATCACATGTTGTTATTACTTTAATATTATACAACAATATATTGATCAGGGACAGTTTTTATTATTTTATATATATTGCACTATTTTTTAACCATAACATTAATTAAAATGATGAATTTGATGTCTACTTAGAAGTGTTTTATTTTTCTTTATTTCAAAATTAATTAAAAATATTAAAGATATATTAAATATAAATAATTTTGTATACAATATGAAAAATATAATAATTGAAAGAATAAAATGTAATTAAAATAATTGATGTATAAATAAAAAATGAAGAGAGTTAAAAAATAATTTAACTTGAAATTATAAATACTATAAAATCTATTTTATCAATAAAATAAATTTATATAAAAATATCATATAAACGTTTTAGTAAATAATTTTACTAAATAATTCTAATTTAATAAGCTAATTGACTGCTTTCTACTATCAAAACTAATTTTTCAATTATTTTTATAACCTTAGACTATGTCTTAGTAGATATCTGAGTCACGTTTATTCTTTTAATACCTAAAGTTTATTTAACCTTATGAATAGTATTTAATAAATAAGAATTTTTTAGTAGCTTATAAAGCTAGGCAGCGATTTTAAAACAACTAGCTTCTATACAGTTTTTATACATACATATCTTCCTTTTCTTCTTGATTTTTTTTTTTTCAAGTTATACTTCACCCTTTTAAATAATTTAAATTTTATATTTTAACCATTACACAAATCAACACACTAAAACGCTTACTTAGTTTTGTTAATTTTATTTCGAACTTGATAGAAAATATTTAAAAATATTATCATAAGATTAATAATAGAATATACAATTGAATCTAAAGGAAAATAACTAAAATACCTTTTCAGGAAACTAAATCTTTCTTAATCACGAGAATTGCTCCCTTATTTCATTTTATCAAATCTCATAATTATATATATATATATATATATATATATATATATATATATATATATATATATATATATATATACTTTTGTTTTTTCTTTTCATCTATCCAACATAATATAACAATAGATTTAAATTGGTAGAAATAAATGTAAAAAAAAAAAGAGAGAGAATAAAATCACTAAGTTATATATATAAAGGATAATTTTTTTATTCATTTTGTTACATTATCCCTCGAAATAAAGAGCAAGATTCATGCTAATTCACTTCCGAGGAAAACTTCCAACTTCCAGAAACTTACAAATACCTGGACGGATCTTCACAAATGAAAAATATGCATGTTTTATTTTTTAATTCAATTTTTATAACTACTGTCCTTTAATAGCAGTAATGTTCAAAAGTTAAAGGAAAAATATTAAAATATAACATTTAAGGTTAAATAAAATTTTCCATTTATTAATTTCTTTAAGGTAAAACAATTCTTAGTTTCAGAAACAGATGCATCTTCTAACCACCCTAAAAAATGCATGCATCTTAATTATAGCAATTAAATGAAAGTAGGAAACATAAGACAACAAAACCACACATCCTTCCGAATGAGGGATGGGGGCTTGCAAGAAGAAGGAAGAAATGGATGAGATGTAGAGATTGTGAAAATGACCTTTTTCTTTCCTTTAATTTTGTCCTTTCCTGTGACATTCTCCTTTTAAAGGACGTTTTTCAAGCCTGATTTTTACAGAACTATAGTACACTTAGTTACATTCTATTCTCTCCCACACTTTTCTATTGACCGAGATCATTATTAACAAGTCGCCACTAAAATTTCACCCACATCTAATAGCTGGAGATTCAGATACCCAAGTCTGAGCCTCCTCCAACCTCCATCTATTTACCCTCCTGTCCTGACCCGAGGCATTTGAAAAACCAGGCAAGCCATATGCCAGCCTTGGCCGTGTGCTTCCCCGCGACATAATCTGTTCTTATGTTGGATGCCCAGTATTTGTCTTACACCACAGCAGTCTGCTTCACCATCTCATCTGGAAAATATAGACCAAAAAAATTAGGACTGAGCACAAAAAATTTGAACTTCAGAAAAGAGTATTTTTTTCTTGTGGTAGAGGCAGTTTATTTTAACCACCTAGGAAGTGTAAGCACAATATAAGCAATGACAGATACTCTTTTTAAGACCACAAAAAACCTATATGACATGAAGATTTTGGGAAAACTTGCGACATACAGGGAACATCTTTCTTTGAATGTGAATTTCACTAAAAATCTAGAACCACTCACAAGAATAAAATGAGAAATGTTTACACATGACAGGGCATCCATGATCCAATAAAATCCATCCTTGACCAAGTGAGGCTAAGTAATTATACGAACTAAAGTGAGGCAACGGAGATTCCTGTAGGCAAATGGCCAGCAGAACAAGACGGGTACAAGGATGGAAAGATCCTTGTTAGGTTTAATCTAGAACCAAAAAATTATGTCAGCAGTACTTTGTAGCTACCGAAGGACATTAACTCCACCTTCAGGAAAAGTTATTCACAACTTACTAAATTAATTGATGCGTTTCGAAGAACATGTCCATTATTCATCACTAAAATTTATTGCCGTCCAACACAAACAAAAGTATGAGGCACGGACAATTATAAAGACCGATTCATCTATCTGTTGAGTGTACACGTTTTAACAGTTGGAAGAGTTGCGTAACTTAAGTTCATTTGCAACATGCAACTAGAGCTCCTTAAAACAAAAATTCCATCTTCATGTTTAACAACACCTTATCTATATCAAGTGCCTGTTAATCATTCTAAGAAAAGAAACGCAAACTTCAATAAAACCAGTAAGTTTCTTAAATAAAGCCAATTAGTTTCTTTAAGAAACCCAAATTCAAATAAATTCATATTATCTATCCACTTTCCTATCTGTTAAACACTCCCATTATCCGACTTCTTACCTATTTCCATTCCACATACAATTATGCCTAGTGTCCATAACCCTTCAGAGACAGACTAATATTAACAGGTGTTGAACAATTTTGCAATCTAAAATGAATTTATCATTGGATAATTACAACCACCAACCCCAGTGAAACTAGTGTGCTAAAAATATCATTAGAAAAATGAAAAATAATCATCATTATAATAATAATAATAATAATAATAATAATAATAATAACATCATCAACAACAATAACAACAAACAGTAGGAAAAGAAAAACGAAGCAAACATGCCCTTACCTAGTCACTTATGCAACCAACTGCCACAAGAATACATTGTGATGGACAAATACAAGGGAAGCCATTTCAGTTGAGATTTCTGTAATTTCTACAAGACACGGGACAGCAACACAAGTTAACTTGAAACTTGTTGCCTTGGCTGCAAATGACTATGTCGCTTTCTCATTAACTCAGCTTCTCTAGCTATCTGGATGTCTGAAGGCCAAAAAATTTGATAGACAACTTTGCAAATAAAGCGAGGGAGCAATGCCACAATAATTATAAGCAAAATTGTTATCCAATATGTAGGGGAACTTGCCAGATGATAAATAGTCCTGAAATGTTTTCAAGTGATTAGTAGTTATGTATCATACCCAACAGTACTGCGAGATCAATAAAACATATTACAGAATCATTATTAAAGGACACATGTGACTAACCAGTAATTGGGAAAGACAGGTATAGAATCCAATATCACCATGCAACCGTATGTAATGATTATCGATCCCCAGATAGCAACATGAGTAATCAATACCCAACGGTTGATGTCCATACCAAGGTGTACATTTACAAGGATAACAACTGCAATCGTCCACAAACTGCCCATGCTCCATATGTCAATTGAACTGTCCTTATATGTAAACAATGGGATGTAGAAAAGAACAAGGCTCTGCCATACAGTGTCAATCATTGTGATCCAAAATAATTGCATATTGTAAGCTTCCTGTCTGTGACCTGAACCATACAGTTTTGGATACTGCAATAGTGTCCGATGACTCAAGTCCTTGTCCTGAATACCAACAATAATAGTAGGAACAGATGTGTATATCACAGAATAGAAAACACTACTCCAATCTGTCAACGCAGAAGTTGTAGAAAAAGCCGTGCATAATATATACCTAAGACAAGAAAAGGCATTATTACATCAGAATGTTTAAAATCTCATTAAAACCTGTAACTATAATTAAAATAAAGTAACTTCTATCTTTGAACCTATAATTTATTGTACACCCTACTTATTACACGTATCAACAAGGATAGCAAAACAGAGAGAAGCAATATATTTTTTCCATACATGTTGGCACCAATATAATAAGATAAATTTTGTATAAACAAAAGTTAACATCTAAACATTCCTTTTGTCAATTATCTGCACTGCACACAGCCTATTATTATCATCGGCAGAAATTATAAATAATGAAAATCACATGTTTTTAATTCGAGCTTGTCCAAATGTTGTCAAGATCAGGGCTATTGAAAGAAAGAAGGAATGACAAGAGTAACCATACATACCAAAATAACATCAATACGAAGACAGCATTCCGGTAGAAGTTGTAAAGAACTAAATAACCAACACGCTGATAATTCCAGTGCCCATGAACCAGAAGTAATTTTTTCAAAAACTGAAACTGTCCCATAGCAAAATCTGATGCCATCACTGCTTGGCGCCCTTCCTGCCCACATATTCCTACACCAACATCTGCCATTTGGATCATTGACACGTCATTGGCCCCTGTCAAAAATAATCAGAAAAAGATTTAGCTCATACTAAATCAAATCTTATATAAAAATCCACCATGCAACAGTAGCTGAAGCCTGGTGACCTCAACACTATAGGCAAATTATTATCAACAACAACCAGGCTCCCCAAGAAAAACCAAATGCAAATTAAGTGCATTTCATATCATTATAAAGAACTCACCATCACCTATGGCCAGTGTCATATCATCTGTCCGGCTTTTGATCAGATCAACAATTCCTGCCTTTTGCAAGGGTGCAACACGACAGCACAGCACAACCCTGCAGGAAGTTGCTAGGTCGAAAAGCTGTTGAAAGGAAAAGGGAAATCAGTAAATACTTACCGTTAAAATTTTATTTAACAACTCCCATCTAAAGCAGTGATATATTAACCTACAACAATAGCACAACACTAAAAGAAAAAGTATTAGATGTTCAATATGCATTAATATTTCAAGCAACAAATTAAAATGAGGAAGGACAATTTTACCTCTGACTCCAGTTCCTTCTCCAAAATATAAACCAAACTGTTTCCATCAATTATCAGTGCCAATGGAGCAATACTTCCCTCTTCCTTTCCAGGATTCCATTTGGGAAAACCATTGGGAATATCAAGATCGCCATGCCCAGCATTAGTTTTGTGTTTCAAATTCCGACGACCTCCACTTGAAGATTTCACACCATATTTGGATTTAGCATCCACCAAAAGATTTCTACATTCGACCTCGGAAGTGCCATTTATAATAATCTGCTGCATATCTCCAGTAAGAAGTTTGCAAGAAAGACCAATTGAAATTGCTGTCTCTTGCTTATCACCAGTAAGAACCCAGACCTTGATTCCAGCTTGCCGTAGAGATTCAATGGCTTCGGGTACACCCTCCTGTAGCTTGTCCTCAATTCCAGTTGCTCCAAGTAACTTTAAATTGCTTTCTATAAGAGCTGCTGTTTGCCGTAGTTTAGTAGCTCTGTCAGTCAACGAAGTGCTTGCCTCTTCATACCGGCTTTGCCACTCCTCAAGTTCAGCATCGGAAAGATCCCTGGAGGCAATTACAAGAGTGCGCAAACCTTGTGAAGAATATTCATTCAAATGGCTCTGGGTTGTATGCCATATATTATTGTTACTCGCACTGCCATTTTCCAAAATGCTAAACATTGAAGTATCAGCACCTTTGACTAACACCTTTACCGCATTGTCAGGAAATCGAATGACAACAGACATTCTCTTTCGCACACTATCAAACTCATGAAGACCCAATACATCCAATCTATACACCACAGAGAAAATGATGTTATTGAAATATTTAGACACACGTGAGTGACTGAAGTAGAATATTCAAGTACATGATAGAGTTTTAGTAAGTATATATGCGAAACAATGTTAAAACAAAGTAAAACAAGTAGTCCCCGACCAAAAGGAAGTCACTATCTACCTGAGTTTCTCACCGTTGACGTCAATAACAATATGTCCTGATGTACGTTCAAAAAGTGTATATCCATATGCAGAGGCTGCAGAAACTAGAGCTTGTTCATCAGGGGATTCTCCCTGGTAATCAACGTGTCTATTATCTTCATTTAATTCATTAGCTCCACAACTGGAAAATCCATCATCACCAACTATAGGGATTACAGTGTTACAAGCAGCTAGTGTAAGAAAAAACTCATGACCAGCAATTTTTTCTTCTTTATTTGAGTTACTCTGCAACATTATCATCAGTTCAGAATCAACTGCAATTTCAGATTTGAGCTTCCATCTGCGTTTAGGAGGAGTAACATCAGCGGCAGCTGCAATCATAAGAAAATTAGTTTTGTGATATATGCACCAGCAAAAATGTCGATTCATCATAAGCTTACAGATGGTTTCTGATAAAAACTCAGACAGATGACAGCGTCTACATAAGATTAAGAATTCAGTATATATAATTGAATCCTAAGTTTGTAACAGGAAAAACCATTTCATCAAATACGTAAACCAGTCAGAAGCAATTGAACAACAAACAGAAACATACCAGCTAACTCATAATAAGCTCTTCCCCTCATACAATAATTAGAGAGATTTAAATATTCACCAAGCATTTTTGCAAGGTCTATCCCAGGATTAATTATAATTAATTGAATAGAAGATAACAATCAAAGAAAACCTTATATTGGCACCGATTCTCTTTATCTCAACCACAAATAATTGTTTGCATTCAGTAACAAGGATTTCAAACTGCAGTGGCAAGGTAAGAAATAATGACACAGTACCACATCATTAAGCACTCAAACTAGATAACAATGTCAAGAGGACAATGAATAAGCATTTTTCTAGGATTAATTATAATTAATTGAATAGAAAATAACAATCAAAGAACACCTTATATTGGCACCGATTCTTTTTATCTCAACCACAAATAATTGTTAGCAATCAGTCACAAGGATTTCAAACTGCAGTGGCAAGGTAAGAAATAATAACACTGTACCACATCATTAAACACTCTAAAACTAGATAACAATATCAAGAGGACAATGAATACCTGTATTATCAACCATAGGCAAGGAGCTCCCATAGTTCTTCCCATGTACACTAGCCCTCCTGAATTCCATTTTGTTTTCTGTTAGCGTTCCAGTCTTGTCTGAAAAAACATAGCGTATTTGACCCAAATCTTCGTTTATGTTTAATGATCGACACTGGAACCTTGACCCCGAGCTGGCATCATACATGTCCCTGTCTTCGATCATGAAGTATGACTGACCCAATCGAACCAACTCCATTGTGATGTAAAGAGATATTGGTATCATTATCTGAAACACTATAACAGAACTCAAAAAGGAGAAAAATGCTTCCATCGGAATCCCATAATACTTGTATCTCTTTCTATTATCCGGACCATTGGTGAAGTATCTTTTTCTGTAGTAAGGTAAGGTATCAAGCTGGTTATTGTGCCGTACCAGCCAAAGACACATCCCAATGGCCACAACCAAACACATGATAAAAAGAAAAACAGACAACCAAAGGGTTTCTCTGTTCATGTAACTTTCCAGTCTGCTTCTCTTGGAAGGAGATGCTGCACTGTTCAGCATTGCTTTTGTTTCCTGTCCTGCATAAACTACAACACCAATTATCCAATCCGTGTTCTTTAGCTGGCACCCACGCAGAACAATGTTTGACTGGCTAAGGGAAAATTTATGTCCATTGAACTCCATGTTGGCAGTGAACTCATAAATATTCCGGTTCGGTTGCTCACACCTAATTACCCCAAAAACATCACAAGATTCCGAAGCAACCGCTGAAGCTGTTTCCTGCCTAGCATACCTTGTCTTCAGATTTGACTCTCCATCCAAATTCATTGTCTGAATATAGGCAAGCCCACTTTGATCACTCGTCCCCAACAAGACCATATCAGCCGGAATAGTCTCATCGGCAAAGATCTTAACAACCTCCCCAGCTTGTATTTTTTTCCACTTCTTTGATCGGAAATCGCCGGACTGAAACACTAGAGACTCCCGGTTGTTTTCATTGCGATCTGACCTGTGCCGCCGCCAATCCTCATAGCCATCCTTAATAGCCGTGACACAGAGCACAAACAACAGAGGGAAAAGAGACACAGTCCTCCCAAACACAGCCAGAGGAGGAAGCTGATTCAGCGCAGCAATAGCAAGGAAATACAGATACGCAACCCTATGAAACTGAATGAAAAGATTCTTGGGCAAAAAGGTAACAAAGGTGTATCTACTAGTTCGGATCTCATTCCCGGTGAACTCATACTTGTCGTTGGTCTTCCTGGGATCATTGATATAGATCAACCTAGCACCATCCTCCTGAAAAGCAGGATCCTCAAACTGCACACTCTTCTGCCTAATCCTCTGCGATTTACTACTCAACCTATCCTGCACATGAGACGAAGCTCCGGATATCTCAAAGGGCAAGCTCCGGTTATCAGCACCATGCAGCTCCATTGCACCCCACGATGCCGAGCGCCTCCTCTCGCGCGTGGGGCATTCCAAGGGAAACTGCCAGGGGAACTGCGACTCAACAACACACCTCTCAGAGATATTACTGTTACTAAACGATGGAGTGAGGAAGCTACGATCGCTAGACAACACAACCTCCTTGTCTCGCTCTTTCACATCCAAATCGCAGCTCTCCAGAGCCACGTCGAACATGGGAGACGAGAAGGAACCATGGCCACAGAGGTAGCTTCGGGAACCCGATTTCCCTCGGCGGTGATGAATCACAGGACGAGGATCCGATTCCAAAAGCAAGGACTCATCAGAACTCATAAATACTTCTCCAACCGCATTGTACCAACACCAACGAGATCTGAGACACGACTTAACACAAACAATAATAAAGAAATAAATAACCCAGTAGCTGAATTAAGCTGAAATTGAGGGTGGATTTGGGTGGAATTTGATAAGATGATGATGATAAAATGTAGAGGGAAATTGAGAGATGGGTTGATTGGGAGGGCGGGTGAACCCTAGAATGTGAGAATTGGGAGTGAAAGGGGAATGTGGTTGAGGGGAAAGAGAAGCGACGAAGGATTGGGATTTGGGTTAGGGTGAAAGAGAGAGATGGAAGGGTGCATCGGAGTTGGAGATGGCAGAGAGAGGAACGGCGAACCACCAATAACAACAACAACAGTAATATCAAAACCAATACCAATCCAATGCTTTGCTTTTCTCTTACTTCCTTTCTTTCTTTCTTTCTCTCTTCTTTCTCTTTCGCGTTTCTTCTCTTCTTCGGGCCACCACCATCCAATGCCATTACTATCCACTCTCTTCCCTTCTTTTTCAAATAATTTCAATTTTCATTTTCTAATCTCTAAATTTAAATCATTTTTATTTTCACTTTTCAATTTAAAAAAAAAAAACTCAATTTTAATATGTAGACACTAAAATTATTTTTTCACATTACTTGAACCTAAACCCACGTTTAAAGAAATTGACCTTAAATTCCCTCAAATCACTTACGTCATAGTTTCTTCTTACACACTTTAATTTACTTTTACTTTTTTTTTAATTAGGACAAGCCCACTACAAATGATAACAATTATTTTTATTTTATTAAAAACTCAAAGCTATTATTATATTAAAACAATTATTTACTTCTTTTAAAATAAAGAATATTCTTTTTTCATTTATTTTGCATTTACAACATTTCTCATTAATTATTCATCTCTGACCTAATAATATGTTTTTAATTTAAAAAATTATTTTGGTCTGTTATTATTTCTATTTAATTTGATAACTGAATAACATGTCTTAATATTCCATTGAATTTGTTCCGTCTAATATACTAAAATCTTCATTACCCAGGATTTTATCTCATATGTTGTTTAAATTGAAAATGGAAAAGAAAACCATAAATAATAATAATAATTATTATTATTATTATTACGTGTTTAGGAATAAAGGATGTAAATAACCAATATAATCATCGTGGACATGTGAGCATATTTTAAAATATTAAATTCACTACTTTATTTATAATAGTTAAATTTCATGGTTATATACAATAAAGTAATATAACTTAAAAATATATATATTTTTCTTATCCGAGGATAAATAAGTAACAAAATATATAAATTCTTATTAATTCTTACACATTTTACTTTTAACTTATAAATGAAAAAAAAAATTTCTGAACTGATTTCTGATACTCTAACTTCGTTTCTACGAATAAGTCAAAAAAAAAAAAAAAAAAAAAAACACAGAAACAGAATACAACGGAGCAAAACGAAAAAAGAAAACAAAATCCATTTGTTCGAAATACATAGAACACCGACTTTCGTTGAAGAAGCAGGTCAGCAGCAACCACGAACCATTATTTGGCGCATACTATGCAATTTTGGTTTCACAACACTATTCTTTTTGTTGTTTAGTTTCGCTGTTTTTTGTAATATTAATTAGATAATGTTCTTAAAAGAAACTATCGATAATATTTCCCAACTTGTCCGCTAGAACATTTGGCAATATTTTATTTAACTGTAGCTACAGACGAGGACAGTGGGTCAGAATCTTATTGGTCATTTTTTATATAAGACACTAATATAATGTAGAAAAAAATATTATAAATAATATTATAATTTATCTTTAAAATACATAGGATAATTCATATCAAATTTGAAAATAATGTTAACTTTATTTTTAATTTTTTTATAAACAATGTTAATTTTTATTGAATTATTAAAAATAATAAATTAATAATATCTGAATAATTTTTTAAAAATATGTTTTTTGTTTTTATATTATTCTATAATTTTATTTTTTTGTCTTCGTATTAAACAAAATTTTACTTAAGATATTATATGTAAATAAGAATTTATAAATCATCTTCCTTACCATAAAATTATTTATCAATATTATATTCTTATTATCACCTCCCTCTCCTTCATTATAAGGGATTAAACTTCATCCATAATAATCCTTTCCTTGGTTATCAACGGATCGAACTTCATCTACAATAATGTACATCAATCAATATCTATTTTTTCAATCACAAAGTCTATTTTAAAATAAGTTTACTTTGATATATGTTTTAGATTCATTAACAAGAACTATGCATGGTTTCCACTTCTTTGTAGTTGGTTTTGGTTTCAACAACTTCAACCCAACAACTTATCCACTCAAGTTCATCATGGTAGACCCACTTGTGAGAAGACCATTGGATCACCTCTTGGAGGATAGATGATTATTTGTTCTGTGATTGACAATTAAGAAGGTGTTTGTGTTTTTGTGAAGGGTGATATTAGCGTTATTGTTCTTCCAGAGAGTAATAAAAAAGAGAAAGAGGTTTAGAAAGGAATTCACAGAAAATTCAACATAATTGCATATGAAGTTTAGGACATTCGTATATCCACCTTTAATATAACTTTCTTACCATCATAATTGTGTTACATAGATATTGGGTTAACGTGATTAGATAATAAAGACAATATTTAATATTTTATTTAAAAGTAATGACTAAATATATTTAAATTTTATCATGAGAACGAAAAACAAAATCGTAAAATAATAAAATGATGAAAAGCATATTTTAAAAGAAACAAAAAATCATATAGTAAAATTAATATGTGAATAAAATATAAAAGAAAAAATTATTATTATATGTAAATTAATATTAATTTATTTAAAACCGGAAATTTAATTGTTTTTTAAATATTAACTATTAAACTAATAAAATATAACATTATAACCTATTTTAAAAAAAATATAAATCCAAACTTTTTTATATTATATATTTTGACAAAAAATACTTTTTTTTTAATTTAATCTAATAAAAGTAATATATAAGAACCAGGTTTCTAATATCACTTCAAACTTGATAAAGCATTAAAAATACGAACGAGTGGTTAGCAAAATACCCAACCAAACTTGCCTACACCACCATATAATATTATCTAAAAATTTGGCCACCTTCAAATTTAAAATATTTATTCACAGTCATATATACTTTTTATCTCTGCATTTATTTTAGAATAAGACAATTAATTATTCCTTCGTTGTTAAGTATTTATCGATGCCTTATTAATATTTTTCCTATCAAACAATTCTTTGTTGAAAAAAAAGAAAAATGGAAATAAAATAAGATAAAATAAAATAACGTCAAGTTGCATGTTGGAAAGGGACCTACAAAAATAAGACTAGACGATGTGAACATGGAGAGTTTTTTTAGGTTACATCTTATGTTACTAGTTTAATCATTTCTAATATCAAACATTTATTCTAAATTTTAATTTAATAATATAATATTAATAATTATTGAAATTTTAATTATTATTATTATAATATTAAAATTGGTTGCCGTTTTTATGATTGATAAAACACAGTTGTCAATATAATATTTTTGAAGAAAAAAATGCATTGATGAAAAAATAGATTTGACAGGGTAGGTAGATGCGTGTGAATCATGATATATATGCTGAGAATGAAATAGATTTGATGTATAAACTTTGATACTTTTACATATTTCTTCAAATTTAATAATTAATTATATCAATTCCAGTAGTTTAAATTTGTTCGCGAATATAGTTATAAAAAATAATTAACTTTGAACTTTAGCAATATGACAAATAATATGTATTAACACAGCTTTAATGGGATACCATTTTAATTACTAGTTCATTCCATTATATATATATATTTGGGGATAAGAAGTTACAGGAAAAAGGTTGGTGTGATATGATAATGAGGGATGTGTGTTGACTCATCTTTCAAGTTATGCATGCATGGCACCTGCTCCTGCATCAACTGTTATCTCTGCATTCACTTTTTTTTTTTTTTTTTTTGTCCTTGTCCAAACCAAACTTGTCTTGCCATAATTGCTTCCTTCTACCCCAATCATAACTATTTCCTCATCAGACTACTCTACCTTCCTGTTCCCACAATTTCGTAAATAAATTTTTTAAAATAATAAACAATGTTTATTTGTTATTATTTTTAAATATATTTTTAAGTTTCTTAATTTGAAAACTAAAAAAAATGATATTTTATATTTTTATTAATGATATATGTCTTTTTTATATACCAGTTACACCTTATTGTTTTCTTCTTTTGTCATAAATTTATTAAAATCGTGAATTTGTCAAATAGTCAGTGAAATATAATAAAATATTATTTATTATCTTTATTGTCAGGTGAATTTCTCAAAATCATTTCCCGATTTTTGTTGTAATTATTTATTATTGTTATATAAATATTTTCTACTTTAAAATTTTAAAACTTAAGTTATTAAACCGTTTTTTTAAATTAATTATTTTTCATAATAAAAAAGATCAATACATCACGTATAGAAAAAAGAAAATAAAATTACACCCAGATTAATACAATAACTTGATTTTCAATGTGATTGATACTGAATTTTATCCAAATTTAATGGTAGATTTGTACTCACAAAATTTGTTTATGAGAGCATTAGAATTCTAGTGCATCACTTCTAAAATTTATTCTTGGTCATACGCCCAGAAGCAGATGAAATGCATCTCCTACCCAATCACAAAGTATCTTTAAAGCAAACTATGAACAATAAAAGATGTGGTTTACTCAGTTATAAATAAATAAGCATACAAAATGTCTTGCATCAATTTTTTTTTATTTTTTTTTCAAATTTCATACTCTCTGATTATCAAGCATTAGCGAAACAAGAGAGGAATAAAAAAAATTTATCAAAATGCACAAGTTTTATAATAATTCCGTCGTGAGCCATTTTCTTTCTTTAAGGTGGAAAGTACAAAATGCAATGTGAAATTCACACAAAATTTTAAAATAAACATAACGAGCAATTATGTATGGAAAATTCGTGAAAGATACTCTCTCAATTATCTGATTTTGTGCGTAGTATGAGTTTGTGAACAAGCTGAACCTGGACTCTGCAGAACTTGGCATTCGCCTCCAACAGATTCCGATTCTGATTCCAATTCAGACGCCACCCTCTCCTCTGTCTTCACCTTTCAAATACCAAAACAAAGGTACATTTCTCAATTCTTACTTTCTTCAATCGATTAATGAATGCAAAAATCACAAAATTAAATTAAAAAAATCAAGAACACCACATGCATGTACCTCCAGTGTCGATGGCGCTTCGTTCACGATCTTTCCTTGTTCCTTCTCCCTGAGCGTTCGCATTGGAGAAACTCTCTGTTCCAATAAATAAAAAGAAAAATAAACATCAAGAAACCGAACTTGAAACGAATCGAACAGAAAAGGTGCTGCAATTATTGTACAAACCATGCAGCGATTTTTGAGTTCCTTCAACCGGAACAGCCGGTCAACCTCGATCTCGAGGTTCTTCTGAATCTCTCCTCGCTCTTCCATCTCCTTCATTTTCGCGTCCAGTATGGCGTATTTCTCGTTTAGCATTTTTTCTGTTCTGTCCTTGTCCGCTTTTAGCCTCTCCAGCTTCTTCTTGACTGCACTGAGCTCCTCCGCCAGCGACGTCTCCGGCGGCGCAGCCTCCGGAATCGCGACAGTGGCAATCGGATTGTTCTCTTTGTCAATCAATGAAATCTCGAAACACGGCCGGTCGGGCTTGGGCTTGGGCTTGGCAGAAGACAGGATGGGATCCGCGGGAGAGTTCTTGAGCTGAAGCGGCGTCCTGCCAGACCGCGGCCGCAGCTTCGGTGCTCCAGTCGTCGGAGTTAGCATTTGCGTTTGCATCTGGATTTATGTCGGTTTGTTATTGATATATGGGATTAGAAACTGAAGGGAAAGGTAAAAAAGAGATTGAAGACGAGTTTTGAATTTGAAACCAGACAGGCGCTAACGGCTAGTTTTTTTTCTTTTAGGCCTTTGCTTATAATGAATTTTACTTTCAGCAAAAGTTTACATTGGATTCTCGACTAAATTTTTAACAATAGATTCGCACACAACTTTGATTACATTTAGATCTAGTTTTTTTTGGAAGGTAGATCTAAACTTATTTATCAGATATTAACTAATATTTTACAACAAATTTACATAAATGTCATTAGGCGGGAAATTCCTCTTAATAGCAACATGCAGTGACAATGTTAACTTATTGATTAAGGTATAAGTAAATAATAAACATATTTAGTTTAATTTATTTTAAATAAAGAATCGGTTTAAGTAGGCTCTATGATGATTTTAAGTTAGTAATTGAGAATATTAAATTTTATACACTTTCATAGTATAAATAAAGTAAGCTCTTTATGTTTTTAAATCTTGATGATTTAGTTCATTTCAGTTCCGACGTGTGCGCACTACTTTTCAATACACATATTTTATTTCTTATCATTTTACATATCAAACATTTATTCCGTGTGGATAGGCAAATTACAGGTAAAAGATTGCTAAAACAAATATTCATTTTTTTTTCTAAATAAATTCAATGAAAATAACTGTACAAATAAATGAAAGCCAACCATTCACCAAAAGTCAAAAAAAAAAAATTCCTTTTTGTGTTTTTAACAGGTTTATTTCAACTTCCATATTTTTTAATAAATAAGCATGAAATTTAGTAGAAAATCCATTGGAATCAGAGATAGTCCATTGGAAGCTCCCAATTATCTTCATCAACCCAATCTTTTTGATTGGGTTTCTTTCTTCCGAATTTTTTTCTTCTCCTTGAAATATGACCGTATGTCTCAGATTGTTCAGAGTCATAATCTTCAACATCATCCACTGAAGTTCTTACATTCTGATTGCCCAAAAAACCCTAGCACAAACAAAATAAGTTGATTTATGATCAACAGGACAAAATAAATGAGCTTATTTGTTATTACAAAAAAAACCAACAGGTAGTTATTGTAATGAGAAAGACCAACAATGTTCAACCAATTTTCTGCACTGAATTGCATATTGAACATGTTCTGACGAGTTTCTATTTAAACATTTACGGGAAGAGAAAATAGACAGAAAAATTAAAATTAATCTCTCCATAAAGTAAAATTACTTTATACATAAACTAATATATAGAAGATTAATTCTTCTAACTTTATTTTTAGTTTAAAAAGTCATATTTTTTTACTTCCTTAAAAGAAGTTTATTCAAACAAAACTGTATCTTCTGTAAGAACAAAAAAAGTGATAGAAAGATCAATGATTTTGAAACTAAACTTGGTCATTGAGAAGGTATTTATTCCTTGTCCATTGATTCAATAATAGTTAAACAGGATCAAATTGGAAAAAGGTTAAATATATGTTTTTAATATTATATAACATAATTCAGTAATAAATTGCTTAAAAATCATAAGAAAATCAAGTTAAATTAAATTTTAAATTACAATATAATAATCATTCTACTTGTCTTTAAAGATAAAAATTCATAACAAATGTAGTTAAATAGCAAACCAGATGCAAATCTCGTCTACAAAAGTTTAAGAATATATTTTTTTTTAAATAGATTTTTTTAAAACCCATTCAAATTGGTTTTGGGACCTGTTCTTGCCCACTTTTGGCCTATTCACGATTGGTTTGTCTTGTTTTTTACTGGATTTTTTACTTTCTTACTTGCTTACTTTTTGGGTTATCTAGACAGGTGGCATGAACCTAATATAGAAATCAAACGCAGGTATCAGAATTGTATGCTTCTATGCATTATTCATAATAAGCGTGATTATATTTATATATTCAGTTATATATCCAGCAAGACAACTAGAAAGGATTTCGAACCAGTAGAGTTGAAGAAGAAACATTTCAGCAGCTATGAAACAGATGGGAAGAAAACCACTAGGCAAACCTAGCAGTTTCATTATAAACTAAAGGTACCTTAGAAAGCCTTTGAATGCGTAAAGCTGCAGCTTCATGCACAACAACTGCATCAGATACTACTTCCAGTACGTCCTCAGCCAGCAAGGAGTAGGTACTCACCTAAAATGTAACAAATGTATGTTTGGATTAATTTTTTATTTTTTTTGTGTTCGTTACTTGAAATCAAAAGTTATGTGACAGAACTTTTGAAGATTAAAAAAAAAAAGAATCCCTAGAAACAATCAAAATCTTAACATGTTTTATATATATAAATCTATAGAGTAAATCCTTATGAGTACAATGATATTAGGGAAGCACCAGGATTTTGATCCTAGTGAGGCCCATCAGACTAATAAGTAATATAAGATAATTACAAACACTTACTCTCATTGGTTAAGCAGTGTTTGACACTGTTGTTTGGAAGTCTTCTCATACAAGACTAGCATATTTGAATGTTCTTAAAATAACTCCGACAAAAACTCAATTTTTGCTCTATAACAAAACCAACCATTGGATTCTAGAAAATTTTGTTCTTAAAATATCAGACATACTAATACTTCCTTGGATTAAAGCTTTAAGCTTGATACTATTAAACTCTATAATATGGACTCCACGGAACATGCATGGAATGATCATCATTCAACAAAATAACTCCTGTGTTCCCTCTCCTCCACCAGTGCATAAGTTACATATTTCCTATTGAATTAACAAAATTTGCATGCAATCTATAGTTCCTGTACATGTTTTACTATTAATCTTACAAAGAAGCCACCTACTTACCAAACTTGATGGAATAATTGATAGTCCAAATGAATCAAGTTCAAGTTCTTCAACAGCACCTGAATTGATGCAGAAAGTATACCCACGCACCTACAAGTTAAGATTTCTACAATTACATAACGAAGATAAAAGATTAAGTGAAAACAAGATGGCCAAAAGATATAATATAGTCACCTTCCCAATATTCCGTCCAGAGGGTGTTACAACTTTGTATCCAACCTGGCAAACAAACAAATTAAGATACATACTAACTTGTATAAAATCAAGCTATCCCGCTGGCAATTGAAATGCCAATTTCATTGTGGAAAATAATAAGAAAAGTCATTACAATTACCCAGTGTCAAGCGGTGAGTCACCCTAATGATGCAAACCCAGAAGGGATGAACTTATCTGATTCTTCCAGTGGCGTTCATCCAACTAACCAACTAGGTAATTTTATCTAGTTGTGGCATTGACTATCCATGTTGACATGCTCTGTACCGATATTCTTGCTTAGATAAGCAACAACTGTGGTCTTGTTACTCTAATTTGAAAGGTCCCAGTTTTCAATGAACAGTAGAGAATTTAGATCTCACATACAAATTCTTTATTCCAATCCGCCTTGAGTAGTAAGTTGCCTTCTTTACACATGATTTGTGATAATTTATGTAGAAACTAAGAAATTTGAATTAAACCCTAATAAGGTTTGGAAATTACTCCGTTAACTAGTCCAGTAGGTACTTGGAGGATAGGGTTAAGATGTATGCTAAGCATGTTAGCCTTGTCATCATTTCCTAACTCCATTACTAATGGTAGCTATGACAACAAATCTTATTTTGCAACTGGATAACCAATGTGAGGATATATGGAACACATTCAAATAAAAGATTTTGAGATCTTCGTTCGTAAATATTCAAATAGAGAAATTGAATCTTCAGCAAGGAGGGAAAAAATATATGCAAATGAGGAGAGATTGTGTTTTACTAACCAAAACATCTGACAACACAATATCATATCAGAGGTTATGGTCACAAAATTTGTAAACCATGGAAAAAAAAAGTGATTGGTACAAGCTTAGATTCTTTAAACAACATTAAAAAAGCAAGATTTCGGTCTTTGCATGAAATACTAATCTGCACTGTTTCAGCAACACGTAAGAGTTTGAGTACCATATAATACACAAAGACAACTTATTATCCATATTCTGCCAAACAATGAGCTCAAAAAAATTATGTAAAAGAAAATAATCCATAAGTTTGAGTGATTTACAATAGTAAAACATACCAGTGTCTCCAATCCAATCATTTTAAATTCACTATCTATAACACTTTCATCTTGGACAAGGATGACATCTCCAACCTGAAAAAGCAACAGGCAGAATATTCAATAAGTCACTTGCAGGCAAAACAAAACAAGGTACACAATATTAAGAGTTCAATGTGGCTACAAGCCAAAGTACAAAGCCAAGCTGGCAATTTGCCATCAGTATATACCATGAATTGGACATTTTTGACAAAATATTTGGACACTGAAATCCCTAAGTAATATCTTTTATATTATTGCAGGCCAAAAAACCAAAATACTCCACAAAAGTGATATAAAAGCAATACTTGAACTACGAGCGAGTAAAGTATGTTTGGAGCTGGCATGTACACATTCAACCGAGAGAGGAAACAAACCTAAATAAGAAAAAAATACCTTCAGAGTCGAAACTTTCTTATACCTGGCTAATATCCTCCAGAAGGAATTTTTCTGAATCTCCAGAAAGCAAGTTTGGCCTCACCTCCACAAACAACACCACCCACTGAAAATGGAACCCACGAAAAGATTAAATGCATAAACAAGTTAATTTCGTAGTCCCACAAATAAGATATGACACCAACAAAACAAACAGACACTATTAACAGGTTCCAAGAAGAAACTTGTATTCGGAAGACATGCCAGCAAAACGAACAAACAAACTGCAGAAACTAAGATTGAGAACTAATTTCAAGACTCACAGAGGTGGTGTCCACCCAAAGCTGCGAGACAAACCCCATGCTAAGGGCAGAGCGAATGCTGATCACCTGCTTGGCCAACAAATTCGACCTTCTAATTACCTGCTTACCTCTTCTGACTTTGAGTTTACCTCCAAATTTCTCATTCTCACCTTGATCATCATCATAATCATCTTCCTTCAAACCATCCCCATCTGCATCCCCTTGAACCCGAACCAAATCACCCTCTCCTTTACCATCACCACCTTCCACTCCATCAAACGGCACAGACCCAGTTTTAGTGGGGAAATCTTCACCAACGGGGTTTTTCTCCAATCCAAAAGTCTTTTCCTTTATATCCTCAAATTCAAGTTCGTTGTAAAAGCTATAGCCCTTTGATGGGTCTTCATTGGAGCGGGAGCTGATTGCCCAAGAGACACTCTTGTTATTGCAACTGGTTTTGGATGGTTTAGAAGAGAAGGTGACGCGGGAATTTGGGTTAAGTTGGATTCTTGGTGGAGGAGTTTGGCGTGAATTGAGGCAGGGGAATCTTGGAGATTCAGCAGCTGAGAGGGTAAGAGGGTTTGTGGCGAGAAAGTCAGTCATAGTAAGTGAGGGGGGAGACAGAGACCAAGCACAAAAGCAGCATGGTACAAATTTTACGGCATTAGGCTATGCTCTTGAAGCAGAAGCAAACCGGAGATGATGAATGTATGGAGAGTGCTTATGGAAGAAAAGTAGAAAGCCAATCAACAGTGGATGCGGAAAATTAGGGAAATTATTGTAGTAGATAAAAGGGGTTTTGCAAAATTCTTTTATTTAAATACACATTAAACACGTTACTTTTTATAAAAATATTTTCACAATTATCAATTTTTTTTATCTATCAATAAAGTCTTAATACATATTTGAATTTGGTATTTAATTATATGAATAAAGAAGGCTTTACATGAACAATGATTAAGTTAATTATCCATTTTTGTTTATGAAGTTCACCAGCTTTCATAATAAGTAATACAAAATAATATTAGTTCCTCAATATCAAAGTGGTTTGAGTTGGGCCGAATAGCCCATGTTTTTGAAAATTTGTCCTATTTACTCAAAATCCAACGGAGAAACTTTCACATTAAACCAAAGCCATTGGATTGGAAAACAAAATTTAGGAGGCCAACTTCAATCGATTTTCTGCCACGAGGCTTGGTTCACAGTGACACGAGGCTCCTCCATGTAATGCAAAAACCAGGTGTTAGTTGTTGTAGAGAAGAAGAGGATCACACGTTGATGCTCTTTCATTCTTTTTAACATGCTCTCAACCCTAATTCCCGTTCATTTCTCAAATTCTCCTCCGAGAGGACTCAGAAGCCATAGCAGAGGATAGGAGATATCAGTTTCATTTTAGCAAGGTAATATATTTTTAATTGTTTAAATTTGATTCATTTATTGATTGGTGCTGCTTTTACAATTAATCACTTATTTGCAATTGGAATGTGCTATCGAATCAATCTTCAAAATGGAGAAGGTAACAATTAAAAGTTATCTATGTTACATTTATTTACTGAGTAATTATGCAATTATATGCATAAAATTAAAGGTAAAAAGGATATAAAATTAAATTTAATTGATGGTAAAAAGATCTCCCTTAAAGAACTCATGTAAATGACCAAAAATTTTATAGAACAGAAATGCATGTTCTAAGAGAGTATTAATGGGGGGAAATCCTATTAAATAAAGGTGGTGCTTCGTAATTAAATGCTAAGCATGTGTGTATTTATATAATATCATTATAGAAAATAACTACACTATATACCTTTCATCCCTTTCATTATATTATTTTATTTAAATTAAATATTATTATTTTAAAAAATATTTTTACATTTAAAATAAATGGAAAACGCTCACACATATAATATCGTTAAATGTATTTTTATATCATAAATACTAGTGAATGCTGCCACGTGTATATATATATATATGTATTTTTATTATAAATGTGTTAAATTTAATATCTGTATGAATTTTAATTTTAATTTAATATATTTTAGAATAAAATTCATATATTTCATTTTATATTTGATGAGATTTATTCATAATTTAATTAAATATATTATTTATTGTGCATTATATTGAAGTTATGTGAAAATAAAAAAACTGATTATATAAATAGAGATTAAACATAAAGTATTATATTATATCATCGAAATATTAAATATTAAAAGTGCTGGAAGATCACGTGGGATAGCGGAAGATGTTTTGATAAATCAAGTAATTTTTTAATTATTTACCGTTGGATGATTATTTTAAGTAAAAAATATATAATATTATGTGGTAAACTAGGTTACAGTTACAGCACTGTTACTACACGTGTGCTTTGACTTTGAAAAGATTAAATATTTCAATCTATTGAATTGTTTTTGGCAGAATTACAAATTTTCCAAAATAGAGAAATAAGAAGCAAGTGGGCCTAACTCCAATTCCTTAGCCCAAAAATAGTTCACGGAACAGCATATTCGCGCATCCCTAAGAGGAAGGGGAAACCCACTCGGTCTCGACCACTTACATGTCGCCACGTGTCGAAGAGCAAAAGAGAACCATAAATTGTTCAAAGAAGCCATAAGTGGCGACGCGAGTCCCTCACCGCGGAATCAAATACTCCTGAAATCAACGCATTCCTTTCATTGCCCCTTCCCAATTCCCTTCCCTGGTACTATATCTCTCACGTTCTCGCAATTTTTTATTTGTTTTGAATTTTGATTTCATCGTTTCAATTTCCTTTAATTTCAATTCTGTTTCTTAATTGTCTGCTCTGTTGGTATATTTTGTTTGACGATAACCCTATCGCGCTTTGTGACCGATTCGTGATTCAGAATTTTCCGTTAGATCTCGTTATACACTGCCGTTAATGTCGATTTCAGTCATTTAATACTAGTTATGTTTCTTGGATGACGCAAGAGCCGTTGTTTTCTTATTTTTCGTTTCTGATGTTACAACAATTTGGAAAAGGAAATGAATTTGGATTTGGATTTGGAATTTAAATTCGTCCTCTTTAGGGGCATGTGAATTATGATGTGTTATTTACGACAGTGCTGTTTGTGGAGTATGTTGTGATTACCTATTTGAGTTAGGTTATGGTAACAAAGTTCTGTGTAATATTTTTGAGTTCATCTAACTCGGCCTTTTCGTTTTTCTTATATTTTTGGGTAATTTGAAACGCAGATTGTTAATTGGATCTTCATGAGTTCAGCAACCACTGGAGCATACTTCGTTTCCTGTGTTGCGGGAAACAAGAACAACGACCTCTTCTGCTGGGTTTTGCTCTTCTTGCTGCCTAAGTTTTTGGGAACTCCATTTGCCTACATCAACTTTCTATTGATTCAGGCCATCGACCGAAGTCCATCTGCGGTGGGGGTTTTGGGAAACTTCGGGGTGGTTAACCTATAGTCCTTTTTAGTTTGGTCATCAGCAGCAGAATATTTAGATCCCTGGTTGCTGAGCGGTGAGAAATGGTTTCCACTCAGTTTTCTAGTTTTACCAAGGGTGGCTACAAACCGTCACAGGCTCAGTTACTCATTCCTGCAAGCCTTCCTGATACTGTGAACACGGAGCATATTGAGCTAGATTTCTCTGATGTCTTTGGTCCAGTTACTGTAGATTTGAACAACATTGATTCCACTACTGGTGAACCTGTAGAAGAAGTGAATGAACTGGTCTATGATGACCCACCAATCATTTGCACCCGCTCTCATTCTCTGGTTGGCCCTTCTACTTGTGTTAGTCAATCAGTTAAACTTAGCAAACTCACCATACATGAGACTGAGGATTCATTGGAATTAGTGGATTATCTCGATGGAGAGACCAATAAGGACATCAAAGAATCTCCCATTGTTGAGGAGTCTGCTAAAGATGAAGAAGGGAATCTCATGAAGATCCAGAGAGTTAGCATTGAAGATTTTGAAGTTTTGAAGGTTGTGGGGCAGGGTGCATTTGCGAAAGTATATCAGGTGAGGAAAAAGGGTACTTCAGAAATATATGCTATGAAGGTTATGCGGAAGGACAAGATTATGGAGAAGAACCATGCTGAATACATGAAAGCTGAGAGGGATATTTGGACGAAGATAGAACACCCTTATGTTGTTCAACTTCGATATTCTTTTCAGGTACTTAATTTTGAAATGCCATGCCCCATTCATTTCTTCCTGCTTTTACTATCATTGTCTATGTGACGCCTAACCTAAATTAACAGTATGTTAGTTTAAGTTATGGATATATTTTGAAGTACTTATATCCAGAATTATGTTCTTCATCAGTAAAATGCTAACTCTTGTTAATTGGCTTATTAAACAAAATGGTCTTCAAGACTATGCGTTAATAGAAATTAAAAATCATGTGTTCTGTCCATGCTCTTTCAGACAAAATACAGACTATATCTCGTGCTTGATTTTGTAAATGGGGGCCATCTCTTCTTCCAGCTTTATCATCAAGGCCTTTTCAGGTGACTTTAGCTTCGAGCCTTTTTGTTTCTTCTGTGTCTGCTTTTAATTTGCAAGATTAATTTGTGGTTCTATTTTTCATTGAATGTTCAGGGAGGATCTAGCACGCATATACACTGCTGAGATTGTTTCTGCAGTTGCCCATCTCCATTCAAATGGAATAATGCACAGGGATCTAAAGCCTGAAAATATCCTACTGGACGCTGATGGCCATGTACACTGTCCTCCCTCCCTCCATGTTTTTCAGATTGACTATATAAAACATGCTTTTATACCTGTAATAACTGAGTTATTTCTTTTTGGATCTACTAGGTTATGTTGACTGATTTTGGCTTAGCAAAACAATTTGAAGAGAGTACAAGATCAAATTCGATGTGTGGTACATTAGAGTACATGGCACCTGAAATTATTCTTGGCAAAGGCCATGATAAAGCTGCTGATTGGTGGAGCGTAGGTGTTCTACTGTTTGAGATGCTTACTGGAAAGGTTTGCATCTCTTTCCTTGTTGATTTGTAAAGCTGGTTTTTCTATTGGATCTTTGTAGTTGGATGACTTTTTTGTGGGTATGAGGGCTTTTTTACGTACTAGATGAGGAAAAATATCACTTTGTAAATTTATTTTGGTCTAAATTATGAAGCATAGGGTTTGAGAGGATTGACGTCTGTGTCAAACTTATACTTGCATCAAGCACTACCTAATCATGACACGATAATACACTTTTACTGTGTTGATGTTGTTTCCTTTTCAGTCTTTGCTTCCTTAGAGTGCTAAAATGTTTGGACCTGTTTTGGAAGAAATCAAACTATTGTTGGCTGTTTGATACCAAAACACTAGCCTTATTTTTGTCATTTACATATCATTGTCAATATTGTATTTTCTTTCTCACCAATGATTTTTTTTTTTTTTTGTATAAAAACGCTAGCCAGCATAAATGTGTTTTTGTTCAAGTTTTGCTGTAGTGCCAATTATTGTGGAATTATGATTGCATGATTTATTAAATGATTAAATTGGCCTTAGGATGACACTGTACCTTCTTAATTGATTGTAAAATTGCTAAAATATTTTGTTATTCAGTAAGACAATGTTTCTATCTTTAAACGTTAAAGTTCTTTCAAGCTTAGAGCTGGGTTTACTGAAGCACCATGGTAGCTTGCTTATTATTCGAGTTTAAAAGTGCACTCAGGTTTGTTTCTTTTATGTAAGTTGGTCATTTTATTTGTGTTTTGGCTCGCAGACAATTTTACCTCTTTGATCAACTTCAAGGGAGAAAATAAAGGAAGGGGGGAATGTCTGGCAATTTTGGGAATTTCCATAACAATTTTTATTGTAATACTATATGCTTATTAGTTGTAATGGCTTGTGAATTGAATAACTGCTAGGTGTTTTGGAGTTGGTAAATGTTTGTTGATGTTGTTTCACCTCCTCTGCAGCCGCCTTTCTGTGGTGGAAGCCGTGACAAAATTCAGCAGAAGATAGTTAAAGACAAGATGAAGCTGCCAGCATTTTTGTCAAGTGAAGCACATTCACTGTTGAAAGCGGTAATCACTAGTCCACAGAAGATATTTCCTTTGATTATTCTAAAAGATTTCATCATCATGATCATCTGTATCTTCTATGATTATTTGGCTCATTCTATGCGCTACTTAATTTTTCCATCTTAAATTACTGTTGTCAATATAGGCTTGGTAAACCCTAAACCCAAAAATGAGTCATGAACTGGATCGAGTTCTTTTTTTTCTGGTATCTTTGCCGATATCGTAAAATGTTTGTCATCATTATATCTTTGAGTGGTTGCAAAAATTGCGAGATACTGAGAAATTGGATAAACTTAGAAGTGTTGTTGAGGACATTGGTCTGGAAAAGGACTTAATTTCCAATGTAGTTGAATGAACGAAACTAACATTTGGCAGTAGTAATACGTGAGATTTTAAATTGCCCTAAATTGAAGGTTGTTAATATAGTTAGTGTTAGTGCTTGTTTGGGGCATGATGAGTAACGCATGTATTTTGAGTTTTTGCACTATTTGGTAGTTTACTAGTAAGGAGAACAGAAGTTGTAATTTATAAAGATGATTATCCCTGTTACAGCTGCTACAGAAGGAACCAACGAAGCGGTTAGGTAGTGGAGCCCGGGGGGTTGAGGAAATTAAAGGACACAAGTGGTTTAAGCCAATCAATTGGAGAAAGCTGGAAGTAAGAGAAATCCAACCAAGCTTTCGGCCAGAGGTAGCTGGCTCGCACTGTGTTGCCAACTTTGAAAAGCGCTGGACTGATATGCCTGTTGTGGACTCTCCAGCTGCCAGCCCAAATGGTGGAAACCCGTTTAAGGACTTCTCTTATGTGAGGCCTGCAGCCTCTTTTCTTCAGAGGAATAGCCCTGCTTACTAGCTTCACAACTTGTAATGGCTTTGTCTTAAGATGCATATGTTTTTACACTGCTGTTTTCTTCTCATTAGGTAATTGCCTGTGTTTGGATGCTTGAACTTTCCAGGTTGAGTTCAATCACTTATTTATGCCCCTTGAGGCTCTACATTTGTCTTGTATGGACGAAATAAATTGCCTTAAATCATGCACCCTATCTTCTATTACCGTATTTTCATTTACATTAAACAAACATTCAATCGAAGTACTATACTAATTTTTATGAAGTTTGACTCTCATGCTCCAATATCTAATTAAAATATTTTAAACAACTTTTAAATTCTAATTATAAATATGTAAAACTTATAAAACAAATATGGATAGAGTTTATACACAATATATTTATATCCGCCAGAAAATGTGGCATTTCTCGTGTTTAGATTTAAACTTATTTAATGAATAAATATCTTAGTAATTGTGAATATAATTTTATGAAGTAATTGTTGTGGTTAAATTTTACTATCATTTCTGTGAATATGAATTTTCTTCTATAATTGTAAGCTAACTAATGGTTATCTCAATGTAATATATACTCAATATTTTGAAAAGAAGGAGAAAGATGGGACAGGACAAAAGAAGAATGTGATGTTGTGTTTCTTTATTGCTCAGTTTCTATCTGTCAAGCATAAGAAAGACACAACAAAAGAATGAAAATGCTTTTGCAGGCTGATGTAAACGTGTTTCTTTATTACTGCTCAGTTCCATCTGTTAGACACTGCTTTCTTCGCAAACTTATACATCATCCAACAATCATCACTTTTCAACTTAATTTATTATTGTATTTAAAAATTAGCCCTCTTATACTCAAATACTTCATCTTAGAAATAAATCAATCATCCTTTTAATTCTAAAAATCTTAGGTATTGTGACGTCGATCTTTAAAATTAAGAAAGTTTAACAATATTTTTCCAAGATGGTCTATCATTCTTACATAATTTAATAAAAATTTATGCCTTACGTTAATTAACCATAGTTTCAAAACAAGTTATGTATAAGTAAGTGACCACCTTGTGAGAGTTAATTCTTGAAATTAAATTATAAACATTCATATTTTAAAGTTGTATCATAATGTACATATCTATTAACAAACTTTTTATTATATTATTCACACATTGACATATATATTAAAAAATCGGAAACACCTGCAAGAAGAGCAAAGTGTCTTGTTAAGTACGTGCAATAATAACACTAATAATTGATACGAATATTTTAATGTAAGTGCACTGAACGCGTCACGGTTCCAAATCCAAGGTCAAAGTGGTCATATCCATGGCAGGTAATCCAACTAATTATCGTTATAAGAATAAAACTTGTTTTCTTTGCACTAAAATAAATAAAAAAACACATCAAAATCAAAAGTCAATTTTGCAGAGTTGGAACGCGCCCAAGTGAGTTGGAGATTCCTTGCGCTATTCGATGTGTTGGATTCAAATATCTACATCAGGAGACACTTCTTTATAATTAAGAATGAATATGATGTTTTATTATTTAGCTTAGTTTAAACTAAAAGGAATCGAAGAATTTGTAAAAAGATCGGAGGAATATAATGTTACTGGTTAAATAATAAATAAAGTTATATATATATATATATATATAGATTTATTAATTTATTCTAAAAATAAAAAAATGAAAAATACTTTTATTTTTATAATTTAAATAGTAATTTTTTAATTGATACTTTAAAATTAATATATATATATATATATATATATATATATATTTGCTTAAAGTTATAGATTTATTACTCCTTTGTCATTAAAAATATGACGTTTTATTGAAAAAATATATTTTTAAATATACCCCAGTTTAAGATTGTTTAAATTATTTATTTATTATAAAATAAAATAACAATAACTTTGAATAAAAAAATTACAAAGTTATTAAAAATAATAAAAAATAATTATATTATTTATGTGATCCAATTTTAAAATGTATATATTCTGAAGGATAATGATATATAAATAACTTAATATTACAAAACAATAATTTTTATTAAAATAATAATAATAATAATAATAATAATAATAATAAAATCTGTATTCTTACTTTTATCTGCTTCCGTTTTCCTCTGACGTTAAAAATTGTCTCAAAATATTTGTTTAAAATGAGTGATTAACTATCGTTTTCCTGTTTTGAAAGAATGAAGTAATTAATTTCAGTTATTACGCGTCTTTTTCTCTTACAACAAGTAGGTGCGGTGTTTAACGTGGTTTTCAGTTTTTGTGGCACTTTCTCACTCCATTTTCCTCTTCCACCGTCTTCTCTGTACTCCTTCCAGCTGCAAGCAACTGCCGAATCCAATCAAGCCCTTAAAACTCGGGATTGTCCCGCTTTCACTCTCCGAGTTGCTTTTCAGCTCCTCTTCCCATGGCATGAGGTAAAATACCTTCTTTCTCTTCTTTCACTTTCCATGAATATTCAAACCGTCCTCACCATGATTAGTGATTATCCCACACCTTGCATTGTTCATCCTGTTGTTCACTGAAAATATAGTTCATCATTTTCCCCCTTTTGGATTTTGTTGCATTTGGAAAATCTGGGTCCAAGCTGAGCTGATCATAATCCCTTCCCTCTCCTGATCTGGGTTCTTAAAATATCAGATCTTTTCATCAAACTTATGGTCTTTGATTGTTGTAAAATTCTGGGTGTGTGTGAATTGTAATTCCCTACAAGAGGTGTTGTCAATTGTACGGTAGAAAACATAGCGGGGCTCTTGGTTTGAAGTTTTGTGTGATGATGTGGAGCATGTATCGGGGCTTTGTTTGTGTTCCATTGTTTGTGTGCTTGGTATTGGCTATTGAACTTGTTGTAGCAAAGGATTTTGAGCCTACAGATAATATCTTACTCGATTGTGGGGGTCCTCCATCGAGTACTGATACTGATGGCCGTGTATGGACAACTGATGTTGGTTCCAAGTTTGATTCCTCCTCTGCAAAATCCACCTCCGTATCGCCGGCGGCAACTCAAGACCCTGCCGTCCCTCAGGTGCCCTACATGACGGCGCGTGTGTTCCACGCGCCTTTTACATACTCTTTTCCGGTAGCTTCTGGTTGGAAGTTCCTCCGGCTGCACTATTACTCGGCTTCTTACTCCAATCTCAATGCGTCGGATGCGCTGTTTGGGGTGACGGCGAATTCATACACGCTTCTTAGGAACTTCAGTGTTTCTCAGACCACCCTGGCTTTGAATTATGCCTACATTTTGAAGGAATTTGCCATCTATGTAGAAGGGAAAACCTTGAATGTGACTTTCACTCCGTCTAACAATGCATCCAATGCTTACGCTTTTGTTAATGGGATTGAGGTTGTGTCCATGGCTGATATTTATACTGCCACTGATGGAACTACCATGATAGTGGGTACAAATACTGCTTACACTATTGATAACAGCACTGCACTTGAGAATGTTTATAGGTTGAATGTGGGTGGGAATGATATCTCTCCCTCCCATGATACTGGTATGTTTAGGTCATGGTCTGATGATACGCCCTTCCTCTTTGGGGCTTCATTTGGAGTTACTGAGCCTGCCGATCCTGATGTGAAGTTTGAGTATCCTCCGGGCACGCCAAGTTATATTGCTCCACTTGATGTCTACACCACGGCCAGAACAATGGGCCCAAATCCTGAGATCAACACGAATTACAACTTGAGTTGGATCTTCAACATTGATTCTGGGTTTTCCTATCTAGTGAGACTCCATTTTGCTGAGGTATCATCAAATATAACCAAGATTAATCAAAGAGTATTTGATATATTCCTCAATAATCAAACAGCTATGGCTCAGGCTGATGTAATTGCCTGGGCAGGCATATTGGGCCTTTCACATTCTAATGGGGTGCCTGTGCATAAAGATTTTGTTGTCTTTGTTCCCGAGGATAAAGAACCACGGCAGGACCTGTGGCTTGCATTGCACCCAGATCCAACCGACAAGCCCATGTATTATGATGCAATCTTGAATGGAGTGGAGATATTCAAAATTAGTGATAGTACAGGTAATCTGGCAGGGACAAATCCTATTCCTCCTCCTGTGCAAGACAAAATTGACATATCAACAGCTAGAGCACATAATCATGGAAAATCAAAGAATCATACAAGCATAATTGCAGGAGGTGTTGCAGGAGGAGTTGTTGTGTTACTTGTGATTGGGATATTTGCTTTTGCTGCATCCCGTCGTCGTAGGCAAGGAAAGGATTCTGGTGCAAGTGAGGGGCCATCTGGCTGGCTTCCACTTTCTCTTTATGGTAATTCACATTCTGCAGCTTCTGCCAAGACCAACACAACAGGAAGTTATGCTTCCTCTCTCCCATCAAACCTTTGCCGTCATTTCTCATTTGCTGAAATCAAGTCCGCCACAAACAACTTTGATGAGGCTTTGCTTCTTGGTGTGGGAGGATTCGGTAAGGTTTATAAGGGAGAAATTGATGGTGGAACAACCAAAGTAGCAATAAAACGTGGGAATCCACTATCTGACCAGGGGGTGCATGAGTTCCAAACCGAGATTGAAATGCTCTCTAAACTTCGTCACCGCCACCTTGTTTCCCTGATTGGATACTGTGAAGAAAACACTGAAATGATCCTTGTGTATGATTATATGGCCTATGGAACACTCAGGGAGCATTTGTACAAGACCCAGAAACCTCCACTTCCATGGAAGCAAAGGCTGGAGATATGCATCGGAGCTGCTCGAGGTTTACACTATCTACATACTGGTGCTAAACACACAATCATTCACCGTGATGTGAAGACCACAAACATTTTACTCGATGAGAAGTGGGTGGCCAAGGTTTCTGATTTTGGATTGTCAAAAACAGGTCCAACATTGGACAATACCCATGTAAGTACTGTTGTAAAGGGTAGTTTTGGGTACTTGGATCCAGAATACTTCAGGAGGCAGCAACTAACTGACAAATCTGATGTTTACTCATTTGGGGTGGTTCTCTTTGAGATATTGTGTGCTCGTCCAGCTTTGAACCCGGCCCTTGCTAAGGAGCAAGTTAGTCTGGCTGAGTGGGCAGCTCATTGCTACATCAAAGGCATTCTTGACCAAATCATTGATCCCTATCTAAAGGGAAAGATAGCTCCGGAATGCTTCAAGAAGTTCGCTGAGACTGCGATGAAGTGCGTGGCTGACCAGGGAATTGACAGGCCATCCATGGGTGATGTCTTGTGGAACCTTGAATTTGCTTTGCAGCTTCAAGAAAGTGCAGAGGAGAGTGGCAGCGGCTTTGGCGGCATTCACAATGAAGAGGAGCCGCTGTATACAGATTCTAAAGGAAAGAAGGACTCTGATGCACTGCCTTTTGATGGGAATGTGACTGACTCCAGAAGCAGTGGCATTTCAATGAGCATTGGAGGTAGAAGCTTGGCTAGTGAAGACTCTGATGGGTTAACCCCTAGTGCTGTGTTCTCCCAGATCATGAATCCAAAAGGGCGTTAAGGTCAGCAGTAAGAACACTCACTACATACACAGTCAACCACTCAAGTTCTGTAGTGCAATCTGCTTTCACGAAATTTGATGTTACCCGTCGTCATTCATTTTCTTAATATTACTATTCATTTGTATGGCTGTTCTAATTTATTATGATTATGTAAGTTGTAATTTGTGACAATGTTATTAAAGATTGAAGAGCAAACATGTTGTAACGATATAAAGATTTTTCTTAGTTGAACTACTTTGTTTCTGTCATAACATAAATTCCTCAAACAGTCAAACAAGCTCAGGATTAACTATTGATTTCCTGCGGGTAAAAGAAATAAATACTGATTTCCTTATTATAGCCATATATTTTGTTGGACATTATGATAGTACACGAAAGAGTGTTCTATTCAAAATCTTGCAAAGAATCGATTCTTGATCACATGGTGTGACTGTGAACCAAGCATGCGCATTATCATGATCAGATTGATGGGTTGTTGATACGCGTTATAATGACCTATGCGCATTGAATATGTAGTGACCTTTGTTCAGTTGACTCTCTGGGGGGGTGTGTGTGTGATTGTGTCCTCTCCTCCTAAATATATATAAAGAATATCACCATAATATGAATGTTCTGGATACCACTAACCACGTAAGAACTTTAAAAATTATAAAGTTTAACATTAAAACATGTTCAGTAGGACAACGTGTGAAGGAGTTAGAGAGGGAAGGGCAGTTTTCAACGTTTGCTTTGTATGCATGATTCCATCTCAGTGACCCTGTGCGGTGTGTACAGAAGAAAGAAGGCAAGAAAGGATGAGGAAACGGTCCAGTCTCATTCATGAATGTGACACTTGCACCAAATTTCCACCCTCATTTTTTATTCACTTTTGTTTTTCTCTGAATACATGGGATTGTTGTTTATACCTTTTAAATTAGTTTATACATGAAAGCATAAAATTAAAAATGAAGCCCCAAGGAAATGGTTAAATGTGAAGGAGGTCTTCTTGTGTGGAACATACTTCTGATTTGCTTGATTTTATATAAAAATGAACATCTGATAGCTTTTCCTTTTATATACTTTTCCACTCTATTTTCTTCCCATTTCTCTATTTATTTTCAATCATATCACTTATAGTATATTATTTATGATATTTATATCATTTTAAAAATAAAAAATAAAAAATATTGAATAAAAATAAATTCACATGCTCCTCTTTCAAAATAAGCTGATAGTTTTATAATTAGATGAAGATTTTTTTAAGGAGTAAGAATCGAAATTCATGAAAGTGTCATACTTTGCATTGCTACATTGTATTTAAATTGTGACCCTTTTTTACATTCAAAACAAACAAAAAGTTGTCTTATTACTCATAAAACCAATTTTATTTTTTTAAGGAAATAAAGTTTATAGATAAATAAGAATAAATCCTAAACTTTAAACCTTACCTTAAATTTTAAGCAGATTCTTCCGGAACATATTTAAATTCTCTATCTAAGATGCTAATAGTGACAGAGATAAATTTAAATTCCAAAACTATTAATATTTGATACGTAGTCTTAATTATTTCATACATATTATTTAGACTTATCAAAATAAAAACATTTATGATCTAATTGATTTGTACTACTTTGAATTAAACATTGGTTATTAAAGGAATCTTCTATATTTGTTTTGAAGGAAGGAAGTAAAAAAAATTGTGACTTGAAGAGATATTTAAGATTCGATTATTTATGTGAGGTTTTAATGGATAAGAAGATTTTGAACGTAGAAAATAACTTGAAAAGGTGGATAAAGTAAGGAGAAACAGATGGCCCAAGAGCTACCATGCACGCTAACGTTATTCATTTCAAGCTTCTACATTTGTGAGAATAATGGTCATGGCTTCTCTGCTGCCTACAACTGCAACAACACTTCAACATAATCACACCACCTGTTTCTCTCCTCTCAAACCCACCATCCCAATTACCATTTTCTTCTCAACAAACCGTTTCAAGAGTAGCTCTAGAAAGTGCAACGCAGTGTTTGGTAACATTCCCAAAGACTTGTTAGAGACCACTTTTCACGTGGACCAGTTTCCTGTCTTCCAATCAGTGTCAGTGAAGTTTCAGAATGTAACTGAAGATTTATCAGACTTGCAGAGGTGGGGGTTTGTGATACTTGCAGGCCTGACATGGGCTTATTTAACTGCCAGGCCGGGTGTTCTTGTCGGCGCCATTGATGCATTCCTTTTGGCTCCTTTGCAACTCGTTTTGGACAGTTTATCTGGAAGGAGAAATCTCAAGAGAACTGATTTTCTTATTGGAGATAAGCTAGGAGAAGGGTCATTTGGTGTTGTTTATTCAGGTGTTTTGGTCCCAAAGAATGTAGATGTACAAAAGTGGATGCAGAAAAATGGAAGAGGCAAGGCGACAAAGTTGGATGCCAAATCTAAGGACAAAGTCATTCTTAAAAAGGTATCCTTAAGATATTCTTTATTTTCCAATGCTTCCTTAGCTTATGGGGTCATTGTTGGAACTATATTGATATGATTTACTGACATTGCTTCTTGCATACTGTTTTTGAATAATCTGCGATCGTTTGTACCCCTTTGTTTCTTTAATATAATAGAGCTTTTTTTTGTTCACTTTCTAGTTTTAAGGTTTTGAGGGAAGAAAATAGGAAATGTACTGTGGAGGTTTTTTTCTCCTTTTGGAAGCAGGACGTGCATTTATAACAATAGCCATTCCATCTTACGGTTGATAGAATGATTGATGCAGAAGAATCAGACAGCTCTTTCAGAAAAGGACGATAACTACCCATGTTTCTTTTTAGGAGGATTATGTTATGTTCCTTTTGTTCTTTCTTCTTCTTTCTTAGTAATGTCTCCTTTTTTATTAAGACAAAATAGATACCTTGATTAGATTTCGAATATTTAATCTTTATTTTCTTGATGGTAAATTCCGAACTTGTGTGCGACTTGGTTTATCATCTCTCAACTTACATATGATTATGTAATTAATTTTCTTTTTCTGCTTATAATCATAAAGTCTGTTAAATGTACTCAGGAGCTGACTAATGGAATGTGCAGGTGAAGGTTGGAATTGAAGGGGCAGAGGAATTTGGTGATTTTGAGGAGTGGTTCAATTACAGACTCTCTAGAGCAGCTCCTGAAACATGTGCTAAGTTTCTTGGAAGTTTTGTAGCTGACAAAACCAATTCAGAGTTCACAAAAGGTGGAAAATGGCTAGTTTGGAAGTTTGAGGTGCTCTACCAAATATTCCTTTTAGATAAAGAGCCATATGTTGCATATGCATGCCTCCATGCATCACTTAACTAATGAATTTTGTCACAATTTTGTTATGGTGTTGAATGACGTTGTGTGTTGACCCCGCCTAGTGGGATAAGGATTTGCTGTAGTTTGTTATGGTGAATTTAATTTCAAAATTTTGACATGAATATGTTCAAGAGTAACTACTTCTGACTCTGGTTTATCCCTTCATTTATTTGAATCAATTGCATAACTTCATGAATGCAAATATGATCCAAACATATTTTATGATATACCAACTATTCCATACACTAATTGCAGGGTTGTCCACATCACAGGGAGGGCGCTCTCTTGCTGATTACATGGCTGATCAAAGCTTCCCTTCAAACTTGGAGTCTACCATGTTTGGACGTGTCTTGCAGGGTGTAGACTCTTCTAAACGAAATGCATTGATCATCAAGCAAATAATGCGCCAGATCATTACTTCTCTTAAGAAAATTCACGACACTGGCATTGTTCACAGGGATGTTAAGCCTGCCAACTTGGTAGTTACCATACGGGGGCAGATTAAACTAATCGATTTTGGTGCAGCAACAGACCTTAGAATTGGAAAGAATTATGTTCCCAATCGTACCCCTTTGGATCGTGACTACTGTCCCCCTGAACTATATGTTCTACCAGAAGAAACACTTGATCTTCCACCAGAGCCAATTGCAGCTTTGCTTTCACCAATCTTGTGGCAGGTTTTATTTCAATACTTGATTGATGTAGCCAAAATTAAGTGTCTTCTCTAAGGGTGACACTTTGTCAGTTTTAGTAAAACTAAATAATACTAGCGTCGACAATTGTTGAAGTTAGTTAAAGCAGTATATAGGACAATATTGTCACTGAATCGTGTATAATTCTTTGAAGAATTCCAATATAGGAACTTAGTTAAGGAACTTCTGCTTCAGGGATGTTGTCTACCTCAAATGAATGTTCCAATAAAACATTGACTTACTTAAGTGCTCTTGTGGCTAGTGTTACTAATTAGAAACATCTTCACTGGAATTTCTAAATTGCTCTAAGCCAGAGTTCTTCATTTGCCTATAGTTTTTTTTTTTTGCATCAGCTACTATTTACAGATTGTGACATGATTGGCATCATTTGGGAATCAATCTGTATGGGGTAATTTTATTCAAGTAAACATACCTTTTCAATGTGTATGGATCATCCCATGCTTTATCCTCTTTCCTATTTGTATTTGCAGTTTAACAGTCCTGATCTGTTTGATATGTATTCTGCTGGGATTGTCCTCCTGCAAATAGCAATTCCAACCTTAAGGTCTTCATCTGCTTTGAAGAATTTCAATTTGGAGATAAGAACATGTGGATATGATTTGAACAAATGGAGAGCGTCTACTCGCATGAGGTCTGACTTCCAAATTCTTGATACTGACTCTAGTAGAGGGTGGGACTTGGCAACAAAGCTTATCTCCAAGAGAGGTTCCCAATTAAGAGGACGTTTATCTGCTGCTGCTGCTTTGAGGCATCCTTATTTCCTTCTGGGTGGGGATCAGGCCGCTGCAGTCCTTTCAAAACTAAGCTTTTAAAGCACAAAGTGAGCTTCTTAAGTATATTTGTTCCATTTTGTGATTGTTTCATTTTTTCACCTGGTTGATATTTCTGACTCATATAAGTAAGCTTCAGCACATCCTTGTTGTCTCCTGACAATGTGTCTACAGTAGTACGCTCAATAATTAGGTTTGCATATGAAAACAATGCTTTCTATTGACTTAATTAAACAGGATGAAAGTGGATCATTATGCAAGCAGCTAGAACTTTATATGGTGTCTTTTGAACCATAAGGTTGTTTGGACAATTAGTTGGGATAGGTGCAATAGTTATTTAGAGGGGAGTTGAGAGGTATATAAATAGGAGGAGGATGTAAGGGAAGGGATAATCAGATCAGTATCATTTAAACTTCTTTGTGAAATGAAAAATCCTTTCTAATGGATAGAACTATCTCTCCTTTGTTGTTCGTTCTTTTGAAATCAGGAAATACAGTCTTTCTTTTCTCTATTTTCTAATATGGCTTGACAAAATGTGTGCATGAAAATAGGTTCGTTAACAAAAGTAGTGTCAAATCTAAGATAACATGTTTCTATTGGTCTATGATGACACTGATAATATGCAGGGAAATTATACCTATTTGTTTTTTCACTTTTGATTAGTAAGAGCCATATCACTGTTAATTTAAGCTCTCTGTGCAATATTTTAACAAAACGTCCATTTCCTTCAGGAGGAGCTCGTATGATATGGATACAATGGCACTCCATCTAAAGGCCAACTAATTTATAAATGTACAAGCAGTAATTCCCATATTTTGCTCCATCTTTTCTATTTTTAAGCCAGAGAACCTCCAGAAATATATGAAAGGGAACTTTGTTTTAGTAACATTATACAGAAGGAAAAAGCTATGCTAGCAGTCTAAAAAGTTGGTGGTAAAATTTATACGTTCCTTGTTATCTCTGTCTGTATATGATATAACATATCCCCTCTCAAAATCAATGGCTTATTCAAAATCAGGAAGGAGTACTCAGTGGTTTACAAAGGCTTAACAAACCTTTTCTCATGATGTCTATATTCAGGAGGTAAATATTCAGAGTTTGACAGGACAAGACCAGTAATTCCAAGGGGATAGACACAATATAGAACTAAAGGAAGACACTATTTATTGCTTTTTTTTTCTGATAAGTAAGGTTTTACTTTTTCTAATCCATGAAGTTCACTTTCAAGGATGGTTTTATTAAGTTTCATTTGACACTTCAATTCAACTAGTGCTCTTGTAGGAAATTTTTCTTATGTTTTCCTCATAAGAATCGGTGTACTCAGCCTCTATACTATGATTCTAACTAACTTATGCATACATATATGTTCTTATTATAAAACAACGAAGAATGCTGCACCACACTTCTAGTTTAAGATGGTGGTGATCATGCATGACAATAATGTCGCAACATACAGATTAAAAACTTTGTTGATAACAAAATTATATGGGGCATCACATATTTATCCAAGCATGGGTTTATATGACCACAGCATTACAATTGGAAACATTCCACATATGGTGCTACAGTTCATCGTGATAGAGTATTTCGTCCAATAACTTTTTCTTCTTACAACCCCAATTGCATTTGGTATTGCACAAGGAATTGAACAGCGCAAGTCTAGAGGATTGAAGCTGTATAATGCTTGAGGTGGAAGGAGATTTTGAGAGAACAATCGCATACCCATCATCCATGTTATCAGTTCCATCAGGAAAAAATTGCCACAAAAGGCTTCCAGCCCCGCTCCCTCCTTTCTTTGTGGAGTTTAGGATGGTATTGTATACAGTGCTTATGAGTGTATCTCTGTATGATGAATTGTAGCCAGGGTCTTTGGAAGATACACCAAATTCAGCAAAAATAACTGGCATTCCTAGATGTTTTTCAGCATCCTCTATGTGGGCTTCCATCCATGATTTTATAAATGAGAGATGAGAATCAGCAATTTGTTGTGAAATCCTTCACCAGATAATTGATCAAGTTAGAACTGTAGTATACGTATGTCAAAATACATTGCTAATAAAAATATTAGTGTTTGTGACAGACTAAACAAATGTGCACATGAATATGAATGTAACATTGACATAAACAGTTCGCATATGAATTTAATTTAAATGCTTTGACAGTATAACTGTCATTCAATCTCAGGATGTCATGTATAAGTTTGTCCACTTTTATAACAATTACCTTAAAAGTCTATTGGTTGACAATGTAAAATATAAGTAAAAATCTTTGCATAAATGGTTGACACAAGTAAGTTTTATGACAACTTCATATTTTTTGATAAAACAATAGCATTTCTGAACAGACTTACCAAGAGTCAGCATATATGTGAACAGAAGCGAAGTCCACACCAAGAACCAGGTGGTTCCTTATAAAATCAGTTCCAACCTGTGTAGCATATGTATTGGGATTGAACTGAGCTCTCTGAGGTGTTGATGGGCCATAAAATCCTTCTAGTCCAACCTCCACCAGGTGCTTTGGATCAATTTTCTTCACTTGGAATGCCATTTCTTGAATCCAATCCTAGAATACATATTCAAGTGAGTAGTTGAGTTTAGCGTACTATGTGGCATCGTGGAAAGAACTTTCTATATGCAATTGTTTAGTGGGATGTGATTATATGGCATCTCAAAACGTATTTATATTTTCTTTTCAATCAATAAAAGACCCTTCCTTGTGATATGGATGCCAAAAGAAGTTTTCAAGGGACAAACCTGTAACTTGTCACCTGTGGGATCTGAGGTGCAACGAGGTTCATTCATCAATTCCCAAGCAAAAATGGTTGGATCATCCTTGTAAGTGATGTTTGTGAATGTGTTAACTCTATTGAGCACAGTCTGCACAGTGAAGATAATACTGGAACCAACTTAGTATTCAGGAACTAATATAAAATAATAACATAATAAATCAGCACTCCACATCAAGATGATTCCAGGGTAGTTTTAGTTGTTACAAAATATAAAAAACATGCTTCAATTCTAGTGTCCAGATGAAACTAACCAATGGTGGTTTTGACCTGTTTCAGTATTTAAAGGTACTTGCCTTAACATGGGCCTTGTAGTAGCTTCTAAGAGTTGGATGTGAGAAGAAGTCATCATCAGAGGTCAAGTTGAGGCCAGCAGCATTGCCCCATTTCACATATTGTGCTTTGCCTCCATAAGCCTCCCAGTTGTTAGTCAATGATAATATAAGCCTGATTTTGTATTTCTTTGCTTCACTTACCACAAAGTCCAAGGCCTGGGGAACCAATAGTAAAATGGAATATTACATAAGGAATGCTAATTACCTGCACTGATAACTAGCACATTTAACATGCTTCAATTGAAGTAGCAAATAGCTAATAATACTGGAGAAGTTAGCATTATAATATTGTGTGGTTATGTGTAAAATTTTATTTTATTCTGTAAACTGAATACAACTTTTGTGCAGAATAATACGCAGAATAACAAAACAGTAAAGAAGCACCTTGAAGACGACTTCATCATAAACTGATGGAGATTTCTGCAGGGCCCGCCATTGGCCATCATTGAAGGCCCAAGTCCTACAAACTGTCATACCCACTGAGGATGCTTGCTTGAAAACCTCAGTGACCTTTCCTCTGGTGGACTCATCTGCAGCAAATACCATCAGCCAATATGTGTTGAATCCATTGACATAGAAAGGCTTGTCATTCACCACAAATTGGTTTCCCTTCTTTTGTACCATCTGCCAATCATCATCTTTCACGTCCCTCATTTCACTAGAAACATCAAATATGTAAGTTCCACGTGAACTTAAGATATAACAGCTAAATATGCGAGGGATTTCAAATACACATACCCATAATTTGGGATAGAATTTTCCATTTCATTTTGGCCTTCCTTGAGTGCTTCCTCATCCTTCATAATGCCACCAAATGCATTGGCACTTAAATTTTTAGGAAGCATCAAGAGAAGCACCAAAGAAATAATGCGAACACCAAATCTCTCCATTGAGCTTGGTTACCTAGTCACGGTGTCTATATCCTCTATTGGACCACATTATATATGTGAGCATCTTAAGCTTTCTTCCAAACATATTCATCAAATACCTAAGAGTAGTGTGCAAGTGGAATCTGATCGTGTTTCTACTCTACCTTTAAAGCAAAGAAAAATCTCTATTCCATTGTTGAGAAATGGAGTAAATTTGCATAAACTTCACGTCTTCACCCCCTACTCTTTTAAGGTAAGTTCAAGTGGGTTCCACGCCTCCACTAATTTGATTTTGGTACACACGGAGGCTTTGTTAAATTTGAGCTAGTTGCTTATAGCATTATAGGAATAATGTTAAGATTATTAAATATTAATTCATTGATCAAACGTATATACATAGGATTATCTCGTACAAAGTCCTTATAATCAATTCTAGTTGTGGTGTCTCCATCACATACATTTGAGGAAGAACTTCGTGATAAGAATTTGTCCAAGGAAATAAATGACCAAAAGCAGAACTGATTGGAGGAGGAGGATCTTGTTTCCTTTTTCAGAACGGGTTAGAGTAGAAGAGAAAGATTAATGAAAAGAGAGAAGAGAAAATCAGATTTTCAATTGGCACTCTTTATTGTGCAATACTTTTTAGAGCCATGTGATACTTATACTTCACCCACTTGTGAGATTCTTCTGTGTATGAATAAATGTCCTCCTCCAAAAGTCAACAATTTTCTATTGATGGTGTGTTTCTCATATTAGAAACACACTTTTTAATATTTTTATTATTACAAGAAATTTCACACTAATTAACAGGAAATTAACTCAAGTAACTAATTAAACTACAAATTTGACCTAATAAATAATATAATAAAAATTATTAAATCTAAATAGAATATATATAAGATATTATCTATTTAAAAATTAATTTATCACGATTTTATTTATAAAATACACTTAATTATATAAAAATTATTCTTAGTTTATTCTAAATTCATAAATATAACTAATAATTAAAATATATAATTTAAAGAGTGAGACTTTAATTTTTCTCTCTGTCAATTAAATATTCTTAATTTTATTTTTTTTCTAAAATATAATTTTTGATTACCTTAAGAATTAGGTAAAAAAATATGTCAACCATATGATATTTTTTTTATCTTTATTATACAAGGCCCATCTGTTACATTTTTTTTTCTTGTGGGTGTTGTTCACCTTCAAGATAATTAGAATAAAACGAATATCAAATATATAAAATATGATTAAAGTTAGAAGTTACTTTGAATAGTTTCTTTTCTTATACATATAGTTGTTTATTTTAAAACATTTTACGAAATCAAATTAAATCCAAAATGGTTTTATTTTATGCCCGATACCAGGATTGCTGTAACTTTTGCCAACTATATGTTGATGATTTTTTGTTAATATGTAATATGCAATATCTTAATAATAATCAGTTCTCTCGGTTTAATTATTTTTTAATCTTTATTTCTAGATTCTTTAATAGTATTTTCTTAAAATCAATACTTAAAAAAATTATCTTATATCACACTTTAAATTGTTTATATAAATTAAGATTTATATATTTTAAAAAAATGTATTTATTAAAGTTTTTAATTATAATATAATTTATATAAAAATATTTATTTATTAGAAATTTTAATAATATAAAAAAAACTGCTATAGACAAAATTATATAAAATAAATCATTTATGTTATGTAATAGATTGTTAAAATAATTCAAAGTATTAGTATTTAATTATCAGCCAAACAAAACTTTACCTATTTCACCAAAAATAAATGCTAAAACACAAGTTGTGCTTAAACTCCTTCTAATATCTCATAAGACAAATTTGGTATATGTTTAAGATCTAAGTAAATTTGAAGGTTTTATTATACATAGAGATTAAAAAAAATGATTTAGTGTTTTTTTTTAGTTTTTAAAAATAGTTGTAGAGATCAATTTTTGAAACTGTTTTTAATTGAGAAAAAAAATTATTAATAACACTATTTTAAAAATAAAAATAGATAATTATAAAAAAATCATGATGAAAGTGTGAAAATTTATTTTGATAATTTCAAATCAGTGATAACATTAATATCCGTTCATAAAAAAAATCAATTTTGATTTTTTTTAATTTTTAAAATTTTTAAAATTTAAAAACAATAAACAAATAATCCCTAAATATATGTTTCTAGATTAACAATGTTTTAGTTAATTAATTAAATACTATTTTGGTCGCTTTAAAATATTTGTTTTAAAATTTAAGTTATAATAATAAAATTTATTTTATTTTAAATATAATAATTTACAGGAAAATTATAATTTATATATATAGAATAAAATAACACTATTTTCATTTTTTAAATATATTTATTATTTTATAAAACAAATCTACCTTCCTTATAATCCATATTACCTAAATTTTTTAATTTAAGTTAATATATTTTTAAGTCTTTTAACTTAACATGAGATTTATGTTTTTAAAAAACTCATCCTCACAATATTTATTTTTAAAATATACTATTTATTTTAAAATAAGAAAAAATAATATTTTTTATTAAAATATAGTTTAAATAATTTCTAATTTGTTTTTATTTGGTTAATGAGTTATTATATTAAATTATTTTAACGGTGGTTGAAAATTGCATGGTTTACCAAAAGAACTATTTTTTTACAAATTTTACTATAAAAAATTATTTAAATTTATAAAAAACTTATTTTTTATTATTTTTATAAAAATTTCGTGAAAATATCCTCATGGAAATTTCCGTCATCACAAAGGAGGCATTGGGGAATTGAAGAAATAAAGAGAAAAAAAAATCTTTTTTCATAAAAAAAGTTCAAATTTATTAAAAAAAGTTTTAAATCAGTTTCATTTCTTTAATCTAGAGCATTAATTATTTTATGAATATAAAACTTATGTTTTCCATGGATATTGAACCTGATTTCACACTTCATAGTATAACATTTATTCTTTAAGATTGAGTTGAGTTTAAGTGTATGCGCTAGGAAATATGAATTTTGTTGATTTCTGTTTCTAATTTTAACTATATATTTATGATAAAAACATAAATTGACGATAAAAAAAAAACAGTTTTTATGAATGTAAAAATTTGTAATTTACTATTATTTTATTTTTTTTATATTATTTACTTTTGTAAAAACTGCTTTTGTTTTTGCTTTCAAATGAAATAATTATCTTCAAATTACCTTTTAATAAATTTTAAAAAACTTACTATAATAATTAGTCATTAAAATAATTTAATTTTGCATTATCCACAAATACTCCTAATTAAACGGACTACTTTAACCTTTTTAATAAAATATAAGATAAAATTTTAAATATATATATATATATATATATTTAAAATTTAAGTTATTTTAATTAAATTAAGTTTAATTTTATATATAATAATTTAATATAAGATTATAATGAATTTTAATAAAATAATATATTTTTGAACATAAATATTATTTTTTATGATTAAGTCTTGTCTAAATCTATTTAAATCACAAATTAGATAGTTTAAAAAATATATCAATTTAATTTAAATTGAAAACATTTTAATAACTTATTTTTCAAATTATTCGTACGAGCATAATTCATACATACTTAGAAAAAAATTGATACTAGCAATTAAAAGTGTAGGTTGTTTTTTTCTTACATTATTAGTAAATTAAAAGTATCTCCAATTTAAATTTGAAAATTATTACCACAAAAATGATTTTTAATCATAGAGTAACCCAGATAATTTAACAACTAGATATCAGAGTGCCTAGTGAAATTATTATTTTAATGAAAATATTTTTTGAAAATAATTACATTAAATATATATTATTATAACAATATATAAAGAATATTTTCAATTAATATTATATTAAATATATATGTCAAATAATATATTATTAATAAATAATAAATAAATATAAAAAAAATGAAAGGATAAAATGATAAAATTATAAATATATACTTAAATATATTAAATAATTATTAAGTTTGAAGGGGACAAAATCATAAATTATTTTAGAATTATAAAATTGAAAAAGAGATGATAAAATTGTAAATAAATAAATATATATATTAAATGTTCACTGAGAATCAAAATCATAAATTATTTTAGAATTATAAAATTAAAAAAGGATTAAAAAGATAAAATTATAAATAAATAAATATATATATTAATTATTAATTAAATTTGATAAATTATATAGAAGTTAAAAAAAACCGCATATTCTAGATAGTTCTCACAAACCAAAAAGCTTATCTTCTGATTTCATCTAACATGCATTGGTCAAAAACCATTTTTGGAGGGTCCCTTTCTGACTACATCTTTGTTTTTTTTATCTGTCATGGCTACACCGCAACCTTCTCTTTCAAATACAAACAAGACTTTCTAATTTTCTATACTAACTGATAATAAAAATCATTTTTTAATTACACTTTTCGTATGTGGTATATCTTAATTATAGAACATCATTATGGAATCAAAATTTTGATTATTCTCTTCACAATATATATATATATATATATATATATATATATATATATATATATATATTATATTGATGAATTTTTATATAAATATTTGATGAGAATTTTTCATAAATTAATTTAGTTTATATATGCTGATAAAAAGGTTATTTAAAAAAATTGAAGTAATTATGAGATACTAGTATAAACAAACTTCTAGAAGATCATAAATTAACTACATATTGTTAATTTTATCTCATAAAAATTATTCAAAACTACGTGCATCGGATCGCATAATAATTTATCAATTACATTGTGGTCAAATTATGTAGCACAGTAAAAGTACAACCTTGGACTGTGGAACACACAATAGTCAAGGGAAAATCTGTGTATAAATAGATATGGAATCTTTCCTTTCTCACTGCAAATAAAGAAGTGAAAAATTGCTTAAGTGAACAAACACTATGGAGAGAAGAAGGATTGACCATGAGATGCTGGTGGCTTTGCTGACCCTTTTGGTGTTCTCATTGACTTGTGCCACTGCTTCTTCATCAGACCCAACAGAACTCCATGACCATGTGGAGCTATACAGGAGGAATCTTCTTGCTAATGGCCTTGGTAGAACTCCTCCAATGGGGTATGTGTGTGATTTCTGTTCACTAACACAAAGTTTTTTCTTTGAGTGAAAATGAGTGTGTTTTTTACTTGCACTGAGTCTCTCAGTTCCTTGCTTATCACTTACAGTACTCCTAAACCGACATGTCGGTTCATGCTGTGAAAAAGCAAGAATCTTGGGAAAATACTCTTTTTTTTTCTCATACCTTAAATTAGTAGTTACAACTACACATAACTCATTCCTTTCTGATTCCAAATTTATCCATCAAAAGATTTATGATACTTAGATGTTATAACTTACAACAGTTCCTTTCGGTGCAGGTGGAACAGTTGGAATCATTTTAGCTGTCAAATTAACGAAAAAATCATCAGAGAAACTGGTATTTACCTACCATCATCAATTGATTATTTTATATAACATTATATGTACATCTGAGAAATTAGTATTTGGCTTTTATTTTATTTTTTTAGCAAAGATCCACTTGGTTGAGAATTTAGTCTGATTATGAATTTTTTATATGGGTTTACAGCTGATGCTCTTGTTTCTACTGGTCTTTCTAAGCTTGGATACACATATGTCAATATAGGTACATGAAAACACATATTTTTCCATCTCTTATTCTTATTAATTAATCAATTAATTTTGTGCTTTTCTTTACTTTGCAAAATGTCATAAGCACAAGCAGTTAAACTTAATCCATAATTTTCCAATTATTGCAGATGATTGTTGGGCTGAATTAAATCGGGATGCTAAGGTATGGTTATGGTTTTTATATGCTTAATTGCATTTGCATTTTCTTACATTCAATTACTTTTTTTTTTTTTTTCCTTCACACATTGTTATAGGCTATATCTGTTTGTTGTTTTGTTATAGGGGAATCTGGTAGCAAAAAAATCAACATTTCCTTCTGGAATCAAAGCTCTTGCAGATTATGTTCACAGCAAGGGTCTTAAGCTTGGAATTTATTCAGATGCTGGGTACATATACTTAACCAAACAAGTAACCAATTTAGTCCCATGTGCTTTTTTTAAAACATGTTTAACTAAACTTTAGGTTGGTCAATTTTGCAGGTATTTTACTTGTAGCAAACAGATGCCTGGTTCTCTGGGTCATGAGTTTCAAGATGCCAAGACTTTTGCATCATGGGTTTGCACACTGCTTTTTTCTTCATCTTTATCCTCAGAATCATCGTCATTAGTGCAATTAAACAAATGGTTGTTTTGTCTTATTTACAGGGTATTGATTATTTGAAGTATGATAACTGTAACAATGATGAATCAAAACCAACAGATAGGTAGTCATGCGTGTTAGTGTTATATTTTAATTGATCGAATTGAATATTTTAACATTCCACTTTGTTAGTTGTAAATAACTTTGAAAACTATGCTCTTCGTATGATTAGATACCCTGTTATGACTCGGGCTTTAACGATGGCTGGTCGTCCAATCTTCTTCTCACTATGTGAATGGTAATTCTATTTGTTTTAGTATCTTATAGCTCCACCAATTTTAAGGTCTTCCCTCTAATCGCATGTGGTGTTTTTGTTAGGGGAGACTTGCACCCTGCTTTATGGGGTGCTAAAGTGGGAAATAGCTGGAGAACTACCAATGACATTTATGATTCATGGGAAAGGTGAAAATTATGCTTTTAATTAGTCAATACGAGTGGAGCAAACTTCTTTTGCCATCTCATGTGTCTATTGTCACTCCTATTCAAATTTTTTTATCCAAAACATTAGTTTCATTGTTAATCAGACTAATAATTTACTAACCTGGGTCTATAACTCAACTGGTTGAACAGTGTGTGAGTTGTTGTAAAATTTCCTGATACTTGTGTTCAAGTCCTATAAATAAGAAAAAAACTGATAATTTACCACTGAACGGATCAAATCAACTGGTGCAGAGTTAATCTAAAATTAAATTGAATTAACTTGGATCTGTAAGGAGACTGTATGGAATTTAACTACAATAGATACAATGGAGTGACAATAGACACTCCTGAATGCGTCTTGAAATATGATCAAGTAGGGTGTGTAGCTGTTCACCCAAATTGAACTGATATGGATCTGTAGCTAATAAAGGTTACTATTATCTTTGGCAGCATGATTTCAAGGGCAGACATGAACGAAGTTTATGCTGAATATGCAAGACCTGGTGGTTGGAACGGTTAGAATTTCATTAACCTTGCGTTTTCTGAAAGATGTTTTATCCAATTGAGAATCATGATATCCATTGAACATGTGAACTCAACAGATCCTGACATGCTTGAGGTGGGAAATGGAGGGATGACAAAAAATGAATATATTGTTCACTTCAGTTTATGGGCCCTTTCCAAGGTAGTACTATAATTCTTTTGTGATTTATGTAAAAGCATGTACAAGGCCTTCCTTTATTTCCTCATGTGAAGATTTATTGCAGGCTCCTCTTCTTCTTGGCTGTGATGTTAGAAATATGACTAAAGAGACTGTGGAGATTGTAACAAACAAGGAAGTTATTGCGGTTAACCAAGGTGATACATAATTAGGGTCATTTATCATCTCAAATGAAAAATAGTTTATGTACTTTTTACATTGTCATCCAATAAAAAATTGCCATATGATAAATTTATCACTCTTTACGAAAATTACTTAAAAAGTCATATCAAACTGTCACTCTGTGTAAGAATCCTTAACATTGTTAGTTCATATCAAACTCATTTCTTATTCATTGTAGTGAGCTACTGTTAGTAATACTTCTATCATACAATGGCAGATTCACTTGGCGTACAAGGTAAAAAGGTTAGGATGGAGGGTGATATTGAGGTAAGTGGAATTTGGAACACAGAACATGATTTTGTCTCTAGTGTCATATGAACAATATATGATCATAGATGAGGTTTTTTGCAGATTTGGGCAGGTCCTCTTTCAGGGTACAGGGTGGCTGTTGTCTTGCTTAATCGTGGCCCTTGGAATGTTTCTGCGACAGCCAACTGGGATGACATTGGTATTCCATCAAAAAGTGTTGTTAAAGCAAGAGACCTTTGGGAGGTATTGTATTTGGATTCATTCAATCTTTTGTTTTGCAGTCTTACATAAATTGCATGCATGCTTTTTCTCATCACAATTTTGTTGATACTGATGCTATGAGTTATCTGCTATAATGCATGCAGCACAAGACATTGGCGACACCCTTTGTGGAAAAATTGACTGCCACAGTTGATCCCCATGCGTGTAAAATGTACGTGCTGAAGCCAGTTGCTTGAGTTCTTAACCAAATTTTTGGATTGAAACTTTGGAGCAACTGATGCAAACAAAAAGCTGTACACGATTTTCAATTCAATAAACATTGTCATCTGCTTCTATTGATGGAAGCTTGCTATCTTAGTGTTCAAGCTCATTGGAACCAGTCACTCAGATGATAACGAAACAGTTGACATGCAAAATGGTTCTAGCATCGGACAAACTTTAACACAATCTCTAGTATTGGACGAATTGAAATACAATCGCTATGTTTATTCTAAACTTGGACTAGGATTAAGTTTTTTAATCTTCTGAATGAGTTTTTTTTTTAATTTAAATAATAACTTCAATTAAAATTGTCTTTTTATGAAGAATATTTTAAATCTAAAATGAAATATAAAAAAAAAAAAAAAAATACAAGGAGTTAAAGGACAAAGGACAAGTGAAAAATGTGATGATGTGATTATAAATGAATTATAGAAGCAATTAATAGAAGAAGTGACAGCAGAAAGAAAGCGCGTTTGCAAGTTGTAAGCTGTTATATGTCTGTTTGTCATTTCTATCTTTTCCTTCCAAAATCTATCATTTCAGCGTTTGTAATCCAATCATTTACCGTTTTTCAAAAATTTTAAACTAAATTAAATTATTTGAAAATAATACCATAATCCAACTACCACTTAAATTAAAACTTTTAAGATAGAATAATTATTTATCTTTTAAAAATTCGAAAAAAAAATTGTCCTATTAAGTAATGCAACAATAAGACTTATAATTAATATTTCAACGCGTCTTGGTTACAAATCGAAGGTCAAAATGGTCATATTCGTGGCTGGTGACCCCCTTCAACTAACTAAACGCAATTAACTATCATTATTAGAACTGTTTACATTACACCAAAAAGACAAAAAAAAAAAAACATCAAAATCAAACGTCAAAAAACATCAAACAGCAATGGAGATTGTTACATTATACAAAATGTTGGATTCAAAAACTTGTTTTTAAAATTAAAGATAAGAAATTATTTTACATGACGGCATGAAATATGTTTAGACCATTTTTTATTTTTAAAAATAAGATAAATTAAAATTAACTTATTCATGGTTAAAATTCAAAAAAATTATATGATCAACTTTTTAGGAATTAACTTTACATATGAATCAATTTTAGTTCATAAAGATTTTTTTTTCAAAAAATCTTATAGAAAAAACTATTTAATGCATAATTTTTTTTCCTTGCAACAATTAACTAAAGATCTTAACATTGTGTTACTTTTGGAAGAGCGCATTCATTTATCATATTAATGCAAATATGTATAGTATGTACCTTTTTCTATGATGAAAAAAAAAGAGAAATATAAAATAAAATTATTGATAAATTAAAATGTAAAAAAGGAAATTTGTACTCTTCACTTTAACTATAAGAGTGTCTCAATTTAATGAGTATCTTGAATGTAAAAATCTAGACTCAATGAAAAGGAAAGTATTCTTCAAATAAAATTGTAGTTTTCTTTTATTCCTATGATAAAAAATTATGCAAAAATTAATTCTAATTTGTTATGGTACAAATTCAATTTTAATTAAATATAACGCACACAAAAACCATGTACATTAATAAGTAGTACAAAATTATTTTAACTTACCAATGATCTTGAATTATATATCAAAGATTTAAAAAAACTATTGTCCAAAATATCTTTATCCAAATAAATATGGTTGTCTCTTCTAAACAAATTCTTAAACAAAAATCATTATAAGTATTCAAAACATCTTCCTAGTATAAGCATCAAATGCATCTATGTTATATTATTTATTGCATTAATTATTTTATTGAAATGTTTTAATTATTTTGTCATTCCTAGTTCATAAATAATAAATACTATAAAATTTTAATAAGATAAATTCTCAGTTTCTTTTACGAGTACCGGAGGATGTGGTTTTCACACAAGAATTACTTGGATAAAAATTAATTAAATAGAAAAAAAGGGTAATAATCTCAATTTTAAATTTAATTAAAAAAATAAAAACTATTAAAATATTCAATATAATGTTACTAATTAAATTTACTATTTTTTAATAAATATAAATTAATAAAGTAATTTTATATATAAGAAGAAATGTAATGCTTTTAAAAAGTAAATACTTTATTTTTATTTGATAATTTTATTGGTATAAGACAATAGAATAATCATAATATTATTCCTTAAATAAAAAATAAAGTTATACATTTCTTTTAATAAATTTGACTGAAAGCTGTAGATTTATTAATTAATTTCAGTTTTGTTTATGATTTTTTTTTAATCTTGCAAGTTGGTGTGGTATTTAAGGTAGTTTTCATTTTTGTGGCACTTTCTCACTCCATTTCCTCTTCCACCGTTCTCTCTCTCTCTCTCTCTGCTCCTTCCAGCTGCAAGCAGCTGGCAATTCCATTCCAATCCAACCCTCTAAACTCGGGATCGTCCTGCTTTGACTCACCGAGTTGCTTTTCAGCTCCGCTTCCCATGGCATAAGGTAATATACCTTCTTTCTCTTCCGTCAATATTCAAAACATTCTCACTCGTATTAGTGATTATCCCACACTCTCATTATTCATCCTGTTGTTCACTGAAAACCTAGTCCTTCACTTTTTCCCTGTTGGATTTTGCTGGTTTTGGAAAATCTGGGTCCAAGCTCAGCTGATCATAAACCCCACCCCCACTTCCGTTATCTAATCTGGGTTCCTAAAATACGAGATCTTTGTATCAAATTTGTGGTCTTTGATTGTTGTAAAATTCTGGGTGCGTGTGAATTGTAATTCCCTCCAAGAGGTGTTGTAAATTGTACGGTAGAAAACATAGCGGGGTTCTTGGTTTGAAGTTTTGTGTGATGATGTGGAGCATGTATCGGTGCTTTGTTTGTGTTCCACTGTTTGTGTGCTTGGTATTGGCTATTGAACTTGTTGTAGCAAAGGATTTTGAGCCTACAGATAATATCTTGCTCGATTGTGGGGGTCCTCCATCGAGTACTGATACTGATGGCCGTGTTTGGACAACTGATGTTGGTTCCATGTTTGATTCCTCCTCTGCAAAATCCACCTCCGTATCACCGGCGGCAACTCAAGACCCTGCCGTCCCTCAGGTGCCCTACATGACGGCACGTGTGTTCCACGCGCCTTTTACCTACTCTTTTCCGGTAGCTTCTGGTTGGAAGTTCCTCCGGCTGCACTTTTACTCGGCTTCTTACTCCAATCTCAATGCGTCGGATGCGCTGTTTGGGGTGACGGCGAATTCATACACGCTTTTTAGGAACTTCAGCGTTTCTCAGACCACACTGGCTTTGAATTATGCCTACATTTTGAAGGAATTTGCCATCTATGTAGAAGGGAAAACCTTGAATGTGACTTTCACACCGTCTAATAATGCATCCAATGCTTACGCTTTTGTTAATGGGATTGAGGTTGTGTCCATGGCTGATATTTATACTGCCACTGATGGAACTACCATGATAGTGGGTACCAATACTGCTTATACTATTGATAACAGCACTGCACTTGAGAATGTTTATAGGTTGAATGTGGGTGGGAATGATATCTCTCCTTCCCATGATACTGGTATGTTTAGGTCATGGTCTGATGATACGCCCTTCCTCTTTGGGGCTGCATTTGGAGTTACTGTGCCTGCTGATCCAGATGTCAAGTTTGAGTATCCTCCGGGCACGCCAAGTTATATTGCTCCATTTGATGTCTACACCACGGCCAGAACAATGGGCCCAAATCCTGAGATCAACACGAATTACAACTTGAGTTGGATCTTCAACATTGATTCTGGGTTTTCCTATCTAGTGAGACTCCATTTTGCTGAGGTATCATCAAATATAACCAAGATTAATCAAAGAGTATTTGATATTTTCCTCAATAATCAAACAGCTATGGCTCAGGCTGATGTAATTGCCTGGGCAAGCATATTGGGCCTTTCACATTCTAATGGGGTGCCTGTGCATAAAGATTTTGTTGTCTTTGTTCCCGAGGATAAAGAACCACGGCAGGACCTGTGGCTTGCATTGCACCCAGATCCAACCGACAAGCCCATGTATTATGATGCAATCTTGAATGGAGTGGAGATATTCAAAATTAATGATACTACAGGTAATCTGGCTGGGACAAATCCTATTCCTCCTCCTGTGCAAGACATAATTGACCCATCAACAGCTAGAGCTCATAATCATGGTAAATCAAAGAACCATACAGGCATAATTGCGGGTTGTGTTGCTGGAGGAGTTGTCATAGTAGCTGTGATTGGGCTATTTGCTTTTGTTGCATCCCGTCGTAGGCAAGGAAAGGATTCTGGTGCAAGTGAAGGGCCATCTGGCTGGCTTCCACTTTCTCTTTATGGTAATTCACACTCTGCAGCTTCTGCCAAGACCAACACAACAGGAAGTTATGCTTCCTCTCTCCCATCAAACCTTTGTCGTCATTTCTCATTTGCTGAAATCAAGTCCGCCACAAACAACTTCGATGAGACTTTGCTTCTTGGTGTGGGAGGATTTGGTAAGGTTTATAAGGGAGAAATTGATGGTGGAACAACCAAAGTAGCAATAAAACGTGGGAATCCACTATCTGACCAGGGGGTGCATGAGTTCCAAACCGAGATTGAAATGCTCTCTAAACTTCGTCACCGCCACCTTGTTTCCCTGATTGGATACTGTGAAGAAAACACTGAAATGATCCTTGTGTATGATTATATGGCCTATGGAACACTCAGGGAGCATTTGTACAAGACCCAGAAACCTCCACTTCCATGGAAGCAAAGGCTGGAGATATGCATCGGAGCTGCTCGAGGTTTACACTATCTACATACTGGTGCTAAACACACAATCATTCACCGTGATGTGAAGACCACAAACATTTTACTCGATGAGAAGTGGGTGGCCAAGGTTTCTGATTTTGGATTGTCAAAAACAGGTCCAACATTGGACAATACCCATGTAAGTACTGTTGTAAAGGGTAGTTTTGGGTACTTGGATCCAGAATACTTCAGGAGACAGCAACTAACTGACAAATCTGATGTTTACTCATTTGGGGTGGTTCTCTTTGAGATATTGTGTGCTCGTCCAGCTTTGAACCCGGCCCTTGCTAAGGAGCAAGTTAGTCTGGCTGAGTGGGCAGCTCATTGCTACATCAAAGGCATTCTTGACCAAATCATTGATCCCTATCTAAAGGGAAAGATAGCTCCAGAATGCTTCAAGAAGTTCGCTGAGACTGCGATGAAGTGCGTGGCTGACCAGGGTATTGACAGGCCATCCATGGGTGATGTTTTGTGGAACCTTGAATTTGCTTTGCAGCTTCAAGAAAGTGCAGAGGAGAGTGGCAACGGCTTTGGTGGCATTCACAATGAAGAGGAGCCGATGTATACAGATTCTAAAGGAAAGAAGGACTCTGATGCGATGCCAGGTTATGATGGTAATGTGACTGACTCCAGAAGCAGTGGCATTTCAATGAGCATTGGAGGTAGAAGCTTGGCTAGTGAAGACTCTGATGGGTTAACCCCTAGTGCTGTGTTCTCCCAGATCATGAATCCAAAAGGGCGTTAAGGTCAGGAGTAACAACACTCACTACATACACAGTCAAACACTCAAGTTCTGTAATGCAACCTGCTTTCACCTAATTTGTTGTTATCCTTCATTCATTTTCTTAATATTGCTATTCATTTGTATGGTTGTTCTAATTTATTATGATTCTGTAAGTTGTAATTCGTGACCATGTTATATAAAGATTGAAGAGCAAACATGTTTTGTTATATATCAAGATTTAATGTTTCTTTCTCCCGTTTCTAAGTTGAACTACGTTTTTGTCGTAACATAAATCCTCAAACAGTCAGCAAGCTCAGGATTAATTTCCTTTTTTGTAGCCATGTATTTTGCAGGACATTACAATAGTACGAAAGAGTATGTTCTATACCAAATCTTGCAATGAATCGATTCTTGATCATATGGTTGGACTGTGAGCCAAGCATGTCATTATCATTATCATGATCATGATCGATGGGTTGTTGATACGCGTTATAATGATCTATGAGCATTATATTTGGGGTGGTCCTTGTTCAGTTGATTCTGTATTTATGTGTGTGATGAAAAGCAAACTTATTGTGTCCTTGTAAATACTTATAAAACAAGGTCTTCTAAAAATATCACTATTATAAGAATGTTCTGGATACCACTCACTAACTATTGTAAGAATGTTCAGCAGGACAACGTGTGAAGGAGTTAAGAGAGAGAAGGAAATGTTTCAACGGTTGCTTTGTATGCATGACGGAATTTTGTGACACCTGTGCTGTGTGGACGTAAGAAAGAGGGCAGGGAAACAGTCCATTCTCATTCATGAATTTGAAACTTGCACCGCCATTTGTTATTCACTTGTGTTTCTCTCTTAATATATGATGGGGTTGTTTTTAATGCCTTTTAAATTAGTCTATACATAAAATTAAAAATGAAGCATTGACCAAGGAAATGGTTAAATGCCTTCTTGTGTGGAAGCCACGTACTTCTGATTTTCCAAGGATGTCTGAACCTCAATTAATATAGGTTTTGGACTATCTTTTCCATAAAAAATTTAAAAAAACAAAAATAAATGTAATTTCAATGTTTTTTTCATATTTTATGAAAAAATTTATCCAAATATAGTCATATGGACAAATGAAAAGAACTTTTGAGCGACTAGATATCAATGAGGAAACTTTTACAATTAATTTAAATGAAAATTTAGAGCCTCTTTATAATGTTTTTATGTAATAAATAAAATTAACTATAAATATAAAATATGGAAAAATTATAATAGAAAGATATTCATGCTTAAAAATTAAAATAATAACAAAATAATATTGAATACAAATTATGTTTAAAATAATATAAAAATTTATATTTACTCTTTATTTAGTTTAAAATATCTTACTTTTAATGTGCTGAAATTTAAACGAATACATCATTATTTGTTTAATTTTATATCAAGATGTTTTCTTTTGGACTAAGGGCAAAATAATTATGTTTGAAGGGGGTGCAAACATCAGTTTGGCTTAGGCCGACAGGTCGATGTTATGGTAAATAGTTATTTAGGTCCATTTGTAAGATAAAATATAACATTCCATTTCTAAGATAATATAATATCATTCTTAAATTTTTAAAAAAATTCTAAAAGTATAAACAACAACCACACTAGTTCAGCTTTTCTTTTTTTTCTTCTAAAAGTTTATACAAATTAATTTTTAGTTTATGAAAAAGAAAAATATTTTATTTTCTTAAAAAGAGTTATAGAGAAATTTATCCAAATAATTTAAGGACTTGTTTGACAATCAAAAGACTAATTTGACTGTATTTGTGATATTAAGGGAATACATATAAATTATTTAGTGTTTTATTTTTTCCTTTTGTCTTGTAACAGATTTTCTGGTTTGTTATATTGATAATATAAGTGACTCGCCAATTTTTTATATACAATGGAAATCGAATCATACTTTGCATTGCTACAAATCATCAAGGAAGTTAATGATTTGTGTTTATTACTGCATTTAGATTTTGTGACCATTTTTTTCATAGAAAACAAACAAATAAGGGAGCAAGGTAGTGTAGTCACAACTAAATGTCAAGCCATGAATTGAGTCATTGAGAATGCAGCCATATGGCATGATACAAAATTGAATTTGCTTAAACAACAAAGTACAACAATTTTCTGTATTTGCAAATCAGGTTTGTTCTAACTACAACATCATCACTTAGAATTGGAGAAATTCATGTGACACACATGTCTTATATTTACATCCAAGAAAAAGATACAAGGACACTCACGGCAAAAAAACATGTAGAACAATAGTTCTGACTTGTGAAAGGACAAAAGGCACAACAAGAAGAATGAGACAACGGTCACTGTTTGTATTCGGGAAGTGAATCATTGATGGCAACAATCTTCTTCTGCAGCTCTGGCTTGTTGGCTCCTACAAGTTTGTCAAGTTGTTGTCCATCTTCAAGAAAGAAGAAGGTTGGTGTTGCTTTGATGTCCCATGAAGTGCTGAAGTCCTACAACATATGCAAAATTTTATTGATAATGTGATAATGTGCCCTAGTTCATGTTGAAGGAATATATTGCTTCAGTTGGCACTTGAGTCGTGTGTCTTGTGTTTATATTATATTTGAGGGGATCACCAGTTAATAGAAAATAACTTTTGTGAGCTTCAGTACTTACAGTTAGTTCATCCACATCAACTAACAAGAACATCATGGATGTGTATTTCTCAGATAACTCGCAGTAATATGGCGCAATCATCTTACAAGGACCACACCATGTTGCACTGAAATTCGCAATCACCTGTTGAACATGGATTTATAGTATTAACTTTTGTACCAGAGTAAACAAATTAGGCAAATACTAACTTATGTCTCAAGAAGGGCATAGATTAAGGAAACAAAAATGAAAAGATTTATTGGAAAAGAAAGTATATGTTACATTGGAAATACAAAAGTCAGTTATGCTTTTAGCAAGAATTTCATGTCAAGAGATACAAAGTCATGTGCATTACAACAAGGTTCAAGAGTACATAGCTGGATATCCGTTGAGATTATCAGGTTATATCCTTAGTCCTTAGATTAGTCTTAACATCTTAGATTTGTTAGGTCAGTCTCCTTTTCAAATATAAAATCCTTTCAATGTTTTCGTCAAATTAAATAGAAGGGGATCAATGATATATATCCTGATTCTGAATTTGAACACGCCATTTTTTGCTCAGGTGCTTACACAGAATCTTATGACTCATTACCAACTTTAATGAAACAGTACCATGTTGATTACTTTCGAAATATAATTCAAACAGAAACCAACAAAAAAAAAAGAGGCTTGACAATAAAGTAGAAGCACTCAATAGAAAGAAAACGGGGGACACAACTTTTCATTAATATGGAGTCTGAAATGTAGATTTCCTATTGAGGCTTTGCCATCAAGCACCAAAAAAACAGATGTTTCCAAACTATGGTAAGGTATTAGTATCAGTGGTTCATCCAAAAGCACAACAGAATGAGAATCGATTTTTAATTTTATTGTCCTAGTAGAGAGTAAAAGAGAGGGGGAACTTACAATTTTGCCATCCCTCCTTGCTTCTTCCAAATATTGGTCCCAAGCTTCTTTGGTGGTAATAAGTTTCACATTCCCAGCAGCAAACTCCACATCATGATCAGAATCACTATCCTTAGCTTGTTGAGACTACAAGCATTAGAAACACGAAACTTCTCAGTCAATTTTCTTAAAAAATGAGCAGTGTGGACTGATATATTATGAATTTCTAGAACCATTGAGGCTCCACAATGTTTACAAAGCTATCACATCACACACTTAAACTCTTTTGGGCCGTTCTTTCTGGCAGCTAATAGCTTGAAGAAACACAAAAGTTGGGGCTAGAGGCTTACAGAAGAAACACACTTCTAGTTACAGATGCGGTCTATCCCATCATACTGAATTAATAGGGTTTTCATAAGCCAAAAATGCTGCAATATAAGAGAAAAGCAGGAATAGGAATTCGGAAAAGTGACATTTCAAATTAACAGTTTTGTTAAAGATTATCCCTTTATCACCTCTAAAAGATAAAGTAGACTCAGAAGCAGGAGAAGTAAGTGGAGAAAATGAGAAAGAGAGTTGGAAAATAGGAAAGTAGTCTTAAATTATTTGTCTTTAACATGATCTGTATTGCCTAACTAATAGCTACTAAAAGATTTATTTTCGTTATTTGAATGATAAAACTATCGCTTGATATTTTTAGTAAGAGAAAACACCCTACACAATATGCAGGAAATTTATTTTGCTTTAAGAGTCTGGTATGTGGTATCCTTAGAACAAAGTAATTTATCAGAGGTAACAAGTGAAAGGTCTAAGGTTTTCAACTTCTAATGAGCATAACATAAAAGAATATGATTGATGTATACAAATATTCTCACCTTAGCCACACAGTTCCCCATTTAATTGTCTGAGAGACTCAAACTTGTGAACTTTAATGAATGGAAGCCTGAAAGAAAAAAGACAACCAATGTGAGCAGATCAAATTTCTCTAAGTGGATCAAAACAATAGTCAAGTCACAGTTTGATTAATAAAAATATGCAACACCCCATTAGTATACTATCTATCAGCCTGCAACTTACACCCAGATCACACAGTTAAAGTACAATATAGCAGCATAAGAAAATATGCACTTCTATGAATTTTCACTGAACCAAATATCAGAAATTGCTTCCTAGTATATATTTCCATAAAAGAAACCACAAACAACTACAGGTCAAGAAAAGGTCAAATCTGATAATAGATAAATCAGAAGAGGCAAAATAAGCAGGGCAAGGAAATTATTTTACTCTTCAAACACGATTGCACTCTCAACACTCGACAAGTTGAAGTAGAGAGCGGTAAAACCCTCCACAATCACAAGAAGAGTAGAGTTTGCTTTGTAGAAGTCAATAAGAAAATCAGAAGAATATGAAGAGACATAAGATGACATTTACAATGCATAATTAGACATGATAGATGGTTTGTTTCTCAAATTTTCATCCATTCCTAGCAAGAATGCCATAACAGGACCTCCCCAAAATGGAAAGCAAAGTAAACAAACTCGGAAAATTGCTTTTGTTAAAACCCAAAAGACCAGAAAGTAGTAATTCGGGAATCGCATGAAAACCAAATTTTCTCTATCCGGAAAGTTAAAGTTGCAAGCTTTCCATAATTTTCCATACAACAAAAACAACCCCATCAAAAATAAAAACAAAAAAACAAATATAATTGAATGAAAAGTCACGATTAAACCACCTCAAAAATAAGATATGAGAGACAAACCGTACCAAAGTAGCAGAATAAAACTGAAACAGGAAGTGATTGTGAAGCAACACACAGTGCTACCACTACACCTCGGATTCGGAGAAGATAAGGAAAGAGCTATCGCAGTTTCCGTGAAAAACAAAGATTTTGGTGTTGGTTTAAACACAGAATAGTAACAATAATAAACGGGGAGTTGAAACAGAAGTTGTTTATAAATTTTTTATATATAAGCAAATTTTGTGTGATGAATCATAAAGCCTTCAACTTGGAAAGTGGACAAACTTGTTTATTATATTAATTAATATCAATCACTCGAAACAACCTAAGGGCTCATAAAGTAACCATTATCCTTAAAAACTTCAAATGACAGTTTCACTGACAAAAATAGTCTCAAAACGGTTGTATCAACTGCCATGGCATTATATGCTTACTCAATTAGTAATTTTCAGGTTCAAATTCTCACATTCCTTTAATTTGTTAAATATTGAAAAAAGTTTTATCTCTATAATGGTTTTATCAACTCAAACAAAATTGTAATGTCTTTTATAAAATTAATTATTAATAATACTATCTCCATCTAGAACAAGATTTTTTCATGAGAAAGGTTCATGTAATAAAATCCATAAATCTTCAAATTTGACAAGCCAATAAGTTTAAGATCCGTTGATATATTGATAATAACTGAAAAGGAAAAATCAAAGTTTTGAATTAATTATTGCACATTTATATTGGTAAATTTTTGAAATTCTTTTTAAAGGTTTTTATTGTGTCTTTATTATTCGTTTCTAATTTTTCTTCAAACGACCGGTTTTTCAGTTGAAAAATTAACTTACACTGCATTTTCGTATTTTTGATAAAGTTAATTTTAGGAGTGACATTTATAATTTTGAAATATCATTTTAATGAGTTATTTTTAAATAGATTTAATAATGTATAAATCACTTTAAATATTAGTCTTAAATACAAATTAAGTTTCTGAACATTAACTTTCTGTATGTTTATATAATATAACTTCTTTGCATCAAGTGAAATCTACGTAATACATTTTTTATATGTCACCATGTAATTTCTAATGGATAACGTTTAAATAAATCTTTATCAATGCCGGAGAGTTCTAATCGAACCTCAGATTCTTTCAAAAGTTTTGGTTAATTAATTACACAGAAATTTTATATGGAATCGTAATAGCTAGATAGAATCTTCGATTTTGTTTAGAACATAATATATTCAGATTGTGACAGAAAAAAAAAAACAAAAAACGAAAGTGCTTGTCACGTTTGTTAGAAATAATTTAAGAAAGAAAATAATTGCATGGTGTGTGACCATGATTTTAGATTTTCAAGTTTAAAGCATTTAATGTTATTATTACACGCGGTTTCTGATCTCAAGTTTCAACGCTGAACTGGACTTGGGAATTTGGATGCATATTTTAGGTATTTTATAGGAGGAAACATCATTTAATTGATTAATTGGAAACTATAATAAATCTCTTAGTGTAATTATATCTTCAAGACCAAATTCAAAGTTAATTAAATTAAAAGAACTTTATATCAATTAGTTCAGGTGTTTTTTGACAATGTTTTAACACTGATTATTAGTTTAACAAGTTTATAATTTTTTTTATAAGTATCCATGACAAAGTTAGTTTTTTAAAGATTTGAAACTTCAATAAATTTGACGTAAAAAGAATTTAATAACTATTTTTTTATCTTCCAAGGATTAGTTTATTAATTATTAAAAAAAAAAGGGTAATATAGTAGATAATCAATGTAAATGTTCACTCAAATTTTCATTTTTTTAAGGAATGTTAATGTTTACTCTTATAAATTTGAAGGTTCTGAAGTTATATAAAGTACTACAAAGTTTGCTTTATATTACAGAATCTAAGTCTTTTTCTTAAACACAAGTATTATTTTTATTGTTATTTTCATTATGCACAGTGACTTCATCCACACTAAGCAGTTAAATTTTTATTTATAAATTATTTTTTAAATACTTGTTTCATTAATATTTTGAATTTTACCTCTTCACACCATATCAAGTTAATTATATTTTTTTAGAAAAAAACTAATTTTAAAATTATTAGAATCTTAATGAATCCTGGACTCGAGTTATGACTTATCATATCAACAAAAATTGAGTGGAGTTTTATAGTTTATTCGTAAATTTTAAAAGTCTATTGCTGTAGTTTATTATTAATTAATGTGATAGAAAATTCAGTAGAACGAAAGCAGCCATCATTCTCTTTAACTATGAAAATGTATTATACTTGCTAGTTTTAATAACGTTGAATATATTACATGAAAATTAAGCTAATAAAAAAAATGTATACAAAGATATTCTAATATTATTACATTAATACTTTCCACCTATAAAAAAGATAGCACAAATGTGTTTAGGTTGTATAATTAAGATTTGGGAGGGGAGAGAGAGAGAGAGATGAATTGGGGAGAAATTGGGAAGCTGGAATGGGAAGGTAAGAGTCCCACAAACACAACGTACTTTTCATGTTGTGTGGAGTGTAGTAATTTGAGGTACAAGAGAGACAGTTGTGCAAAGCCAAATAACAAAAGCACCAATTTCTGGGAAAGCAAACTCCAACCTTAATAACTACGCAAACCAAATCTCTTCATACAATCATTCATTTCGTTTGGAGAAGTGTGAAAAAGTTAAAATTAGAGTTTAATTAGTCAAAAATTAAAGTATAATCTACTTGGTCTACTTGGTCCTACCCGACTCAAGTATAATATACTCGTAATATTTAAATAACACCTGGTCTACGACAATGGCAAATTAAATAAGTACTTATATTTCTAAGGGTTTTTCAAAATCCATATTTAGCTAATATTTCTTTTTAAAAAGTAATCTCAACATTGTCCAAAGTTTTCTAAATATCTTCTGTCATTGTTTTTAATGTCTTAACAATTATGTTAAAATTTGGGCTATATGTAAAACAGTATCATCACAAGCTTCCCTAAACAGTCCTGTGTAACATGTTATAATAATTGCAGTGTCCATCAAATTCAGTTTATTTTGAAGATATAATCACCAGTTTAAATTGAATGACTTCCAAAAACATCTTCAGAAAATCAAATTACTTGGAAACGCTGTTCAGAACATTAAAGGGAAAGATGTTTGTTACATATATCACTATTTCTACATTACTTGACAGATAAAGTTACAACACAGCCATGACACAAATAACATCCTGTTCATACGTTTGCATCATGATAAAACATCACAGTGGTTGAACATAGTTTTCTTTTTTATCAAATTAAGACACCGCCATTTCCCTACCCCTCATGACAGAAACATAATCTTACCCCAGAAAACAGGAAGAGAAAAGCAAACCCACAAAAGTTTTCATAGATGCCAGCCATTTAATATACAATTTCTAAACACAAATCAGCCCATGGCATATTTCTGGGTCCAGCTGCGAGCAGTGGCCTCATACTTGGTCCTATCAGTTTTGTACATGTGAGCAATTTCCGGAACAAGTGGGTCATCAGGATTTGGATCAGTCAGCAATGAGCATATCGAAAGCAGTACCTGGTGTGTCAAACAAAACATAATAATTACAAAACCCATTATACCCTAGATTCCTCTCAACATCAGTTATGAGATCCACATGCAACAAATGATTATATAATTACACAAAAGCTTAAAGCCGTTCCCTGTTCATAGGGTTAATAATTGGATTTGGAGTGGCGGGATTTCATCCCTGCCAATGCTCCCCAGGCCATACTAGGGAGCTATTTGGGGGTGTATCTGGGGACCCCTCCTTTGCGACCACCCAAAAAAGAGCTTTAAAGACAGAATTACATTGATAGAATAAGACTCAAAACTCATCATACCATATTTCATCAGACAGAATTCACATTGACAAAAAAAAAAAAAAACAACCATTCTCTAATTATGTTTCCAGGATGCAAAATAACCAGCCACAGTGGACTGGACAAAATTTCCAATTACAACTAGTAGAATAAGTGATTCTGAACTACTGATTATGAATTAGAATACAATTAAAACCAATGAAAAAAAGCATAAAAGAAATTTTCAAGGAATAAATTAAGAGAAACCTCTTAATCCAATGTTTGTTAGAAATCTTTGAATAATTCAAAACGCCATTTATCAATCTGAAAAAAACTACTCAGTCCTTAGATCCTCTATTCTCACTTTTTTGTCAGATACTACCCATGGTAGCAGTTCTGACATCCCAAGAACAGTGCTTTAAGAAATTCTGCAGCGTTCTTGAGCAGCAGTGGCGGCATCAATCTGAACAATGGTGTGGTGGTGGATTGATACTAATAACACAGCAGGGTAAAGCTGATCACAGATTTCAAGCTAATTTCTAATTAACAAATTACTGAAAGAGGGATTGAATAAAAACATAGAGAAACCTTGGAAGCCATGCCAATCACAGTACAATATGCTCGAGGAACTGCTCACAGTGAAAGGGGGTAGAAAGAGAAGGATGATCAAGAGGTTACCAATTATAAATATGGAAAAGGGAAATATTACCAAGGCTTCACTGGGATAAAGATAAAATCCCTGAGAGGGGAAAACATCATTCTGATTAAATTCTTCCATTTTTTACCGGTGTACTTACATCTTTTGTGTATAAAATTTGACTGTCTTAACCCAATAGCCTGAAGAAATGGCCATAATATAGAGTTATTGGCTTTACTGAAGCATATCTGTCTCAACAAACTTCTTAGAATCACTGAATGTATTACGTGCAAAATATAATTAAGAAAATAAAGGTAAACCATGAAAATTATTCATTTTTTTTGGGCATGTGACTTTCCTCGAAAAAGTGTGTAACATGTGACTTTTGGACATTGTAAAGGCCAGTAGTTCTAATTATCCATTAGAGCCAACCAAAACAATAAATTGAAAAAATCTCATTAGGCTAATCAAGAAATTATTCACCAGTAATTTAGTCCAACTTTACTGTAAAGTAATGTATGTCCAAAACAACATATGAATATGTAAGCTCCCCAAAAATAAAGCAACGAGTAAAAAATTATAATGAAGTTCATGGTAGTTGAATTGGGATCCATGAACGGAGAGCCTATTTTCAGAATCTCAAATTAGACTGAGATTCATGATCCATGATAAAACATATAATATAAATAATACATTAATACACAAAAACATCACCTATAACTTAAAAACATAATATTTTTACATAAATATAAGCATTTTGAAGTATAATAGCTAATAGAGTGACGTACAAGCTTAAAAACAAAAAAGGATGGTGTGTACAGTATGTGTGTGTGTGTGAGCATTTTGAAGTATGATAGCTAATAGAGTGACATATAACCTTAAAAAATGAGCAAAGATACAAATCATAACATCCAAAAGGCCAAAATAAAGTGCCTGCTGCTACATACATAATAAGGGCCACAATAGTAACCAGCCCTCATATTTTTTGGTCATAGGATCCACAGCACACCTAGTCAGCAGATATCAAGGGACCAACAAAGAGGAAATATGGGACAGAACTCATCTTTGAGAGGAACAGAGGAAATAACAAAAATTGTAAATGTAAGAAACTGTAAAAACATGAAAAGGGAGAGTGGAATGAGTGAAGATGTAAAAAATGAAAACTGGCAAGTGAGACACACTGGGTCTCATTGAGGGGAAAATCTCAGCACATTGGTCACAAATGACGCAACCCAGTTTTGTGGCACAAACAGCTTCTGAAGAAATGTATGATTCACTAGCAGATCGTTGATTCTTGTAATTCAATGTGCACAAACATGAGGCATGCTAAATGATTCACATCGGAAGCAGTGAGAATTGTATCATATGAATCATATCACAAATTGTACAATACTGATAACTATGATAAAGTCAGCAACAGTGTTTGGTCGTCATGCCCTGTCAGCATAAAGATTTTTACACTCTCCTAATCAGAAATCAAGCATGTGTGACTTTTAAAGTAAATCATATAAAAGTTAGTAAGCATACCATAGGAATACAACGACAATCAATAATTAGATGACAACGTAAAACCTTTAATAGTGTTGGTCCAATCTAACCTGAAAGTAGTTTAACAGTTTACCAATTTCAATAAATACAAAATGAAAAGTAAGAGCCCCAACAAACCTGAGAAACAGGGACTTTGATTAAAGTAATGAAAACAAATGAATACATTGTACTGACTCTGTACAAAACTACAAATACTTTATCAGCTGTTTGTTTTTTTTATGTAATTTTCCCTCAATTTATTGTACCTTTTTCGAAGTTAGGATACATTAACAACCTCCCTAACAGTCGCAACTTTACTCGAGCCATGCAATTTAAAAATCCATGATCATATGCCTACATTTTTTAAAACTAAAGGAAAAACAAATTGAACCTTGGAGATGGTGAGTGCAGGACTCCACTGCTCCTTCAGGATATCAAGACAAATGCTACCATTGCTATTGATGTTTGGGTGAAAGACCTTAGTCCTAAATGCAACCTGGTCAAGCCAAAATATGAGAAATTTACAAAACACTTAAACAATAACGCACCTCAAATCCACACACAGACTTCACACATTACCTTAGGAGGCTTGAAAGGATAATCCGGAGGAAAATGAATAGTGACTAGGAATACACCTCCAGCATAAGGACTATCAGCAGGACCCATAATTGTTGCTTGCCAATGGAACATGTCCTCAGCTACTGGGCCTGCAAAATAAACATTGGCATCTGAAAATACTACAAAAAACTTCAAACTCAACAACATTACATGAAGTTAAAATAAAAAAAAAAAAAGTCTGCAACCGCAATTTTGGTTGCAACATCTATTGATGCGAAATTTCCTGCAATATTAAGAAACACTACCTCAACCTCAATTTAAAATCCATGCTTATTTATCCTGTAACACAGAGACATCATTTACCCTATTCTTCATTTACCAAATAACTTCGTCAATTCTAATTTGCCGTATCAAGGTTAGTAACAGTGCACACGTTCAAGGCTTACAAAGAGCAGCAGAAACAGAAATTATTGAGCTTTATACAAACTTAAATAATATAACCTTCGAACAAACACAACCCAGAAAAAAAATTGTTTTCTTTTAACAGCTCAGCTAGAGGAGACAAAAAATATCGTGGTACGGGGAGTGAAATGAAGAAGAAAAAAGAGATACCAGCGCTGCAGGAAGTTGGTGGGTCTTTCTGCAAGTCCTTGAGCTCTTTGAGGATGCGCTTGGAAGCCATGGATGGGACGATACACGTTCAGATCTGAAAGAGAAAGAGGGATCAGAAAGGAACCCTAGAAATGGAAGTGAAAAATGAAGAAGGAAATAGAGAAAGAGAAGAAGAGAGAGACATGGTATGAGTGCGAGGCTCAGGTGGTTGGATGATTAGGAATGAGGGATGGATCGAAAGGGAAGTGGAAGAGACGCAGTGTCAATCCCTCGCCTTCCCAATCCCAAACCCTCTCTTTCTCTCTCTGTCAAACTGTTCTCTCTCTCACACACACACGCCAGTACCATCAAAATGCTTCTTTTTCGATGATTATATACTCCACCAAATGACATCCATATCCATTTCTTTTCTTTATTTCACCCTTTGTCCCCAAACCTAGTTTAGATTCTAACGTAATGCATTCAATTACTTTTAATTTAAATTGAATTCTTTTACAAATGTTTTGTCTACATAAAATAATTTAAATTTATTGAATTTTAATTATTTAATTAGAATAGAGTATTTTAATTATAAAAATAAATCTTTTCTTTAATAATAAATAAGTATGTAATAATAAATAATTTTGATCTAGCCTATAATTCGTTAGGGTTGATAGAATTCATATTTTTCAACTCAACTTAATTTAAACAAACTTTTTTATTTAAGTCAAACTAGATTACACGAACCCATTTTTATATCTTTTAACCCAATTAGAAGAAGCTAAAACAGTTTGCAATGAAAACTGTATAAAAAAAATCAAACTTATTAATATTTCAATAAAAAAATAATATTTGTATTCTTAATCTATATCTAAAATAATTACTCTCTAATATATGGATTGAGAAAGTAAAATTAATTAAAAACGTAGTATCTTTATTGTTATTTTAAGTTGGGACAAAGATAACAGTAATTATATTGATTTTCTCCAAAAAGAAGGAAACAAATGTTAAATAGGAAAGAAAAATCCAGTAGAGACAAGTCCACAAAGAACACGACAAATGGGGGCGTAGAAGCCGTTGGATTTTTGGTACGAAAAAGTGGCATAAAATCAAATCAATGCTAAAATGGAGCCCCAACGTGACATAACACAGCACAGCACAACACAACACAACACAACACACGCCCTACCCTTCAATTGCTTCTTTCTTACTCACTGAACCCAACCCCTCTTACTTTGCATTCCAAGATTCATTTCGCACAACCTCAATTTCCCGTATTACGCTATCACAAAAACCTTTTTCATTCCATTCATTGCCTTTGCCGGATTCTATCTGTGAGTATTTTTATCAATACTTTCAATTTGCTGTTAATTTATTTTAATTTTATTGTCAAATTTGTGTTTTTTTTTTATTTGATTATTGATTTAAGATTTCAAGATGCCCATCGTTTGTAACCGGTAATGGTAAGATCAATGTGTGTATGTTTGTGTGTTTTGAAATGCATTATGGTGGATTGTGATTGAATGTGAATCTGAGTCTCTGAATTGCATTTGGGGGTCTGAGTTGACTATAGATTGGGTTTTGTGATCTGAAGTGGCAGGTTTCAATTGTCAACCTGAATTTTTTTATTTTTATTTTTGTGAGCAGTGCCTTTTAGAAGTTGGAATAGAATTAGAGCTGGGTGGATGGAGGATGAAAAGAGGAGAAAGAAGAACAAGAAGAAGAAGAACAAGCAAAGTAAGAATGGGGAGAATGGGGTTGGAGAAACTGCCAATAGGGATCAGAATCTGGTGAGTAATGGAAAAGATGAGCATACTAATCTTCCTGAGACTGCAATTGAGAAAAACTCGAATGGGGTTGAAGAGACGTCAATTAGGGATAAGAGTCTGGTGAATAATGGTATGGATGAGCCTGCTCATCTTTCGGGAGTCACCGATGAGCAAACTAAGAATGAAGATCAGAATGGGGTTGTTGAAGCCCCCAATAGTGATCAGAATCTGGTGAAAAGTGGAAAGGATGAGAATGTTCCAACATTGGAGTATGCAGATGGGCAGAGTACTAGTATGGATTTGAATGGTCATCAGCCAAACGGTAAAGAATGTGTAAGTTTTCCATCAATTAATGTAGATTTTTACTTATGTTTCAAGGTTTATGTCATCGACTCAAGTGCTATATTTTAAATATTTCCCCTAGATATTGTTATTAGTTATCTTTTTTCATTGGAACTGATAATTTAATTTAAACTTCTCATTCTTTATCAATAGTGCTAAAAAAATGTCATAGGCTTCCTTCTGTCCTTTTCTAACAGACTATCAAATTTGTATGAGTTGAGCGATTATGGACGCAAGTGGTTTGCTTAGTGGTGATTTAGTTTGCATGAGGTCATAGGTTCAAACCTATTTACTGTCATCGCACACAAAAGCTTATAACCTCAGAAGTTCCATTAAATCACATTTTTAAAAAACTATTAGCCATCGAAATATCTATTTTGGTTACAAAAATGACAGGTCTATATTGGTCAAACAAACTTTGAAGTTAGTCAAATATAACTAAAAGCTAGCTTATGTGTCTTGCCACACATTTTCATTTTTTCAAGTAATTTCTGCACTTTTGTTTTAAAACCAGTGTCTCAAAGTTTTTATAACTTGTAAATCCTATCACTCCACAGACCATATTAGAAGAGACAATCAGGAAAATAAAGGAAGAAAATGATATACTCATTCAGAATGAGGTAATATTTTACCTGAGAAGTATTTGTTATTTGATTTATTATGTCTCAAGTTTTTTATAATATGTATTGTTTATCACTCCACAGACCTTATCAAAAGAGACAATCAGGAAATTAAAAGCAGAAAAAGATATGCACATTCAAAAAGAGGTAATATTTTATCTGAGAACCTGTTCATTGTTTTAGCAATTGTGTCTCATTGTGTATATATCCGTTATTTCTCAGTCCATAATGGAAGAGACAATCAGAAAATTAACATTACAAAATGACATGCATATGCAGAATAAGGTAAATTTTATCTGAATGGCATTTTTTATAGTGTTTCTTTCATGCAATTTTCTTTTAACTAATATAGGCTATCTTTCTACAGATTGCATCAGAAGAGACTATCAGAAATTTGAAAGAAAAACATGATATGCATGTTCAGAAAGAGGTAATATTTCTTTTGGAAATATCTTGCGTTGTTTGAGCTCTTATGTTTAATTGTTTTCATGAGACATGTACAAACTATCACTCTGCAGGTCATATCAGAAGATACAATTAGAAATTTGAGAGAAGAAAATGATATGCATATGCAGAAGGAGGTGACTTGATTGATTTTAAATTCTAGATGATATACCTAATTTAATGTTTATGTAGCACTTTTCTCATTACACTTACACACATCTTAAAACAGTCCCTATCACAGGAGACAATAACAAAATTGAAAGAAGAAAATGAAGTGCAATTTCAGAAAGAGGTAATTTTATTAGCTTTATCTCAGAGGTTCGTATTAGTTATTTAAGCACATAAATCACAAATATTGTTACTATGAATGCATATAACCTATCTATCTACAGGCAATATCAAAGGAGACAATTAGAAAATTCAAGGAAGAAAATGATAAACTGGTTCAGAAAGAGGTAATATATACTGCAAGTTTTATCAGTTATCAGAGGGATATTTGTTATTTGCTTATATTGCAACTATATATTTTCTTTCTCAACAGGCATTCGAGAAAAATGATTAAAAATTAGCTTGGTTCCCAGTAACATCTTTTACTTTAAATTTTTCATCTCTACCTTTTTGTTTTGCCTATCCTTTACAGGTTACCTTGGAAGAGATCATCAATAATCTACAAACTGACAATGAATTGCAGACCCAAAAACAATTAATTTAGTTTGATGAATGCGTGGATGGATCTTTTTATTATAGGAATTGTGTTATTCATATCTATTTTAAATTACTGACTGTTATATTATTCTGAATCATCTGCAGACTAGTCTGGAACTGAGAATTAGACAATTGCAAAATGAGAATAATTCCTTAGTTCAAAAAGAGGCAAGTGTTTATTTTTTCCTTTTAGAAGATAAAGGATAATTGATTTTTGTAAATTATTTACCCATATGTTTAATTTGATATCATGCGTAGGCTGAATTGGCGCAAAAAACTAATCAGTTGCTGAATGAAAAGGTAGTTTTGGACCTGAAATGTGTAAAGAATTTCTTCATCAATTTTTTTATTTCCTATATTCACTATATACTTAACCATATCTGATTTGTATATTTAGTGATTTTTGTTAATGAAAATTGGGCTGACATTCTAAGTATACATCATTCAACAGGAGAGTTTAGAGGGAAAAATAAATCTTCTGGCGAATGATTTGGGTTCTTCTAGTGAGAAAGAGGTAATAACTTGTATATTATCTCATGCTTTATTGCATTGACTATATTGTTGTTTGCTTAATCGACAACCCTAACTATCTCATGTAGTGGATTAGCTATTAGCACTGGCATTTGACTGGGTAAATATTTTAATTGAAAAAAATAAACTAGATAATTGGATTTTAATTGAATAATTTGGTTGGATGTATGAATGGATCTTAGTATTATTTGAACTATATTATTCTGTTATGTTTATCTGTTGACTTACATTTAACTTGATTATTTGCAGGTTGGACTGGAAATAAGAGTTGCACTGTTGCAGAGTGAGAATAATGCCTTACTTCAAAAAGAGGTGAAGAACCTGACATGTTTTTCCCTTTTAAAAGATATAGAATTCATCAAGATATTTAGGATTTAAAAATACATCATATGCAGGCTACATTGGAAGAAAAAATCAATCAGTTGCTGAATGAAAAGGTAGTTTTGAGCCTGAAAGGGGTAAGATTTGCTTCATTGACTTACTTATTATGACATTCACTGTATTTAACCTTTGCTGATTTTCCTTCCTCCCTCCTCTCTCATGTTTTGCTATAGTTTGATATCTTTTATTTGTAAACTAATCCAATATACATTATTCCACAGGAGAGTCTAGAACAAAAAATATATCTTCTGGAGAACGAGTTGAGTTCTTTTGTTGAGAAGGAGGTAATAACTTGTCTAATGGCTCTGTTCTCTTATATGTTACTAGTTATTGAATATATTGTTTTCTTAAGTAAAGACCTTAAATTTCATATAGTATATTAACTATTGTTAGCTCCTAGTTTTGACACAAAAAATTAAAAATATAAAGTATAGCAATATAAAAAGTTCTTTAAAAAATAAATTAAAAGAAAATCCTTGCCCATTTTAAAATAAAATTCCCACGGCCCAATCCTTTTTGGTGTCCCAAACTTTCTTACAGTGTACTTTCAATTGTCTAGGTTTATGGCACCTTTCTGTTTGATGATAGTTAGAGATTTGATTGGAAAATAGAAACTATTGATTGATTGAACATTGACGAAATAAAAGGTTGTTCTCAAACGAGATGAATAGGAGTTTGGCGGCATTACAAGAGGGAGATCCCTAGGCTGGAAAACAACTGTAAACCTTGGGAGCGAAACAAAAGAGAAAACAACATAAAATAAAAGGGTGCTGAGGAGTTGGGGTATTTTGGCATCCGATTCTTGACTCCACCAGGCTAGCTTTTTCCCCTTCGTCTGTACTCTTTGGAGGCTCTAATGTAGACCACACTGCCACATGAGCTCCAAAGGTTTTAATAATCTTCATCATCAGATGCGCCTCTCCTCTACCCCATAGCCATTTGCCAGAAAGCTTTATGGATTTAGAATGGAAATTATTTTATCTCCGACCTCTAGACACAGTCATATTAGTTCTGTGCCCAACCAACCCATGCGAATGACAATGGATAACCATATGATCATATTATTGCAGACTACTGACATACTCAATATTTAATACATAGTAGAACAGCCAATAATACACTTGATTTCTTTAGAAGAATGCAAGAACATTTTACCATCAATGCAAAAGGGTTAAAGGGAAGGGAAAAACAAGGACCAACACAACTTGATTTATCTGAAATGTGAGAATATGCCTGTGAATCATCTGTTCCTTATCAGATGAATAACGTGTGTTTTATTTACAGAACTCAACTAAAGAAACTATTTCAAACCTGAGTAGAAACATTGCTGTGCTACAAGCGCAGGTATGTAACTCATGTATATATTTGAATATTTTTCTAGATAAACCTAGGACAGTATTATGTATGGATTATTAATTTTTTATATCAGTATCTGTAATTTCCTTGTCATAATCTTTTAGGAGTCATAAACTTGTAATACGAGTGAAACATTATATTTTAGCATTCAGTTTTGGAATAATTTATACTACGCAGCTGCACGTTAAAGTGGGCCATATGCTTCATCCAAACACTGGTTTCAATCTATACAAGTGTTTAACTGTGAAATTTAAAAAACAAAACTTACGAAGTTCTTTAATCTTTACTTGGGCAGCAATACTTGTATCTCTTGTCAGTCAAGTGCATGTTGTTTTCTTGGCATTTTTTAGGCTATTAAGAGTGACCTGTCTTTTGGAAGTTTGCTGTCTTTTCAACCTAATAATATATAGCAATTTTTTCAAGTACCATGCCAAGCAATGTTATCTTGCAAGTTTGTATCCGGTTATTGGTTTTTGGTGAATGCTATTGACGAGTAACCTGTCATTTGAAAGTTCTCAGTCTCTTCAACCTGGCTGTTGAAATAGTATATGGCAAATTTTTTCATATACCATGAAAAGTAATGTTATCTTGCAAGTTTGTATCCTATTACTTTCTGGTTCATACATAGTGAATGCTATTGAAGCCTATACAAAAAACTGGTTAGAGTAGTTTTGTCTGCTGAAGATTAAGTCTGCGAATAAAATAACCAGTATAATTATTTCCTTAACTTTGCTTACTTAGACATTCTGGCTATCTGTGACATTTCAGGCTCTTTTCTGACTTTTCTTTACACTAGTTTTTACTTTCTGGACTGAATACTGATCCATTATTTAATTTTTGTAGTATGCTTCCATTTAGGCTTATGTTCTTTTTGGCAATGTTTAATTATCTTCTGACACAAAATTCTGTCGAATTAATTGAGTATTCTTCCCTTTTACTCCCATTAGTTTTAAACATGGACTTGATGAATTACCACCCTCTTCTCATTGATAAGAAATTTGGAAGAACCACACTACAAAAGCTCGACTAGGGCTTGCAAACCCCTTGACCAGAATTCCTGACACTTCAGATATGGGACTGAAGTCCCACATGTTGCAATGACATCGTAACATCTGACCATGCTTGGAAGCCTCGTGACCCATGTTTTGGGAAAACATGGCTGCTATCACCAGCTGTGCTGCCCTTGTGCAGCTGATAGACATAGTGAAAGTTTTGATACCAATTGACAGAACCTTGAGGGAACTACACCGCAAAAGCTAACTATTATACTTCTAGAACCCAAGGCCTTATAAACACCACACTACGAGCCCATACTTCTATGTGGGACTCAAGCTTCATACCTTGCTATTGGGTCCTAACACTCACATGTCATTTGGTTATGACCATTTCATAACAAATCTCTGTTAATTCTAATCTGGAAATTGAAATCAAAGTTTGGCAGGTGGCACAGTTGGAGGAGTCCAGGAATAATCTTTTGGCAGAAAACCAACAACTGAGGGAAGTGGTCTCAAGTCTTCAGTCAACAGTCCACAAACTTGAGAACGGCAATGCTTCTTCCCATTCATGGGACACATCTCAAAAGGTTTTCCTTTGTTACCTTACATGGTTAATCCACAGTCCATATTAATTCTTAGGAAAATGTTTTACTTTTTTTTTTAAAGAAGGAAAGGATTATTGACATTATGACTCTGGACGATTATCTTCTAATGTCTTATATTTGATGATACTCAAATCTTTAGTGGTGGATGACAGTCTAGTGGTCTATGGCTGTTAATATTGCATTTTATGTTGTCATATCTTAATTTCCATAAATGACGTTGGAGCAGGAGTTGCATGTTATAAACCTGTAAAATGTGTGAATTAGTATAGTAGTAGGGAGAAAGAAGAATCTTCATTGTCAGTGCTTTCCTATTTATGTTGCCTATGTTCATTTTTCGTTTTATGGTGGGCAGAATCTTGCTTCAGAAAATGAGGACTTGAAGTCGCAAATTGATGCTACCTTTACGTTGGTGGAGAAATTGATGGCAGAAAATGCGGAACTTGTTGAGAAGGTAATTTGCCAGGTTCTGTTCCTTTGTTATCACAGATTGCTAATGAGTAATGGCTTAGTAGAAGATTTTATATTTTACTTTTAGTAGATTTAGATTGATTGGGTTAGTTTTTATAGATAGTGTTATGCATGCTTAATCTATTTTATCCTCAGGTCACCGAGTTATATGTTGAGCTGGAACGGCGAAGTGCAGAGATTGAACATTCTGGAGTTTCGGGGCCTGATAGGATCAATGAATTTGCTAAACCTATTGGTCGTGCCGTTCCTGTACCTGAATCTGCTGAGATTACATCTGTTCCAGCTCCAGAGTTTAATTCATTGGAAGATAGATCGATGAAGGATAGTGGTAAATCAATTGATGCTAAGCATGTTGTTGGGGTAATGTCGAACTTGTCGCTAGTATCTGATGATACCGGAGAAATTGTGCAAATTCCGTTGGATGATTATGATGTACAAGATCCTGATTTGCATGATGATGACAACAAGAATGTGGAAAATGATGATGTGCCAATTACAGATGCTCCCCTTATCGGTGCTCCATTTCGTCTGATATCATTTGTGGCCAAGTATGTTAGTGGTGCTGACTTGGTTGAGCAAACTCCTTCAAACACCGCTCGCTGACTTCTTATACTGGATTCTGGATTACCCCTCTTTTTGGCAGTCTTTGAACATACAATAACCTCACTTATATTAGGCAGAATACCAATATAGGTTGGCCTACATTGGGCCATTTTAATGTTTGTATGATGATTCTTTGGACACTAGGAAAATTTTACCGGGGAAAAGTATATAGCTTAATTTTACATTGTGTTCTTACTTGATATTGCTTTCACAGTTGAAAATTATTTCTTTAAAAGATGACATCATATGAATGTAGTAGTTGGTGACCAGTTTCTGCTGTTGTCGGTGATAAATTCTTTCATTTTGACGTGTGATGCATTGCCCCGAGTCTTGTGATGGTTAGGTTTTTTGGATAAATTGAAAAATTGGCCCACTTCTAAATTGACTTCACCAATCACTATTTTCCTTGTTTACTAGCATAGGAAGATTTTCTCTCCTTTTTTTTTCAAAAAAGAAAATCATATATTTACTTATTGAATACATCTCATCTGGAGAACTTGTAAGGCATGTGAGGGTAAATGAATAGAATATATTTTTATATTGACTGAAGAAGGACCTATTACTTCAGTGTGGTTTCAAACATCAAGTAAAAGCAAATCATGAATGAAAAGATAAAAAAAATTGCAAGAAGCTAAAAAATAATACAAGTGTTTTTCTTTTGATGCTAAGGCCTCAGACGAAAATTGACCAGGCATGTTTCGAAGTTGGCAATGGATGTATATTGATCTTTCAGTTTGTTGCCGTGGCATTTGGAAAATATTCATGCGTCTTCCTCTACTATCCATTAGTTGTAGAGTGAAACCATTGGACCCTTTGAACTTGCCCTCGGACAATGATGGCCGGTTTTAATAAATGCAAGCTCTAATTTCTTCAATTGTCCTAACAACTTCCTCCATTGAGGGTCTTGTGTCAGGCACCATCGCTACACATGCCATTGCCAGTTGCAGCATCTGCACAAGTTCATCTTCAATGTTTGGATACCTCATTAGCTCAAGATCAAACACTTCAGCAGTCCATTCCTCTCTAACAACAGATTGGACCCATTTTGGAAGATCAAACTCTTCATCATGCCCTGAGTACTGAACTGGTGTTTTTCCAGTCAGCATCTCAAGAAGGAGAACACCAAAGCTGTACACGTCAGATTTTTGAGTGAACTTTCTTGTTTCAATAACTTCAGGTGCTCCATAGCCTGGACTTCTGGAGGAGGCACAGAAATTTGTTAGGGGACTTAGGCCAAAATCTGATATACAGCCCTGGAGATCCATCGAGAGAATCACATTAGACGATTTTATATTGCCATGGACAAGTTTCCTTCCATTGGCTGAGTGGATATGACAAACGCCCCTTGCAGCTCCAACCATGATCTTCAATCTTGAATCCCAATCTAGTGGAGCTCGTCCATTTTCCCTGGTTCCTGTTTTATTAAGTAAAATGCTACAACAAATGACAATGCATTTAACCATTTCCCAGTTTACATAAAAATTATCTTGAAGCACCTCCAATACAATAGTATAAGACGAGCATTTTGCATTATGTGGGTAGGTATGCAAAACCCACATGAAATTAAAACTAGATGTCAAGTTTATTGTTCTGACATTTACAATTAGAAAGTAAAGCTTTATGAAATGTCAACCTAGAACATTTACAGGGAAAAGTTCAAAATAAGAGTAATTACCATGCAATAACTTGGAAAAACTTTCGGCTGTTGAGTAGTCATAAACCATTAGTTTTTCATCTTTTGAATAGTAGTAAGCACGAAGGGGAATCAGATTTGGGTGATGATCAAGTCTTTGGACAATCTCCATTTGCTGTTCAAATTCTTTTTTCCCCATAGCCAACTCTTTTAACCTCTTCACGACCACTGTCGTTCCATCCTCCAAGATGGCTTTATATGTCGTTCCACAACTTCCCTTCCCAAGAACTTCAGCTGAAGCTCTTAACAAGTCCTCCAGATCAAAATTATAAGAACAACCTTCAAAAAATACAAGCTTGTTTCTCTCAGGTTCTTGCACACCACTACCAAAGTCCTCCTTAAGCTTCTGACCTTTCTTCGTAGGTGCAACATTTTGTTCACCAACCTTTTTCTTGAAACAGCAAAACGCTACTATAAGACCTGGAAGAAACAGCAATGCCACAACCCCCAAAATAATTGCTATTTTTGCCCCCTTGCTCATTTTCCTGTTTGATGGATCACTTAGTCTTTGAGAGACTGTTGACGGAGACAATGTGGTAGTAGTGGAAACTGAAGAACATTGTTTCAAAGGTGCTCCACATAACATCAAATTCCCTCTATATGAGGAGCCAGGAAACTTATGGAAACGCGAAGGAATAGAACCATTCAAGTAGTTGAAGCTCAAATCCAAATTCTTAAGGCTTGGAAGGTTAACATCAGGAATAGATCCTGTGAGAGAGTTGTTTTGGAGGTTGAGTCCTATTAGTTGTGTCAAGTTTTGGATTGAGGTTGGAATTTGTCCTGTGAAAGAGTTATAGGACAAATCAAGAAAGAAAAGCCGGGGTGGTAGAGAATCAGGAATATGACCTGAGAAGTTGTTGTGTTGGAGATATACAAAGCGCAGAGAAGGAAGGGAAAGTAGGTCAGATGGAAGGTTCCCCATCAAGCTGTTGGACCTAAGACTGAGACTAATGAGGCCATTAAGCTTACCAAGTGTGTTTGGTGGGAGAGAACCGCGCAATCCTACACCTGGAAGCCTCACAGAAAGCACATGGGAGCCATCATGACTGCATGTAACGCCCACCCATGAAGTGCAGATTGAGGAACTAGAGTTCCAGTTGACTTTTGGACCATGATGAAGTCCAGCAGCAAAATCAAGTAGGGCTTGCTTTTCTAAGTATAGATCAGCTTTAGTTTGAGGAGACACAAGCAGGAGTAGGAAAATTGGTATTGTGGTAAAGTAGGACCGTAGCATCATCAAGTTTTATCTTGAAACTGGTTGCCTGGTTTCAATAGTCCACTTGTTTCCCTGCAATTGAGATTTCAAAGTATTACACGCTGATCAAAAGGAACAACTGTAACATATAACCAAGCATGCAATGCAACAAAACAGTTAGTTTTTGAGTCCTTAGTTTACACATAATAATAGAAGTCCAAAAATAGGCTAAAATCAATTCAAAAGCATTTTTATTCGTTAAAGAATATCTCCTTGGATTTCACCATAAAATGAAACTAGTTTTCCCTTTAGAATTTTCATGCCCTTTCACTTTGCTTGATAAACTTTCTTCTCACTCTGAGCACACAAACAGGAGCAATGTCAGTCCTAAAACTTTAAGAATTTTATGTCAATTTGTTCTACATGTGTCAAGAACATGAACTCACTAAAAAGTAAAATGAAGAAAAAAATGCAAGTAATTGAGAGATGAAAAACCTTGAAACCAGGAGAAAGGGAAAGCAAGCTGGAAGTGTAATCCACAATAGGGAGGCTTGAGCAGTGTATTAAATGCTGAAAAATGTGGTTTTGAGAAAGAAAAGGCTTTTGTTAAAGCAATGTTCTCTTGGTAATTGGTGGTTCTAACGGCCAAGAGGAGGCAAAAACAAGCTTTAACGGCATAGCTTCAGGAACACGTCAGAATCCACACACACACACACACAACCAGAGAGACATGGAGAAAGAGAAGTTTATAAAAAGCATTATAGTAGCATACTATAACTATCACATATTGCTACAATTCTTAGTATAATTTTACTTTTGGTTTTCTGTTTATGATTTGGGTGGCACGCAGTCAACGTTCAAGTCTCAGCTTCAACTTCAAGCCTTCTTCCTCATTAAGCCAAACCTGCAAAGTACAGTGGTAATACGTTGTGTAACAACATAGCATATATACACAAACTAAGCCAGATTAATTACTCAGAGACCAATAGAGTAATTTAATCTAAATATTACTCATCACATGAATTAAAAATTTGAGTTTTGTGTATGTTATTCTTGTTTTACAGGGTTGAGATTCTGTTCTGTTCAATGATTTGTTTTAAAGGTTATTGTAAGGAATGAATAAGATCAAAGACTGTTTTAAATAAAAATAAATTTATCGTACTATTTAAACTTGTAGATCTCGATGGGAAGGTTTCCCATTTTCCTAAGAATTGAGCGTTAACTCAGTTATAGTTCTCGAATCACTAACATTATCTATTTTTCCCAATCTATTGTTTAATTTAACTCATAAAAAACGTAGATTGTGTATTATTCGTATTAAACACCTAAAACGCGTGGAACAATAGTAGGGTCAATGATTCCCTTCATCTTCATCGTCAAATTTATGGGGGAAACAGTAAAGAAAAGAGCTTTAGACAGACATTAAAAGGTACACAAGAATTAAGGAATAATATTCACCCCCATTTTATTCTATTCTAACTAGGTAAATATATTGAAGTTAGCTTTGTAATAATAAACCGAATCAGTTTATTTGGAGTCCAACTAGTGAATCAAATGAAGGGTTTGGAAGGGGTTGTGCAGGGGAAGGGAAATGGAAATATGGCATTGTGTTTGTGAGAAAGGGTCTCATCCAGAAACAGAATCAGTGTAGTTGTTGAATGGTGTGGCATTGCATTCTTGAAGTGAAAATGATGTGTGGAATGTGAATGCTCTTGTCCCTCCTCCCTCAAGACCCAAAGGACCACAACTAAAGTATGGTAAGCCTGCAAACCCTGTGTTTCAAATTTTTTCGTGGGTCCAATCTTCGTTTGTGTCCGATAGAATAAAAGGTTATTATACGTTTGGATTCATCTAAAGGTGCACCCAAAAGAAATGATAATATAACAAGCTGAAATTTAGTTTTAGATTTTGAAGTAACGTTAAAAGCTTCATCTGTTTGAGTGTCTTAATCTATTGTTCTTTTTGCAGATAAATTACAATGGAGGGAGTAACTCGGTAAATTAGGGAAAAAATATGTGAAAGGACAAATTTTGTTAATCTAACTTTATTAGTAGAACCAAACTAGTAAAACTCATTAAACAAATATGATAATTTCGATTTACATTGTTTCAGAAAGGTGTATAAAATAGGAATCTCTTTCCTTTGATAGAAGGTTTGAAGTGGAGAATTATCATTGTTATTTTTCACTTTTAGGTCCAAATGTGAAAAAAAAATATCATTTTCTATTTGAGCATAAAATGGAGTTATTTTCCTTCTCCAACATGACAATAAAGGTTATAAATTTGAAACCACTTCTTAGCAATATCAGTTTAGAGTTTTCATTATGGGAAGATTAATTTAGAATGTAAAATTTTCATTTTCAATTATCTAATCTGAAATTTCTGAAAGGTGTTTCCTGTCATTACATAAAGGTAAATCCGGAAAATGGGTGTACACAAGATTGATGTAGTGTTAGAAAGAAATAATCATCAATGAACAAATTGTTCATTACCTTTTGGGCCCTTTCAAACACAATGCCCAAGCTATTCTCATTCTCCTTTTTTTTTTTTCTCTTTCCTCTCTCTCTCTCTCTCTTTTCTGTACAAAAATAAATTAAACATGCAGAGTGTCTAATGAGGAAGGAGGGAAGAGAAAAGAGTAAAACAAAAGCTAGAGAGTTTATAAGGAATTTATCTAAAGTTTATTATTGTACTTGTGTTAAGCAAAAGACACTACAATGTAGAAATGCAACTCAACTAAACTATTTTGTTCATTGCCAAGGGGAAAACAACACTCAACCATAGTGTTTGCATAAAAACATCACATTCTATCTCTATGTACTTACAGTACTACATTTGCCTTTTGGCAAATGCATGCATGGTATGCAGACAGAACTCACTCATTTCTGAAAACTTACTCTCCCAAAGAAAATTGAACATCTTTCATGTAATTTTTTTTTTTCCTGCATTGTTGGTATAAGTTTGAGAGCAAAGTTAAATCCCCTGATTCTTCAGCAGATTGCAGAAAACATGAATGCATCTTCACTTGTTCTCTCCACCTTGGAGCTATATAAGTTGAAAAATCCCACCCTTTCAAAAAATTGAGATAATTATTAGAACATAAAATAGCATGCTACAAATGCACCAGGAAGAACAACCTCTTTGGATATGATGTTACAAGAGGCCAAAAGGTTCAGGAAGGTGCTCGAATCCGTTATCAAATATGGGGCCTTGATCACACTTCTCATCAGCACCATGCAGCCAGTTTGTGTTCTTCAAATCTTCTTTGAACAACAGTGCATCATAACGAGAACTCTCGTAGATGTCCACTTCACTCACTTTTGCAGAATATTGTCTTTCATCTACCTCCCTACCTTTCATCATAATCCTATTACTGATACCATTTCCCATATCAAAATTGGATCCATTGTTTCCATTCATGTCTACAGATGCTGGAGCACTCGAAACTCGATGAGACTGGCTCTTGGGAGTGGAAGTTCTAATACTCTGAGGGAAGAGTGTGGTGCTTGATAATGAACGAATATTTCCTGAGCTATTCCTTATATCCTGTTAAATGGAAAATCACATTGAAAAATCAGGTTTCAGTTGATAGAACAATTATTGCTCAAGCATACATCTGACTAAGCTCCAGCAACCAAATAAATGCTTATAACTATGGTCTGTGGATAAACTTCTCCAGAAGTACTATTTTTTTACTCTCTTTGGTAGGGATAAAGGGAGAGAAAAAGAAAATAATGGTAGAGAAATAGGTAAAAAATAAAATGAGTGGAAAGAAAGATTATTTTGTTAGAAAAAAGAGTAAAAAGAAGGATTAATTTATTTATTATTAATAATTTTATTTTTTAATAATATTAATTATTATTCTTTTTGTATTCAACCTATTACTTCTCATTTTATTTTTTGAAAAAAAAGATCCATAAGTTGATTTTAACTTATAAAAAAACTTATGCATTTTACCTCCTTATTCTCTTCTCTAAGTGCTTATGGAGAGAGTCTATCCAAACAGAACCTTTGCCTAATATCATAACTTTTCTTAAAGCTAAATGAACTATCATGACAAAAAAAGTGTCCAATTCATACAACAAGGAGAATAATAGCGGTGAATCATGTCATCAAATGCAAGGATTTCTGTATCATGTGGACCATGATTTTCAGTCAGTGAAAGTAGTTGGTAGTATAAAGCTTCAATCTAATGTCTATTGTGATCATGAATAAAATGTGAAACTGTTGAATGTTGATGGTTTTAATAAACTTGGATTGTTTATCTTGCAGAACAGAAAGAGTAGAGTTTACAAACCATGTGCTTAATAGCCATATCCAAGGATTTCTTTGAGATAGTCCTCCCAAATCCTGTGTTGTCAGTGGCAGTAGTTGAGGCCTTAACAGATTTCCTTGCAGCAAGCTCAGGAGCATGTGAGACTTTCCTAGTCTCAGGAGCATCAGCATGATGGCCATTGGCATAGCCACGGTTTTTCACCAAAGGTTCTGCCACTCTCCCCCTACTAACAACAGGAGACGAATGTCTCCTTGGCATAGTAACGGCAGAGGCTTGAGGTTCAGAACAATTTGCCTTCAAAGTGCTACCACCAGGACGCGACCTGCCTGCAGAAACGGGCCTATCAGGCAATGTTGTTCTGAGGTTTGGTGGTGTATCAAGGGGGAAATCAGGAGGAACAATTGGCTGTGGTGGAGGCCTAATTCGCGGGCTTGGTGAGCTTGGCCTTGACGCAGGTGCTGAACTGCGTCCATTCATTGAAGCACGGGTAGATGAAGACAAAGAACCTGCTGTAGGGGAAGGGGAAGGAGATAAAGATGGCATTGAGCTCCTACGTGTGGGAGTAGAAGGCCGAGACAGAGACCGAGTTGATGGAGCAGATGGAGAATGCAAGTTTACAGGAATGTGAGGCCTAGAACTAGGTGTGGATGGTCTTGAGCCTTGTGATGATGGTCTATGCCTTTCAGCAGTCGAGTTGGTGGAAACTGAACGTGGTTTGGAGGGTGTTGAGGACCGTGATACTGTGGGACGAGATGAGGGAGTGGAAGGCCTTGATGTAGATGAAGAGCGAGTTATGGGGGAAGATGGTCTTATGTAAGAGGAAACTGAGGCTGAACTTGTGTTGAGGATTGAGGAGGAGTTTCTGTTTGAAGAATAGGAGCTGTATTGTGAGTGTGAAGTGGAGATGGAAGAACGAGTCACAGAACTGCTTCTTGCTGGTCTAGTGGGATTGCTGTTCTCTGATTGTGAGACTGCAAGCTGAAAAAAACATGATAAACAAGTTAAAACTTAATAGCATCTGGTTGACTATTTTCTACAGGTCAATGTCTTATAAACTAGTTCTTCAAGTTTTTGTAAGTTGAATCAACCACCAAGCCTTATCCCACTAGGTTTAGTCAGCACCATGGATCAAATATTGTCATATTATTTTATTGTGAATCATCATGTCTTCAGACAATCTTGCAGAAACTGTGCCCCTAATTTCTTCATAAATCCTTATACACTAAAATCAGAAAGTAAGATGATTTGAGCTTGTCCTATAAACTAAAATTAACTTATGCACTTCAAATTATGGTTTAGGAACTAAGTTTGTTTTAGCTTATGGAAAAAAATCAAATCATTTTACATTCTTACTCTCTTTTTTTATATGTACTTAAGGATTCACCTCACATAGAGTTTGAGTCGGAACAAAGATTTTAACTAAGCACTTGAAACTGCTGCTTAAGTAATCAAAGGTAGTTGTGAATTGTCATAAGCATATTGGCTAGAGAAGCTAACTTGGGAAACATCTAATACCAAAAGCAAACATACATTTTTGTCACTTTATCCCCCTACCACCAGAAAAACAAAAAACAAAGAGCCTGGCTCCTTGCTGGTGGGGAGATGCATAATCCTCCTTCTCTTGAAGTTTACAGCTATAATCTCATCAATCCACTTTCTAACAAATCTGTTAGCATGGATATTGGTAACATAGATGAAATGGATTTGCAGAAATTACATACTCTTGAGGCCTTAGTGGTAGATGTTGATCTAGTCAAACTTCTCCTTGGAGGAACTAGGGTTGATTGGGATTCACCTTCTGATGGAAAAACAGGGGTCCCCGGGGGAGTGAGAAGCCTAATAAAACAAAACCGTCATAATAATTACAAATTGGGCAACCAATACAAATTTAATTTACTTTACTGTGTTTATGAAAAACTTGTATAAACACTAACCCAGCAACTAAAACATTCTAATCTGAATTTAACTGAATGGTATATGAATCCCATCAAAGTACAGCATGATGTGTAAAGAAGAAAATAATTCAGTGATTAATCCCGGATCTAGGATTAATCTCAAGCAACATAAAACTGCTCATATAGCACAAATTTCACTGCCACTATTCTTATTTGTTCTGTCCGTTCTCTCAAAAACGTCATTTCTTAGTTTTATTAACCAAAGTGAATCTCCTAACTCGAGATCATGCCAAATTTGAATAACATACCAGTCATAATCATGTTTTCCTCCTTCTGTAGATGATAACAGATCATCAATCCCACTTCTAACAGGTTTTGCTGTTCCAACTGAGAGCCTCCCCAGTTTCACCGAAACTAAATCCACAACATAGAGATCACATTAGAAACACCAAAAACCATGGCTAAGAGCAAAACATTCATTGGAAAAATAAATTAATCACAACTTTCATAATCATGTAATTCCCTTCAAAATGCCAATAATCAGTAATCATTTAACAGCATCATCATCATCGACGTCATACTTTTATTAACCATTACAAGACATCCTTGTCATTCCCACGAACCAATCATTATTATTAGAAACAAAGAAGCATCAAACAAAAACAGAAACAAAAGTGTTGGAGGAGATATTAAGAAAGGGTGGAGCAAGCAAAGCAATCACCATCTGAAGATTCATCAGAAGAAGCAAGAGAGAGGGAGCGACGGCTGTTGGAGAAAAGATCGAGGTTGTCATCGTGGTTGTTATTGGCCACCCCATTAAAGCTATGCCCTCTACGGTGATTGTTGAGAGATCCCAGAAGAGACTCTCTCACATTCCTCCCATTCATCATGTTCAACTCAACAAGATCTAAAACTGCATCACTCAACTCTCACTCACTCGCTTATGTTCCATCTTCAGATCTATCTACCTATCTATCTTCACTAGTGCTTTTGTTCACGTTCTATATCTCAACAAACACAACACTTGTGTGAAAGTTCTCATTGTGTGTTGAGTTAAGATGACGAGATGGGGGCGTGTCAGAGAGGACTAAAAAATATGAAAGACACCCACATGGCTTCTTCCTTCTTTCTCCATAATAATATTTCATTTCATTTCATTGGTGAAAACCCAACACCAAAGATCTCATCTTTAAGCTTGTTTCTGTTGAGAGACACACTTGCTATTTTCAAAGTGAAATAATGCCCCATCCGCACATGGCATGGGATCGAGTTTCCCTTGTCCCTTCTGCTTGCTTTTGTGGACTTCTCGTGCTTCCTTTCCTTAACCTCTCAAAAAAAAAAAAAAAAAAAAAAACTTTATTTTTTTTACACTTTACTGTTCATTTCTACTTCTAGATTGGGTTGCACTGGTGATTGGTTTGATGCAGAAGAATCTTGTTATGCAGCATTGACATCTCATGTTACTGCGTTGCACGTGAGTTCCACTGTTGCGGTTGCAATTGCATCTCATCCTTGCAAATATTCAGCTTCTTTTTCTCAACACTTCTCATTTAAGGTTTTATATAAAAATGTCACGGTCTAACATATATAGCCATATAGGCTATATCATACACATTCTCATTCTACAATATTAATGATGTTTTATACCCTCCTATGGATTGTTTTATCTAGGTTACAATTATTAACCTTTATAATAACTATTTTAAAATACAAATTAATTTATTCATAGTTTAAAAAACAGTTAACTGTATATAAAAATTATATTTTATATGTTTATGTAATAAACTTACAATAGTAATCATTTGATATTTTGGTAAATGACACTTCTTTTAATTAATTAAAAGAATTCTAATTTTATTATACTGGCCGTGTATATAAAAGTCAACAATTAAACTATACGTGGTAATTTTTGAATGGATAATATTTCATATATAATTATAAATGAATTTGTTTTACCTTTGAAAAAACATTTCATTTATGGAGAAACACACATTACCTACACGCGATAACATAAAGTATTGATTTGTTAAAAAATTAATATGTTATGAGTACGCTAATTGCTTAATATGATACGCAATTAGTTAATAATCCATTCATCATTAATTAATGCACAAAAGGTGTGAAATGAAATTCATGCACATAACTATCAACCCAAGTCTTACCTTTTCCTCACGAAACTTAAAAGTTGTGTGGTCATGTGACAAAAAAAATAATAATACAAGACTTTTAAGGGTGTGTTTTTATTTTAATATTTCTAACCATTTTGGTGTCAACGAATGGACCCACTTTCAATTGCAATGGTATTTTGTTGCTATTAATTTGTGGCTTATACTTAAGAAAAACAAAATTCCATCCACCAAAAAGTGTAAGTTTTTTGCTAATTTGTAATTTTCTTAACATTATTTCTCATATTTCTGAAAAATTCATAAATTTTATTCAATCTTTAATTTTTTTTTTTACATTTTATTAATTAAATTAAACTATTACCTCTTTTTCCCCTTATTTTAAAAATTAATCTAATTTACCCAATTCCATGAACAATGTTTTTTAATTGAGCTGTTAATTAGTGATGGTTTTTTAACTCACACAATAATAAATAACCATTTATAATTGCAATTAATTGTTATCAAATATTTTTAGTGGCAATTTAAAATCTTCATTAATCTTAATTATAATAGTGCTAAGTTAATTTACAAGAAAAATATCAAATTGTATCCGATTTAAAAATAAAGAGACCCAACTGTAACAATTTAAATGAGAATGAAATAAATAAATTGTTATTTTTATTATATGAATATGGTACATTAAAAATTTAATTGATATAATAAGTATTGAATAAACATTAATAAAATTATAAAACAAAGACAAAAAAAAACAAAATTGAAAATAAAGAAATTAAAAGAGGATGAAAATTATAATTTAGTAAATTAAAAAACATTTTAATTCATCAAGAATAATAAGTTTATTATTATTATTATTATTATTTAAAAAAAAAGTCATGGACATGATAATTTGTGATTGGTTTAAATATAAAATAGTTTTATATTACGTATTAAATTAAAAGTTAATTGGTTGAGAAGGTTGGTATTATAGTGATGTATGGTGTCTGATCCAGAGAAGGTGAAGTGTTTCTTAACCCCCTCAACCACTTGAATATTATATGCATTCAATTATTGTAAGATAATAATATTTTTGGTTGTTTTGGTTGCATCACGAATATCCAAAGACGACAGAGTAAGTGAGAAGAAATCCCATGGAATAAAAACTTGCCCTTTTCTTCAATTCTTTCAATGGAATTTCATTTTCAAGGTGCATTTTTAAGAGACGTTGCAACTACCCTTCGCCCTAACTCACCAACCTAATCTTCTTTTATGTCCTTTTATGACAAAACTCAAAGAGTAGTTCCAATTTCAATGAAGGCCAAGTTTTTAAATACTATATCATATCAAAGTCACAACGTAGGGGACAAAGAAAATCAATTTGAATTGGACACAAACGTGGATAACGATATTATCACTTATTAAGACAAATAAATACTTTTATTTTTTAGCAAAACAAATGTTAATAATTTAGTTTTTAAAAAATAATTAGTTAAAATTGATTTTTTTACCTATTTAGAAACTAGATAATTGTAACAATCTTTGAAAAGTTAAATTTATAATAATGTCTGAAATATAAAATTTAAGTTTAGTTTTAATAATCATTGCTCTAGTAGGGTAATGATTAGTTCCACTCTAACACGTGAATGAACGAGGAAGAGTTTGTAATGAAGAGGTACCTCTTTTGCAAGGGTTCATATTTGAAGAACAACTACAAAAAATCCACCTTAATAAAAAATTTTTGTTCCTTTTATTTAGCATCCATGTCGAGTTTGTAGTTAAACAATAATATAGAAAGCGATCGTGAACGTCTTTTTCGGACCAAGTGGTCCTTTTTGTTTTTGTTAAGCCTCGTGTGTGTGTGTGTGTCTTTACAAACTTGTTTTTCATTGAATGAAAATTTAATTTAGGATCATTTTATTACACTGAAAACCTCAAAAAGACCATGATTGGAAACTAAATTACTGAACACCCAAAACTAAAATCATAACTCACTTTTGTTTTTTTTTTTAAACACTTGTAAAATTTTTATAAATCGTGTTCATCAATGATAATTCCAAAACAGTGATTATTTTATAAATAATGGGTGGGAAATTGAAATGAAATATAATGAAGAAAGGGAAATAGAAAATGACTTGTTATAAATAAATAGAGAGAGTGAGGAATAAAGAGTGGTTATTAATAGCTACCAATTTGATTGATCCGCAGAAATTGGATTGACAACGATACCATAACATACAAACATATAAAACCTATCCTTTTTATGCTGTCAAATCGTTTAGTAGGTCCCAAAAATAAATTAAATTAAAAAATTTATAATCTAATTTATAAAATAATGACACTAATTTTTAATAAATTTTTAAAATATTATTTTATCATATATATTGTAAATTAATTTAGAAATTAATTCTTTGATTTGAAGAATTAATATAAAAATACTTTTTTAATATTTTTTTAAAAATCTAATCATTAAAATAAATTATTATTTCAGATAATTACATTACTAATACATAATAATAATGAGAAACAATCAACTTTAATTTTATTATAAATATTAAATTATCATATTTAAAATAAAAACTAATCTTATTAATATAATTTATATATATATATAAATATTTTTTAATTAATTATATTGATATAAATGTATTAATAATTAGAAAAAATAAAAACAACCCAAAATTGAGTTATCGATTTATTAACTTAATATAAAATGGAATAAAAAAAACAAATAGGTGAGTTAAATTTTATTATATTATAGAAACCGGTGATTAATAATATTTTGAATATATAATTCTTGAAGAAATAAAAGTTGAAATATATAATTCATTTATTGAGCACACATGAACGATAAATGTGAAGCCTAGACTATGATTGTGATCGAGTGTGAGTGGAAGTGTGTGTGCCGACTCTGTTGAACATTGACCCGCCTATGCTCCATGCATGTGCTCCCACCCTTTTTGGCTCCACTTCCCTTTCAACATTTTTCCCACTCTGTTTCCAACAATTCTCCTCCCAAATCAGTGGACTCATGTGATTCTTCTAAGATTTTTTTGTCACTCTTCATATCTACCAATACCTAAATACATGTTTTAATGTTAACAAAAATTGAATTTGGCAGAATGAGTTTCTCACTTGCGATGTGATGAATCATGAATGACAGAGGGATTTTTTCGATCGTTTCAATATTTTATATATTTAATTATATATTTACAATTTTATCTTCTTTAATTTTATAATTTTTATATAATTTATAATTTTATTTTTCTCAAATTTAATGATCATTTAATATATTTAAGTATATATCTACAATTTTATCTTTTGTTTATTTATATTTATTTATTATTTATTAATAATATATTATTTGGGTTCAACATAAATAACCAAAATTCGATTCTAATGACTTAAAAAAACAAATAAAACTTTAGTTACACTGTGTATTCAACATTGTTGAGTATACAAATAAGATAAAAGAAAAAGAATGTAGATTGTGAAGTTGGGACCAAGACAATGGAACAACAAGGTCAATTGTAATGGTACCACCGACATGCAGGAACTTTACATGGCATCTATTAATTAAAAAAGTCTCGTAATTTTCCTTTTGTTTGTTGAGTAGAAGAATATAAAAAGAGTATATTTTAAAAAATGACAAAAGGATTAAGCCTTTGCTGATAAATAGAGTGATAGATTTTAGACGAGTATATATATATATATATATATATATATATATATATATATATATATATATATATATATATATATATATATATTTTTTTATTTTCCCATAAACTAAAAGAAGTTTATTTAAGTTAATTTATAGAGACTTTCTTATGTAATGCTTTGAAACTTTTATTTTGAACTTATAGGTAGGTTAATTTTAGGTTGGGATGAATTTTTTTGTTTCCTATAAATATTGGTAGAAAAAGTAGAGGAAATATGTTCAACGTTTCTAAAGAAAAGGGTGTTTCTTCTTGCACTCCAAATCCATTATTTACGTGTCAAAATTGTTCTGCAAGTTAGGTTTTCTTTGCGGCACCACATCTTCGTCTTAAAAATGGGTTGATAATTTATGTTTTGAATTATATAATATGCATTAAAAAATTCTCTAAAAAACGTATTTAATTTGCATTCATGATATTCTGAATTGTTGAATTTAAAATACATCTCCGAAAAACACAAGCTAAAAATAAATTTTAAAGTAATTTTGTATATATTTTTAGATTATATTTTCTAGAAATATATTTCAAATGGTTGAATTCAAAATATATTTTAAAAAAATGTAATTTGAAAAATAAAACTCGTTTCAGATTGTGTGTTTCTAATTTTTTTTTTAATTCACAAATATTTTGCAATCAATCTTTTAGAATATATAGATGGAAAACGCATTCTGAAAAATATAACTCGAAACTCGAGTGAACTTTCGGGAATATATTTACATTAAAGATAATATTATTTTTAAAAATAAATATGGGATAAAAAAAAAAGTCTTGGGGTCCATTAAGAAACAGCTGAAGAAAACTAACAACATTAAAAATAAAAAGTTATTGTTTCCTGCATCGGTAATTTCTCTTTGTAACTTTATTCCCCAAGTCAAATATTTAAATACTTTTTCATAATTTTTATTTTTTATCCTAATATCTTCTTTTAATATTTGTATATAACTTTTACATCTCCCTCTCTCAACATTTTTATTATTTGACTATTTAATTTTTTTAATATTATCTCCATTAAAAGTTTTTTCTAACTATTAAAAATAAGTAATAATTAATATTATATATAAATTACATATTTTTATACTTAAATCACATAAACATATCTAAATTACTCAATTTAAAATAATATTATAAAAATAAAATTAAATTTTAAAAAAATTAATTTAGAAATATATTCTAGAATACCAAATCTAAAATACATTTTTGGATTAACTTTTCTAGAAAGATTAATCCAAAATGTATTACTAAAATGAAAATGAAGATAAGTGTAACATGAGGTTCAATTTAATCATGGGGGTATATGAAAAAATTATGGGTGCGCAATAAGCAACAGCCAAAATAAAAGCTATAGCATTAAACTGGCCCAAAAGCCCAAACTTTGGCGGAGCCCAAATTATGCTTAGTTTTAGGCTTTTCTTCCTACATCTTCATGGTTTCTTTCTGCACTCATAATTAAATGAAATCATATTTTACCTTTCTACCTATTTTCATCTCAGTGGATTGAGAATACAGTTTCAGAATTATTATTATTATTTTTCAAAAACATGTTTTTGGAAAAAATTTTCCAAAAACATGTTTCAGTTAATAGGTTTCGGGAATGTATTTTAGAATCTACTTTTTAGAATATATTTCTGAAATTTTTTTTCAAAATATAATTTTGGATTAACTTTTCTGAAAATACATTTTAGAACATTTAATCCAAAATACATTTCTTGAATAACTTTTTTGAGAATACATTCTAAAATAGTCATTATAAAATAAGTTTTCGGAAAAGTCAATAAAAAACATATTCCAAATTGATATTTTTTGTAAAAATCTATTCCAAATGAAACAATTTGGGCCTCAACATATAATAAATACGTTTTATCTTTAAATATAAAAAATAATCTTAAATATAGGTAATAACACAAGAAATTACGTCTAAAAAATAGTAATGGAGGTGCATAATTTTCGCAAAAAAATAGAAAAGTGAATTAAAATTAAAAAAAAAATTATTAAAAGGATATTTTAGTTACTTTTAGTTAAAGAGACTTAAAGGAGGGAGGTGCATGGAGAAATTATGTACTTGCCTAATTTTAAACTCTTGTCTGCTGAATGTTTTCATTGCTGCATTGATTTTTGTATATTTTTTTTCAATTGAAAATGTCTAGTGCGAATTGAAAAAAAGAATGAATATAACAACATAATATAACCCTTATTTTTCTAAGATCACACCTTGCTCTGGAACTACCCGATGTTGGAGTAACCAAAAATGTACTGTTGAAGCTTTATAGAGTAACTACTTTTCAATTTTAGACTCCCCAATTTGAAAAACTTGCATTTGAGAAAATGGCATCGTCTTTCATCTTCCGTACTTCGCGGAGGTTTCTTAAACCTTCTTCTTCTTCTTCTTCACTATCTCTTCACCCCGCCATCTTCAACCCTTTGACCTCCGCTCACCAATTTGCAACCCAAAACCAAAACCCCTATCTAAATCCCCCAGTTAAGCCACCCCAGCTCCAAAATTACAATTTTGAGTTTCGTAAAACTGTTGGGTCTCTCTCAAATTTTCATCTTGTTGCACACTTGTCCACGTGGCCCTCGAAGGAGAACAGGAACCAAAATGGTAGTGTGGGTAGTGGTGGTGGAGGGGACGCCACTTGGGTGGACTTGTACTTGCCAAGACAGGTTCAGCCCTATGCTCGCCTTGCTCGTCTTGATAAACCAATTGGGACGTGGTTGCTCCTATGGCCTTGTATGTGGTAAGAGTTCTTAATTTTTTATCTTATGTTGGTTTCACTCTCATAAAACACAGAGGTCATGAGAGTGTATAGACATTAAACTTAATAGAGCAAGGGTGCTAACACTTAGAAGTAAAAATTAAACTTGTTCATTAACACTTAGAATTGAAGTAAATAAGAAGGAAAAATGAAGTAAACACCTCTTTTATGTTCAAAGATAAGTTTTTGGATGAGATAGTTTAGTTTATGCGTATGCTTATGGAAAAATTCTCTGTGCAGACTCTAAATACTATACGTGCTAACAAGATTTTCACAATGTTACCCAATCACAAATTGTCTTGTATTGTAAGTTCATTGACTTTTACATACTTACCGTAAAGTCATAGAATGATGATTTTTTATTGACAGGGTATAGAAATTAAACTTAATTGTGCAAATAGTGTATGCTTTGACTGCAGAAAGGATTTCTACACTGTCATTCAATTACAAATTGCCATGTACAGTAAACTTGTCCACTTTACAATAAACACCTTAAAGTTATGTCAATGATCATTTATTCTCGGTTGACAGTACATAGAAATTAAACTTTTGGAAATACATAGTTATTTTATTGTTGGAAACTTTTAGCATGTGTAACATTGGTCATGAGTTGAGGAATTTTTAAAGTCTAGAAGAACTGGTTTTTTTAAGTAATTTAGATGTGCTACTCTATTTATCGCAACTTAGTTGTGGCATGCCTATATCATTCTTATTGCTCTGCTGATCAATTGTAAATTCCTACATGAGACTGTTCTGTCGATGTAGCGCTGATTTGGCATGAAAGCTACAACTTATGTCATAAGGACACATGTATATTGCCCCTATGATGTGAAACAAACATACGCCTAAAAAGTTCACCATTTGTTGAAATCCTATTCTCTCTTTTTTATTGTCTTAATTTCATGCCTTTAGGTCAATTACCTTGGCTGCAAACCCGGGTCATCTTCCCGATTTTAAAATGATGACTCTGTTTGGATGTGGGGCTTTGCTTTTAAGAGGTGCTGGGTGTACTATTAATGATCTCCTTGACCGGGATATTGATACAATGGTAAATGCTATGGTTTTTTTTGGTTGCTTTGATTGTTACAGGAGATAATGAGATAGTAATTTGTAAATTATTATAGTAGGGTTGTATGCTTTGGGATGTGTTTGACTATGATAATAGATATAAGAGAATGAACTGAAAGCAAAGTCATGCCAAGTCTAATGCTTTAACATTCCTCATAGCCTGTCAGTTCTATCTATTTTCTATAATTTGTATAAAATAATTTCATTTTCTTCATACCTATCATGTTTTGAATGTGGTTAAATTATATCAACTTACCTGTATGAAACTTCCATTTGATCTTTTGTTTGTCCCCACCCTGCCCTTTTTGGCTTGATATAGGGGGATTTCTTGTCTTCCTTTCTTCCTATGTAATTTTGTTATTGAAGTTCTTTTATTGATAAGAGGATTGGATTAAGATTTATGTTAAATCAAAGAGCCTAGCAGATAAATTCCAAGCCCAAAAAATTGAAAGAACTTTTGCTTTAATGGGCATGGATGTGTATATTAACTTGTTATTTTACAACCATTGGGTTAATCCTGGAGACGTTGGATGCTATTGATACAATCTGAATGCATCAATAACTAAAATGAAAGAAATATAGAAACATGGAGAGGCAAGATGATATATCATATACGTATTATTCAGATTATGGAAAATTCAGTAGAATAGGGTTGCTACTGTCAGAGTTCTACCCGTACAATTGAGAGTCACTGCTCTCTATCATAACTAATAAAATAATATGCATGGATACTCTCTCCTCGCTCTGCTTCTCTCATATGTTCCAAAATCACATCCCTCCTTCCCTTTCTCTCTTAATTCCATCTCCTGTCCATCTTCCTATATTTCTTCTAGTGTAAACCTTCCAAACTTTGGGCCCATGAGACAGTTATTGATCTCCCATTCCCTTCCGACCCTGTAGCCTATTGAGGCCCTAACACCTATTGTTAGGAACCAAAAATTGGGATGGGAAAGAAAAGAGAGATTTTATTGAATAGTATGAAAAAGAATAAGAAATAGGAGAGCACTTTCACCTCCAAGTTTTTACGACAAAGGTTTACAGATTTGAATGCCCACCGCTTACCCTAGCATCCTCCTATTTATAGATATGATTGGTCTGGCCTTTGACATCCCTCTAATTAGTAACTAACTACTCTAATTCCATTTATTTTAATTTGATTTTATTGATATGTATGACATTACTTTACTGATTTTGTTTCAGTTGAAAACTTCATATTCACTGAGCATGTGGTGTTGTACTTCTTCCCTTTAGCCTTTTCAGAAATGTTTCACCTTGTTTTCCCCATTATAACTGATCTTAGATTTTATTCTCTGAATGACATTGTATACCATTGTATATTGCAGGTAGACCGTACAAAGTTGAGACCTGTGGCAAGTGGTCTTTTGACACCATTTCAAGGACTTTGTTTTCTTGGTTTTCAATTACTTTTGGGTCTTGGGATTCTTCTACAGCTTAATAATTATAGGTTAGTTTTTATTTTGAAATTCCCAGATGGACCACATCTTTGTTATATGGGTACTTTAGATGCTCAAATTTTTAATCACTCAATGAGTTATTCAAGGATAGAAGCTTCTTCTCTGGAACTATGATCTGTGTTGCATGCCCTCGATTGTGGTTATGCAACCCTAATTGGCAGAGCTGGCAACACCAAATATACATTTTTGTTTTCTGTTTTCAAATATTTGCTTAGGAATTGGTGAAAATAATAAAACTTGATTTCATTGTTTCCTATGCAGTATTTTTATAACAGAAAACAAAATGAAAGCTGTGACATTTTTTAAATTGAAAGTGAAAGTAAGACATGAAAATAGAAAAGATTTTCTCAAAGTAAGCAAGACCTACTTTAGATTCTTCGCATGGCTTGCATGTACCTTGCATCCTTTCGCTTGAGTTTCATGTTAATGTTGCCAATTTTTATTTATTCTTTGGCTTGAGTACTTTTTGCAGTCGTGTTTTGGGTGCCTCATCCTTGTTGCTTGTCTTCTCTTATCCCCTGATGAAGAGGTTTACATTTTGGGTAAGATTTTCCTCATTTCTAGTTTTTTATTCTAAATTCTTTATTATTATTCTGATGCATGATCTCATTATGGGGTATTATGGTGCTCTCCTGCAACTAAATTGGTTAGCCTCAAGCCTATCTTGGGTTCACCTTTAATTGGGGGGCTTTATTAGGATGGACAGCAGTTAAAGGAAGTCTGGACCCATCTATTGTGCTGCCACTTTATGCCTCTGGAGTATTTTGGACTCTTGTGTATGATACTATCTATGCACATCAGGTAAAATAGTATTCCTTCCTGTAAGATTCAATCCCTATGTTTTTCCTCCTCTGTCTTTAACTGCTTCAGGCTCTGCATTGATGTGCTGTGTACCTTTATGAGTTTTTTGCATTCCTGAAGTTCTGCATGCTAATGGGCTAATTATGCTCTCCTTCAAATGTGGAAGGTGTAAAAGTCATTGTATAACCTTTTATCATGTTCAGATGATTTGCCATGTCTCTAAAAGTTTAAGTTTTCGTGAAACAAAAAATACAATGAGAAGACTGCTTGGTATCCTCCACTTTAATGTTTTGTTTAAGGCAATGCAATCAAAATTCTTAGTGTTTTAGAATATGTCTAACCTTAGCGTTCAGGATAAAGAAGATGACCTGAAAGTGGGAGTTAAATCAACAGCTTTGCGCTTTGGTGATTCAACAAAGGAGTGGATTTCTGGGTTTGGGATTGCATGCCTTGGTGGTCTTGCTCTTAGTGGATTTAATGCTGAAATAGGTATTAGTCCATTACACCATTCCATTCTAATTGTTTCCATGATTGTTTGAATTCCATCAACTGTTTCTACCTTCTGATACATTTGTGTGGTGCAGGCTGGCCGTACTATGCATCTCTGGCGGTTGCATCTGGACACTTAGGCTGGCAAATATGGACAGTTGACCTTTCATCACGTGCTGATTGCAATAGGAAGTATGTTAGGGAGGTTCATTGCATAAACTCATGATCTCTTTATCGATTTTTTTTTTCTTTTTTCGAAAGGATCTCGAATTTTGATTTATTGGCTAGAGCATCTTGTTGGAGCTTCAAGAAGTTTTTGGTAATGGTCAATAGTATAGTACAAAGAAAAAGCAATTTTGAGATTATCATAAAGTTTTTAAAATTTCATTTGCAGTTTTTCAAAGAATATAAATCACATAGCTTTGCTAGAAACACTTTATGGTATATTTATATCCTCAGACCTCAAGCGAATGAACCCCTTAGAAGTTCAGTGATTGCTCAATTACTTTTCAATTGTTTTTATTGATCAATTGCAATATGTTAGAAAACTTTCGCTGAAGTATCAAATTAAACATTATGAGATGACTTGGCTATTTTATTTTTCCTTCAGATTTGTCTCAAATAAGTGGTTTGGAGCCATCATATTTTGTGGAATTCTAGCTGGAAGACTTTCATCATAGGTGTAGTACGTTATGTCTTATAGAGAATATATACACCTGCCCTACAAACTGGGCGGCATTCTTAGACTGAGGATTTGTAGCTGATTACAATTATTCTGTATAACATGTTTTCAGAGCCAATTAATTTATGACTGAGCTTTATTCACACTGCATGTGGTTTTAGTTATTTGGTTAAGTTACTGACATGATATTTGTGTACAAGAAATGAAGTAGTTTTCTCCATTTTACTAGTATGATCATTGAAGTAATTTTGGTAATGATTGGATTAGAAGACTTGTTATTATATTTTTTTCCCTTTTTTTACCGTCATCCAGAGCTTGTCTAGGTAAATCTTTGGAAACTGCAGTATCATGCAAATAAGACTTGAAAGAAGAATGGGACGATTGTTTTATAGCATGCACAACTTGCACATTGGAGCACCTGTAACCTGAAAGCGTGGGTCAATTTTTCACCCATTCTTTTCAAGTGACTTTCATTATTTATTACTTGCATGTTCTTGGAGTATTTTTTAAAGTCAGTATAACCTCGAAGAACTTCACATTCTACGGTTCAAGAACAAGATTGAAGATTAACATTATTGGGAAAGCACTGTGCAATGATGCAATCAGATATCCAGGCATTGAATGTATATTTGGTTGATGTGAATTGATAACCGAATCTATTAGAACAAGGATAGAAATAATTTTTTTTTCATTAGTCAAAATATGAATAATTGGTTATTGCTATAATAAATCTTTATCAGAATTATTTTTTGCTTGAAAAGTTTGCTGAAAAATAATTTAGATAATTTAAATTCATTTGGATACAACAAAAAAATAACTTTGACATGAGAAAAAAAATGCCAATATGCGAGGAAAAAACAGTTGGAAATTATTAAGTTACAATTTTCAAGAAAATAACATTTTTATGATTTTTTATTTTTTTTATTAAATTTCAACTGGTTTCAATCATTCAATTAATTTCACAAATAATTTATTAATTATAAGACAGCTAAAATTGAACAAAAAAGTTTTTTTGTTATTGCAAGTTGTTATGTTATTTGTTTCCTTGTATAGAAAATGGAGAATAACACATATTTTAAGATTTTTGTTACCAAGGGAAGTGAGTCCATTATATTACACAAATCAAACATGTGTCTTAACCCTACCAATAAAATGTTTCGGATTTGTGAAACATGCTGCATGCCAGTAACGTACCAATAAAGAGATTTTGTGCAGAAGGGAAGAAGACAAATTACTAGTGACAGTGATAGGCATTCATAAGCCAAGTTAGGTTCATCTTGCCATTAGAAGTTACAGAAACTTTAACCTAAGGTGAATCATTTCAGTATATTGTTGCATATGTTACATTTTCATTTTCAAGCAATCTAATGAGGAACAGTTTGACAAGAAATAAGTACATTTTATCAGTGGAAGGTTGTAAAAGTGAGAAAGGAAGTGCTTCAACTGTGTCCATAGACAAGGTGATGATGCAACGCATCGAAATGTTTGTGCTTAATGAAGCTTACTCTTGGTGTCACTGTGTAGTGAACAACAACTTATCTCAGCAGCTGAAATCATGTACAACAAGGAAGAAGGGAGAATGTGGGAGATCAAGTTCAACTGCCAAAACTTAAGACCAAGATGAAGAGAAGCTTTTGATCAACTCATTTACACGTTGTGATCACCTGATAAGGTATAATAGAGTGTGTTTTTAGCTAAGTAGAGAAGAACAATATCTATGAGACAGAGTGTCTCCTACTTCTACCAGTTTTCCCCTCTGAACCGCGTGACTTCCTACCTGATTTCTGGCGCTTTCCTCCTCCTTGACCACTGAAAATTGCAATCCTCCCAATTCCCTTTGAAAGTGAAGTTAAGAATGTTCTTCCATTTCCTGCTTTGTCAATCATGCCTTGTTTCATGAACATCTGTTCCTTCTCCAACTCACTCAGCCTCACCCTCATTCTTGAAATCTCCAGCTTCAGTTCCCGGTTCTCCCTCCTCAGAGAAGCATAGTTGTCCCTAGGGGACATAGCTGCACTTGGAACACCACTGCTTATTCTCTGAGATAACAGCCCGTCTCCTGAACTCCCTGAGAACGCGTTCTTCAAACGCATCTGCTCAAAGTACAGGACTTGCACTATCATCTGCAGTGGAAGCCTGTCATTCTGGGCTGCATGGTTGCATGCTTCTTGAGATAGCTTCTGGCAGTCTATCAACTTGCACAGCTTCTTGCTTTCTAGCTCTGTTAGTGCTGGATGTGCCTGAACAAGAAGGAAAGAATAGCTATTATCAACATGAGAAGGAAAAATAATAGATAGAATAATATATGCACTAAATGTGTAAAGGTTGTTCACACAATTACTAATCCTGAACCTTCATATAAGTTTGTTTATTTCTATAATAAATATCTTAAAAATCACACTAAGGGAATCCTCTGATTAGTTGAAAGAATTTGTTGATTTTTGTAAGAAATATCTTAAAAATCATATCAGGAAGATCTTTTAGTTGATAATGTAAAAACTAAAAGTGTATAGGTTGTTTACACAATTATCTTGTCATGAACTGTTAAACAAGTTTGTTGATTTTTACAAAAAAAATCTTAAAATTACAATAACGATGATTTCTGATTAGTTTACAGTGTAAAATATTTTACACTGACATTGTATGTTTATTAAACTCAAATGAATGACAAACATAATAAACTGGTTAGTTTTGCAAGTGTAACTGCTGCATGATTGAGAATATGAGGTTTAACTAGGGAGCACCAAACTATTTAAATCAGAGATAGATTTTCCCTACAGTTCAGGCAAATTTACCTTCAAATAAATGTCCACAGCTCTATAAAGGCCATCATCAATAACACGAGCATAATCAGGAAGTATCTCTATCAAAGCAACGAATTTCTGTAGACTTAAGTAGGGATCAGGTGCAATTTCTGCTAAATAAGCATCAATAAGCTGCCCCACTTTTAGCAGAGAACCATGGCCAGCAGAACAAAGCCCATCAGATTCATATCCATAATCTTCAGTTTCTTCCTCTTCAACCCTTTGCAAGAAATTCACCAGTAACCTGTGAACTGTATCAACATCAAACAAGGAGTCTCCACTCTGTAGTGATGGTATAAGTAGATCATCTAATGAGACCATTTCCAACCGTAATGCAATTCTTCTTTCAAGCTCAAGCCTACAAGGAATGGTTGCAGCTAGCATGATAGCCATCTTTAACATGCCAAACAAAAATGTCAAGGGAATGGAAGAGCTTTTGTCTGTTGGCATGAGACTTACAAGAGTTTCCACAATTATCCTCTGGTCCTTTTCTATACTGGTTGGACTTGTGTTTGTCCTAGATGGATTCCAGAATTGACATTTTCCAATACCCTTTAGTGATGATTGAGCATAATGCATCAGTGATGCAATAATGCTGTCTGATCTCACCCCCATTCTTCCCATGGCACAAATAACTCTTTGGAAGTAATCTATACGTAATACTGAGAGATCTTCAACCCACCATGCAACACAATCATCCTTTAGTTCTCTAGATTCACCAGCACAGTCTAACTTAGATAAACCAGAAACTAATTGTTCCTTGCAAGCATTCATTGCAATGGCTTCCACACATCCACTTGATATTTCAATTTCATCCACCATATGTGGAGGTAGCATCTCACATGTGGATAGCACTTCCACTGACTTCTGAAAACTCTGAAAGACAATCTCATTCAGATAAATCTCTGTTCTTGAAATGAGGTTTTGCTCCCGGTATTCTTCTGTCATTTCCAGATACTCTGCTGCACAACGAAGACGGGCAACATTGAATGTTGTAATCTCAAAATTCATCCCATAACAGAACTTCATGGCAAGTTCAAATGTCTGGTGCCCCCCTGGAAAGTTGAGGAGCTCCAAGTTTGAAACATTGGAACCCTTGGCTTCAGCCACCATCTTCCGGATCTTCCCACTTAGAGTCACCAAGGGAAACTTCATGAACCAGCACAAAGTAACCATAGTTAGTTTAAATAGATTTTGAATTTAAAGTTACATTTGTCTGAATATTATTGAGTTGACTGGTGCACCTATTTTGCACTCAAAAGAAGCCAAATAGAAGTCATCAACTTTTCTCTTTGATATCATAAAGTAGGCATGACTTTTGGCAAATAGTGGTTGATTTTTAGTTGTTTGTTAGCATATTAAGAATTTTGGACATACTGTTCATTATATCCCAATTCATAGCAACTGGTAAAAGAGACATTCAAATTAAACTCATGACAAATAGAACAATTCATGAAAGTATGAAGTGGTTGTCCGCAACATTTTGAAAAATTTACCTTATGTAGCAGAAAAGACTCCCCATCAACTACAATTGTAATGTCACCGGCAACATCAGCAAAAATTCTGCAATTAAAAATAACATTATGACATGACAACTGTTACAAAATCCTGTCAAGGATGCATGGATTCAGAAACCCACAGCTTCCTTTGAGTCCTTTCACTCTTCAAACACTCGCATAACCAAAGAAATGATATTTTTAGCACGTTATGAGATAAGAATGTTGTCTTTAAGCCTCCTGTTCACCTTGAATTTTCCAAGAATTTAGATAATCTATATCTAGCTCAAAAAACTCCAAAATATACCACCATAAAAATTGTGTTGGATAATATGCATAACCTTTTCCAAAAAATCCAAACGAGGCATCAAATGTACAATCAACAAATTAATTTCAATCTAGAACTAAAATGAAACGAAGACTAGCAAAACAAGCACATAAAGTTACATTTTCAATCTACCTTCAAAAGAAACATAGACACACAAATATATTACACTCCAACAAGGCATACATAATACAGTCATAAAGACAGAAATAAGAGACAAAAGAGAGGACATGAGGGTGTCGCTGAAGTACCTTGTAGTGAATGAGTTGCAAAACTTAGGAGTAGCTGGCGAGCGTTTAGAAGAAGAGAGGGAGGTTTCAGAAACCATCTTTCTCTCTCTCTCTCTCTATCTATCTGTTAGAAGAAAGAGTGA